TTCGGAAAGCGTCGTTTCAATTAAATCAATTAAACACAGACCTTTATTTTGTCGGTAGTAAAAGCCAATAAAGTGTAATATTACGTCCGGCATATAATGTAGAGAGATCATAATTGTCATTATGAGTGATAAAAATGTGTATTGCCAAACAATGGACGTGGCTCCACACGAAAAACGCGAAAAGCGAAAGCACCGAAACAAAAAAATTGATTACAATTACAGTTCTAAGTATGAAAGAGTTGACCGATAAATAGAATTTTGGAATCATCTATTTTTTACAAATTTTTCAACTCTTTTAAGGTTTGGTATTTTTAATCTTAACCAGAACGAATATGATGTTTGCGAAATTTTAAACCAATTTGATAACATAAACACGTGGTGACTTGTGCTTAACATTTCAAACATTCTGTATACAAAGTTTATGCTTTATAATTATCCTGCAGATAAAAAGTTATATGGTTAATACTTATCGAATACCTGTATATTGAAAATGCAGGATAAATACTAATGGAACACTTTGTATATTAAAATGCAGAGTAAATACTTATTATAAAACTCTTGAACATTAAAACTCTACTGGTCGTTAATAACCCAAACACCTGTATATTAAACATTCATAGTAGACTAATTATTTTTTTCCTACTGGGCAAATTAAAATTTTTCTAGTTTGCAATTTAAAATATAAGATGGTACTCCCAAATATTAATTATTTAAAATACGTCCCACAATTTTAACATATTTATCCAATCGGCATCCGAAAAAAATTGGAATATTTATATGTTTAAACATTTCATTAAACACATGGGCACGAAATAATGACAAAGGCAAAAATATCACTGAGATTCATACAGTAAGATATATTTGTTGATATTGTAAGTATATATTTTTTGTAGATTATATTATATATAACAGATTACAATTTAATCTGTCTAGAGAAACCAGTAGGGGAATTAATTTATTACTTTTATTTACATGCAAAGCTAAATAAATAAAAATCACTTAAAAAAATAAATACCTTTTATTGCTCGTATTTATAAACTTGAATATTTATAAAGTTTATCTAGAGTGGTATAATTTACAAATTATTATACGCATACAAATTTATAAATTAACAATAACACAACAAAACAACTGTTTGATTAATAAAATAATCCATAATGAGATTTTTATCATTATCATAAAATTTCATTGTCCAATCATCTTTTTTGTCGTTCCATAAAATAAATTTAAATTCATAAATTTTAAGCTAACTGTTATAAAGATATTAGTCATATTATGTGCTGTATATTTTATTATTGTTTGTGTAGTTTTGTGGTACAAAATAATTGATATTGCTTTTATAAACAAAATTACTATGTTACGAACGACGTACGCGGGTCGTCAAAGACTTTTGTGAATACCTGCGTACACGGTAGCAGTGTCAAAATTACAATCTTAATGTTTTAAATAATTTTTTTTACGTTCAAAAACTAGTTTGATATTATAATGTGAACGTTGTTATCCGTCTAACCGCGGAGTTCTGATTAATTATAATCGAGAAGTAGGTAGTGGTAGTTGTCTCATTTTTTAAATCTCTGCCAACATGTAATCACCACAGTGTTTTGTCTACACAAGGTATAAACTATAATATATTGTTAAAGGGGTTTATCACACGAATAAAAACATTAAAATCTGATGCATTCATTATTTTAGTTTTACATTTATGTTTCATTAAACTAAATGTTTTTTTTATTTAGATAAGCTAAAATAATACGAAATTTATAATTAATAATACTTTGATTGTAATAAAATATGTAGAACACAATAATTATATAATGAATATGGTATACATGTTTATTTATAAAATGTTAAGCAAATTTTATTTGATTTCACTTGATGTAACTATAATGTGTAAGTCAAACTATTAAATAAAGTTATTACTCATTGTAATACTTTGGAATGTTGTTGATTAATTTCAATAAAACTATGTAATTTGATCACAAAATTCTACTAGAAAATAACCATCTAAGGTGGGGTAATGTTTTCCAATATCTTATGTTAGCATACGTGTAAGGACTTATGATCTGTATAGGTCAAGTTTGAACGTGTGAATGAAGAGGCGGCGGTACTTTATATACGCATACTGCATAGCGTAAGTATTACTATTTTATTTTTTTGCAAAATATCGTCTCACGGGTAATATACAAAAGTACTCGAGGTTTATAATAAATATATATATATATTCAATTAACTAGTTTTAAATTGGTCGGACAGCGGCTGAACATAAAAGAAAACTTTTTATCGGAAGAATTTGCGGAATATCTTTTGAAGTGACCGATCCTCGTTTTCATCTCCCGTGTGTTTTTTTTTGCTATTCCGCCTGTGCGCTCTCATGTCACTGAAGCCGCCACTTCTTGATCACTGTAGTTAGAGGTACAGAGACTTATATCCCTCTGACCTCAGAGCATAAAATAAAAATACATAAACAAATACAAAATCGCCTCTATGATTCAGCAGCCCGATTTATTTATATAAGTACTTTACAAAAGCTTAATAGAACAACTAAAAACATAATTCACACGTGCATAAAACAGACACACGAACAACCACCATGTTGATTGCGGTTCCGAAAATAATCATTTCTTTCCCTCTTTCTCATTGAGGGAATTGATTTTTGTTTTTGGCACTAACTCGAACGACTTGGTTTTCTCTGCTTAAATTTATTACACGACTTGAATCGCTAAATACTCTTAAATCACCGTATCTGACTCATCACATTTGTAATGTAGAAGACTACTTTCATACATCTGCATTTCGTTTTAAGTATAGACACCCTATTATAAGTTATATATAATTATTTTTGTGTACAAACATAGTCTACATAAACAAATCATCGTTGACACCGTTTGATGTAATTTATTTAAATATAACAGCCGTCATACTATAAAACTTTTATTTTATTGAAGCTATTAAAACTATATAGCTAAAAATTGTATTTAACATAAAATTTATGTTTGAAATTTTTTTAATTTCAACCTCTACTATTTAAAACATATGAAATGTGTTAACGTTGATGATACCCAACTTTTTTAATTTTTCTTTTATTAAAATATGATTTTGTACAGCNAAAACTATATAGCTAAAAATTGTATTTAACATAAAATTTATGTTTGAAATTTTTTTAATTTCAACCTCTACTATTTAAAACATGAAATGTGTTAACGTTGATGATACCCAACCTTTTTAATTTTTCTTTTATTAAAATATGATTTTGTACAGCAATACTTATAATTTTTTTGAGTTGTTAGTAGAATAATTCTGAAACTAAAAGACTAAACCCTCCTAGTTCTTCCACTAATAAGAGTTGAGTTCGCAGCTTTAGGATACCTGTTAAGCTGATGATTGTCAGCAAATAATATGAATATATGTATTAGATGTAAGAGTGAATACGAATATTTTATTCGCTAAAAAATAAATCGAAGCGTGATGGATTTAGAACTATTAGAGTACTGTTGGTTCAAGGGTTTGTCAATGAGACCATGTCGCACTGATGCCAAACTATTCGATTTATTTTTATATTGCGCGTTTACTCTTCGGAGTACCATTTCTTATTGACAGAATTTGAAGCATGTCGTTTCTATACTGCGACTCGTAAGCACATGATGATGTTGTTCTGATCATTCGAAAATAATTACACTCTAACCGAATCCCCGTGCAAATTCCTGGCTGCATTTATAATACAATTTGCTACTCAATTAAATAGTACAGAATACCAAAATTATTGAATACAAATAAAATAATGTCGGTAAATTTGATAGTGTCATAATTTAAATATCAACATTAAGATATAATAGGTTCAGCGGTCGTGATGATTTTTGTACATGAATATTTATGTTCACTGCAGTTCACTACAACACAAGAGAATGTTATTGGACATATTATATACATTCTTTTTGTCGTCTACGGGTAAGATTTTATAGAACCGATAAAAAAACACAACCTTTTTTTTAACGAATGAGGACATGGGGTGTTTCTATTATTGTACGGTTCAAAACTATACACGTGCAGAGATAAAAATCTTTTTTACCATTATTTTCTCGTTTAACTTAGTGGAATGTAATAATATTTTTACAAATTCAATTGATAGTAGACAAGTAATTATAATAACAAAAGACCACTTTTCAGAAAGCTAAATGAAAACATTTTCACTTAGGTAATTATCTAAAAATAATTAAAATTATTATTTTAAACCTTTGAATGAACTTCATATTTTAGAGTTTCGAATAAGAATTAATCATTCAATTGTTGTAATGATTTAATTTACCAAATATATTATGTGTAATTAAAGACTTGTATTCAACACAAATTAAAGTTGACATTGCCTTGAGCGCCCCACATTTTATATGTTTGAGTATTAATTTTCGCTAATAATTTATTTTGTAATTGTCAGCTTAATGTTTTGCGCGCAGATTAGAATTACTTTAAAACAACTGCTAAGAGTCGCATTTTTTCTTTATACGACTCCGAATGTCAACTTTATAAAAAAAAAAGTTATAATAATAAAAAAGAATTTGTATTTTAAGTATAGACTGCAGTCAAAGACTAGAATAAATAATGATTGTAATATTATATTACAACCAATACAGGAGTTTATATAAATATATAAGATTTGAACTTTTGATAAATAAATTATTTATATATTAACGTATTTATAATCTGAGTAGGTAGTTTATTATTTCCTGGAAAACAAATTTGATAATTTAAGAAAATTAATTTTTTAAGTGAATTGTTCGTGTTTTTCTTGTGGTAAAAGGTATTTTTAATATCTAATCATTCGTGTTATATTGGCTGTATGTACTTTATCAAAATAATCAGTTTACAATTTTTCGTTGCGTTATATTAACAGTATGTATGATACATACGCGTTTGATTATTCTTATAACGATTAATATGAATTATTATAAAAATAATTAATTTATCAATGAGTGATTACAACTAGGAAGATAAAAATACACTGTAAATTACCAATTTTTAATTTTTATTAATCTATAGCAGTCTAACATGTATAATAAAAAAAAAGCTATCATAATTTAAGACTTAAATATATTGGTACATTGATAAATTATTTTAGTGTATCAGAGCATGTATGTTCTGATCATATCATTTTAGGTAATATATTTATTATCTAAATTATAAAAACTTTGGTAGGTATGATTAAAACGTTGAATTATATTAAATACATATTATGGACCTACTCAATATAGTTTCTAACATTGCACATCAACACTCGATACTAATCGTATTAAGACTATAACTAAACAAAACAACAATACCTATATTTACACATTTGATGAAATTTCTATAAAACATTAAATTAGACACCAAGAAAGGTATGGATAGATTTATTTCGTTATTGTAATTAATCACGTCTACAAGTACTATACACGAACAGCATTCATTTAAGCAACACAATAAAATCTTAATACATAGTAAAATTAGTTTAGAAATAAAACAAAATAACTCTAATCGATTTCGTTTCATGTGTAGTTTAAATTATATACTAATATAACAACAAAGAGAAAATTTGCTCATATTTAACAAAATGGCTACGAAAAAGAATTTATTTACCTTAAGCGTACTGTAAAATGAGTAGGCTGGGTACTTAATTTCTAAAAGCAAATAATGTGTTATCAGTGTTGTAAAAAGATATATATATATATACAATACAAACGTATGTAAATATACACAAATAAATAAAACTAGTTTATTATGTACAGTACATGTTAAAAATGGAATAACTTATAAACACTTGCTTCCTTCTTAAAACCAATATAGATCTTTAGATGTTTCTTGTACTTGTGCTTCTAAACCTGAAAAAAATATGTTGAAACTCTTGTAAGTTTTTTACTGCATATTTTTTAAAAATTTACTTCAATTAATATTAACTATAACCAATAGTGATAATTATAAACAAAACATTGTTCATTTAGTGACTTGTATAAATTAGGAAACGTAAGATTTTTCTATAAATTCGTTTATAATTAAAAGTTTCAATAAACTACCAACAAATATAAGTGAACAAATTAAAATATATTTGTCATTAAACTCTATCTATGCATTTTAATTGTGAAAATGAAAACATTTTAATATAAAAATAAGTGATGTCATGTTATTTGATTGTATACTGTGCGGTTACGGTTAGCAAGTAACTTTTTAATGAAGATGAATATATTTAACACGTCACACGTATATTAAGTTAGGCCAAGTACAGCTTTTCTCTGTATAGTTTTATTATTATTCATTTCGTTTCTTATAGTGTTGAAGTTGAGCAAGAAATATATATGTACATTATACACACACTGCTTTACAAGAGTAACTGTGCCAGTGACAGGGAAGCAGCTTTGACACAAGAAAGGAAGACGATGAGATAACGAACGAGATGTGGTAGCTGCGCATCTATATGCCGGAAAACACGGTTGTGTATATACAACGAGGGGTTGATGAAAAGGGGGATCCTAGGGTTTTATTAAAACGAAAGGAAGGTTGAGTTATGAGAGGAATTCAAAGCCGTTCATTTCACACACCACTGTGTTCCTCTACACGAGCCTGTCGCCAAGGACCGCCTACCACTGTAAGAAGTGCACTTTAAGTAAAACAGTCGAGTGACTTGAAGCGCGCAAAACAATAAAGTGAGAGCGAACGTAAAAAACGACTGCGTTTTTTCTTTTCCGGTTTCTTCCCGCGTAATGGAGTAATCATTATCCTCGACGCAGCTTTTCATATAGCAAATAAACGACGATGACCCCATTTCCTCCACTTTTGCTCATTTGAAAATTATTCTATAAGTTAAATCAATCCAATGCAAACTGTATGAGTCAAATAGGAAATTCGATATTTTTTTTTTTTGAAATCCATTTTAAAATTATATTGAGCTTCATAATTTTGACAACAATTTTAATCGACTATCAATGATAGATTAAAAATGATGATTTTTAAAAGCGTCTGAAAATACAAAATTTGAGAAGTTACTCGACAAGGATTGATTATATGTTAAGATTTAAACGATATTATCTAGTTAATAGAAATAACTTTTTCTTGTCTTTAAATAGCTGTATATATACGAGGGTAAACATTTTTTTTTTCAGTTAAAGTTATGTGAATTACCATCTGAAATAAAAAATCGAAATTTCTCTTTAAAATCATTATAAATAAAACATTTTTTTCTGAAAGAAATAGAAACCAAAATTAAATTAAAACATTAAAAATTTAATAATAATATTCTCTCTGTTTTACTCGTTAAAATCTAAAAAAAAAGTATCTTTGAAACTCGAAACATTTTGTTGAATGACAAATGCATGCAATATTTTATTATTAATCAGTAAACTAGTGTATTAAACATTATATTTACGAGCGCAATTAATTACACATTTTAGGCGTTAATAAAAAGCATACGCAAACTTATTAGCTGGTTTTATGTGCACATTTTATCATTTATGACCACAGTTGCCCTGGTAACGTGGCACAACTGTATAGGGTGTGGTCATCCCGAACCAATGACGCCGCCCGTTTAAAACGCGTAGCAAGTACCTACAACTTCAATCGATATATGCTTCGTTTTCTAAAAAGCGTACAAACGTACTCCTAAATTATAATATCATTGTAAATCATATTATAGTGATTTATAACAAATTACAGATAATGTTACATTTGCTCAAATATACAAAATAGAGGCGTTGTTTATGCCACACTCATCACTATAATAGCCTCGATTAAGATTTTAATTTAAAACGTTGATTATTAACACAAAATTAATTATTCCCCAATAACAATATTTAATACAACAATAACTGGTCATAAAAGTAATTAATTCAAAATCATTATTGTTTAAAATTTTATGGACATGTTTGTATATTTATGCAGCTTTAAAAAATCTATTTCGATAATTCGAATTCGTTAAAAACTATGCGTAGAGGTAATATCGAATAGAAAATCTCTTAAAAGTACCCTTATCGTATACAATTCACGATGTGCGTTTTAATTATAAATAAAATTAATACGAAAAAATATATGTACATATTCATTTATTTATGATTCTATAAAAATGATAAAATGCAAGTAGTAATTGTTAAGCAATGCATTTCTAAATATACATTTAATTATTTTTGTTTTTTGAAGTAATCTATATAAAGGGTTATGAGTCAATTAAAAAGTTACGTAGGGAAATTACTTTCATTGTGTTTATCATCTCAAATGTTGTCACTTTCCGTACGCCCAATCTTCAACGTAGGCATCGTAGACAGCAAAGTTGTTAATTAATTAAAGGAGCCAGAAAACTTAGTTAACATATTAAACTGACTAAGGTTACTATAGAAACAAAAAGTAAATAAAATTAAGTGTAAGTAAACTATTTGCAGTTTTATGCATAAAATTTCAATTTAAACGCATCTAAATCGTAGAACTGTACACTTGCATATTTTTTTCATAAATTCATTTACTCAAAATATGAAGCCAATGAAGATAACATAAAAATAATAATACTTTAAAAGAAATTCGAATTTCAATTACATTAATTAAAGTACTTCTCAAAAACATGAAGCTATTGTATTAGTAAATTCATTACAAACTCAATTAAATCATCATGTTATTCTTAAATTAAAATTTAACATGAAAACATTTAATTTGAAAATTATAGTGATGTTTAGTCCAAAATTTTCATACTCTGAGTGCATTTATCAAAATAAATCTTTTATACGTCTAGAGATGGCAGTCTCGATGTAGGTCTTTAGTTCAATTAACTTTATATGGACGATGTGATGACGTGCTCGACAGTTTCAAATCGTTTGTCAGCAATGCAGTTGTAGTCACGTGACCCGAAGTCCATGAGCCGACTTGTTTTTTTTTTGCTTTATCATTATTCTTTTCGCATAGGTTTCATTCGTTTTAAAAAGAACAGAAAATAAAAGGCAATTGCTAAATTATCGTCCATTGTGTCGGTTTTATATTTATTTATAATCGTGGCCTTGTAGTTGCAATACAACTATTGCCTAGTTATTCTGAAGTTACCTTAATATTTAGACATTTCTGAACTTTTCCTTTATTGCAATCTAAATATCATTGTTTAGCGTGATTTCGAATGAAAACATTTCTCTAACATATTTATGTATTTTTACTTAATAATTTTTTATATTTATGCCTTTACAGTTATGTAAACATGCGCAACTAACATTAATTCGATGTTTAACTACACCAACCACTTATTTAATCCATAATAGCAACGGGAGACCAATTTACCAATTCAAGATAAAGGGATAATAGAAACTCGTTAAATTAAATTAAAAATTAGTTATTCATAATTAGCTTTTGTAGTGGATGATTAAAAAAAGGTCTTTTCCTAAAAAATTAGGCCTCCCAATGACAGAAGTAGAAAATTTCCCCTTTTGAAATTTTTTAATTTAAATCTGCCATTTGTAACACTGGTATTATAACTTAAGTGTTTCGACAATTTAATACTTAAACTAGTATATTCAATTAAATAAAATTAAAACTATATTAAAAATATTATTAATTTAAAAAATAAAAATATTAAACTCAAAAAGCCACAAAAAATTACTGAAAAATCGCGGATCCATAATTCGGAAATGATGTTACCATTATCAATGCTAAACCCAGTATGTGGCTTTTTGATTTTAATATTTTTAATACAGTTTCAATTTTATTTAATTAATTAGCCACGAGTGATCGATTTTATTTTAAATTATACCATACCTGGAACAGTAGGGTATGATGAATAAGAAGCTCCAGTGTCTAAAACTGGATGATGAGCACTATTTGGCCATGGCTCCATACCAGGTTTACTATGATATTGATGTGGATGTGGGTGACTAGAAGAAGGAGGTGGCGGTGGTGGTGCTAACCTAGAAGTCGGTGGTGGTAATAAAAGACTGCTATACTGAGCAGCCATATTATGGTGGTGGTGATATTCATGAACAGCTCTGTAAATTAAATAAGATGTTAAATTATTTCAAAGCCCACACTAATTAGAGAAGTTAAATCGAATATTATTTTTGCATAAATGTAACATTTACCTATGATGGTGATGGGCAGCCGCTGCGGTATACTGTTGGTAATGGGTCTGCCAAGGATCTGCTGGAGTTCCAGCAGTGCTGTGATGATGATATACCGTTTCGGGATGGTAAACCTGACTAGTTGAGTGATGTGAATGATAGTTGCTGTTCCAAAACGACGCCGGGAAATTTCTAGATGACATCGGTGAAGAATCTATCAAAATAAAATATTTATGGAGTATATTAAATTGATGTATTTGAAAACCTCATTTTGTATTATTCTATTTTATTTGAAATAGAATCATTCGGTGATTAGATAATTTTACAATAAATGTATATATGCAACGGTGATGCAAGAGGACGATATGAAGTGGTTATAACTTTTAATGTATCAAGATCCGACACTGAATAAACAAATCTAAAATAATTAGGGTATTATATCCCCTTCTTAGAATAATATTTGAATCAGAAGGCAAATTTGAGGTATGATAATAATTGATCACTTGTGGCCAACATTATTTGAAATTAAAAATATATTTAAAATATAAATTGAAAACTAAAAAATTAATAAAAATATTTTTATAAGTCAAGTCTTCTTTTCTTCGTTTTCCTCGCCTTGATCCCAACTACTTGGGGTCGGCCAATTTTTCTAAGTTAAGTAATCATACAAAAATTGATTGATTGATCCCCTGCCAATACACAATTTTTAACAACGACAACTGCACTTTTGAATAATTTCCAGATAATATAAAAATCTAATTTGTTTTACTTTTAAACACAGCAAAAGAAACTTCAATTTTTTTTTTGCAATAACTCAACAAATTATTGAACGAATATCTTTGTTGTACTACTGTGTAAAGTAATTTGTCCTGTAGAATATTCTATTAAGAAGTAAATTTTCAAAACAAGTTGAGTTGTTATATCGTTATAATAGGTCTCTCAATTAATTACTGTATATTCAAGTAGACGAAAATATTTATACGGAATAAATTCCCTTATATATTTTTCTAATTATACCAATTAATAAAAAAATATTTAAATCTCATGGGGACGAGAACTTTTAGAGATTTTCATAAACCAAAAACAAACCCTCAACTTCAGTTAGGATCCTATCGTTTTTGTCTCCGCGTATACTCATAAGAATTATTTTAAAATCGAATTTAGAGTATTGGATCTTACCTATTTTGCGCACCGCGCGGATAAAAAGAGAAAAGATACCGATCGGAGTCGGCGTTTGGTCACAAAAGACATTCGGAGAAGTGCAAACGAATATAATAACGTATTGAAACGTGTGTAAAAAAAAACATTCAATAAAATATAAAAAACAATAAGGAATTAAGAAGCGAATAAAACAAGTGTGTGTATACAAAACTGGTTTGGTCAAGTCCAATATAATTTACAAATCTACTCGACAACACTGCACACACATACGCATACACAGACAAACTACACACACTAGTATAAATACACGAGCTTCTTCTACACCTGTAAAAGACAACAATAGCTCTTCCGAGCCGAAGAGTAAAATAAATAACTGAAACAGTGGACCCGTGGGAAAGCCCGAATACAACACATTATTCGTATTACAACCGAACACCCGACTTCTATAAATCTTTTTCCAAAATGACCGCGCGACACCGTTTGCTCACCGCCGATACAATTTCAATATTGAATTATTCCATAAGTGTAAAAGTCTTTAAGCAAATTTTATTTTAAGGTACACTGGCGTATGTATACAGATACGACTTCAACGATGAAAACATAAAAAACTCCTTTCCAATTCGGAAAAAAGTATTCAGTATTCTAGAGCGTCAAAAAATCCCACAAGATTTAAGGGCCCTAATAAATCTTTTGTAGGGATCATTTAACTAAATTTGATTACAAACGTTATTTTTTTAAAAGTTACAAATTTTGGAATATAATACCTAAAAAAAATCCGCAATACATAAAATTAATACGATAAAACTATATTATTCTCAAACCCATTTGGAGGAGGGGTAGTATTATACTGCCCTGAATTCGCCACTGATATATGAATCGTTATTTTGATTTTTGATTTTATGTAACAAAAATTATTACAAATATTATTCGTCTTACAATACCTAAAAAAGGGTTAATTTTTTTTACAGTGTGTACATTTTAATTCACTGGTAGAAATTCGTAAGCATTTATTAAATTATTTTCTTTTAATTTATTTTTTTATTAATTAATCGTATAACATTAATTACTAATTCAAATGACAAAACTAGTAATTAAAGTTACTGGACGTTAAATGTAAACATTACATTCAATGTATGGTCATTAATAGCTAGTTCATCCGGGAATGTACTTGTTAAATATCAATAAAAACTTTTACTAGTGACCTAGAAAATCAACTTTGAAAGTAATGGTTTTTGTTTTAAAGTTTAATTACATTGTAAATATGAAATGGCAACATTAAGGGAACTGGCTTAGAAAAAATATACAGGCTTCAGCATATAGGTAATAATTATTCATATTAATAATCTGATTTGTAAAGCAGAAATTAACTATATACAAACACTTTTATCTCAGTGTGTTTGTAGTTGAATAATTTAATAGATGAAATCTATTTAAAATGTAACACTATATGAAATAATTTAATTTATTACTAAACTTAATTTATTTAAAAGTAACCTCTCGATTAAGTTGACTGTTTCGAATTCATCGCTTAATTTTAACCTTTAATATATTGAAGCTTAAAATTATGACTTTAGCTTCGTATACAAACACTGTAAGAAATGATCCTAAAATTCTCATACGTCAGTATAATATTTTTAACGCACACACGTCATTGTACACACAAATATACATTTTTAATAACTACTTATCCAAACTTTCCTTTACGCTGTATACATTGAAAACTTCCAATACATATATGTAGTAATTCAGAACATTTTTCTTATGAGTGAAGCTATAAAAGCATAATTTTTTATGGACAATCTTAAAGAGCCTTATTCAATACAGCTTAATTTTACAACAAGCATAAAAAGTAGATTTGCACAAAATCAGCCAACACGATTATTTTCTCAAGATAAGTTAATAATAGTTGCCACTAAAAAATATTATTAATCGTTGTAGATCCGTGTACTTGAGTAATGTTCGAAATAATCGTGTTATGTTACAATACAATACAGTATTGTAAAAACGTTCACGGTCGACGAGCGATCAACTCGGATCCATTGAATGTATTAAAAATCGACATCAACAACAATGAACATCGAAACATTAATCGCGTAAACATTGCAATTTGGATTGTGTTATTCGCCGCACTTGCACGTGTAAGTATATATGACGATTGTAACGCGTTAATAAGAACCAGTTTTGGTGAGAAAGGAAGACACGGCATTCCGCGACTAGAGGTGTTTGACAATACGAAACCAAAGCGTTTTCTGATTAATTAAAAACCTTTTAAGTGACACTCGTTTTTCACACGGTTCACATTGACAAACTTATCAATAATAAACAAACGTTGGCAAGAATAAAACACATATCAGAAAACCGAATTTCTGTGGCATTTGATGTGCATTAAATGAACATTACAAACCTTTGGTCGAAGTTTGGTGTGCGCTGTTCAGCTTTTGATCGCTGTTTAACGCCCTGGAAAAGTGTTCGTCCACTACGGAAGCCACGTCTCCTGTGTAATGGGTAAATACCACGCAGTTGACGGACACGTACTGCGCGTGTGCTGCGGTGCGCCTATCTCGCGATCTCGAGTCGTCCACGTTATCTTCTTCATCGTCCATTTCGATGCGTACGCCTATGACATCAACAAAAAAAAAAAACCACAAGTCAGCCAAACAACTTAAGCGAAAAAAAACTTTTCAAATCCATCAAAAGTTCATTAAATCTTATTTTCGGGTTTCGTCTTAATTTTGTTGACGGTGAAAAAAATCACCGTTTAAAAAACTGTTCCTCCCTCATTGTGAATACATTAACACCTCGTTAAAAGAACCGTGGTCTGAATTATAAATATATCACACTCGAAACAAGGGCGATTTATGTGATGAACCGCGTATTCACCGGTTGTTTATTATAACGTTGTTTATTAAGATGGTCGTGTTCTTACAACAAAAAGCAGATTAATCTCAATATTGCGAATATAAAGCGGATACCGCCTTAGCAATTTGCGTTGCCATAGTGTGTTAATTGAAAAACCGTTGGGGCGAATACGCATTGTCTTTTGTAATCACTTTAAACTTCTTAAAGTACACGAATAATACACAATGTGTATTGAGCGTAAACGTTGGTGCAAATCTGTTGGAATACAATAACACTCGATGAAGAGAATTAACATATAATTTAGTAAATCGATCGAGTTCATTTATTAAATAAAATTAAAACTGTATTAAATTATTAATTTAAAAACTAAACGCTGTATAGCGTTGATAATGGTAACATTGTATCTAAATATGTATCCGCGACTTTTCAGTAATTTTTTGTGGCTTTTGAGTTTAATATTTTTTAGTTTTTAAATTAATAATAGCTTTAATTTTATTTGATTAATTAGCCACGAGTGATCAATTTCTGTTATTCATTTATTAGTTCATTTCTAGAACATTTATAGTCCCGCTTCAATTTAAAATATTCAAATTATAAAAATAATTGTGTTATGCAAAATAAATATTATAAATTAAAAACATATTGATATAAGCAATTCTGTAAAAACAAATGTGTGTGCAAAGGCTCATGATTTATGTACTTCTGACGTTAGAGAGGACACTATTGGCATACGGGTCTCCAGATTAATAGCTTCGATAATAAATGAAGAGTAAAATTAAAAAAATTGAAAACTTTTAGAATTTACTCTGTAATTATTAACTTTTACAGAAAAAAATTAAGTGGAGACTAACATAGTAGTACCAGTATAGATAGAATTTTGAAAGCGGTTAACATCACTAGCATTAAACGCTTCGGTGCAACTATTAATAAAGAAAGACAAGAAACATTTTTTACAAATTTTGACTTATCACAGAAGAAAAAACCCTTTAAAAATTTTAAAGTGGTTTAGACTTAAAGAACACAGACAATATATTACAATATCAAAATTTTAATTAAAAAAATGTGTGTAAGATAGGCTACTACATTCAAATTTGTACAAGACTGTTAATTATTAGTTTTGGTTTGATTTTTATCAAATGCATATTAGAAAAAAATTATTCTCTTTAGTATTATACATACAATTTTCATTTAATATTGTAAAATTAAAAAAAGTTATAATTGTGGCTATAGATTTTTGTAAATTGTTTCATTAGTAAATAAAAAAATGTTGCATTTTTTTACTTTAATATCTAATTATCAACAGTAGAATAATAGTCAAAATGATATTTTTCTTTTAATCTTATATTACATAAAGCTATTATACTATTTCAATTTGAATAATGTATTCCATTACGATTATAATTGTATAAATTACAATCAATACCTTTTCCACTACGTATCGAAGCTAAAATGTTAAATGATATATTCATTTAATTGATATTTTGTTAAACGAATGTTTTATTGGAATATAAATTTTGCAATAAATACTTTTTCGGTATAATTTTTTAAATCTTATTACAATTTTATATAGAATTATGAAACTCCAATAGCTGAAGAAAAAGTCAATATAATATAGTTCAGTAGTTTATAAATACTATCATACTAATCATAATTTTCAACAAATATCCGGGACATACTGAATTCTAAATTTATGAGGGAAGTGGTGCTTGACTCCTATGCTCCAATAGTCTCTTCCCTTCATCTTTGTAATCTTTGTATACAGTAAAAAAAAGAACACTTGATTGACGATCAAGCCTGTAATAAGAGTAATCCAGTAAGTGTCGTGGCCCACAGGTTTCCTGGTTTTTTAGATTTTTCATTAAAGCTAGTACAAAATATAGAACTCAGATGGTGTCTGTAATATAGGCGTCTCAGTTAAAATGGGATTCCGGAATTATAAATTTCAAGCATTATTAATAATTTCATATATATTTAAATGGAACAAATAAGTAGGGCTCCAACAAAATAAATGCATTTTTAAATATTGTTAATTTATTCCGAAAACATCAGCCAATAAAATTTTTTATTGGTTTGAAAACTTAGCAATGTGTTGTTACCATGGTTAGAGTTTTAAGGAGGATTAGGGAGATATCCCTTCTTAAAATTAAAAATATTTCTACACTACAATATAAACTGGCGACTAGGGTTATTATATTTTAAGCACTGTATTATAAAACACCATGAATGTCAAAATTTACATTGGTCTTATAGAACATTTTAAACGTTTTAAATTATTTACTCATGTTTTAAACGGTTTTTTTAACAACCCCGCCAACAACAAAGTTGCACAAACTCGAGACTGTTCAAAGAAGCTTCAACAAAATGTATAAACGCATATATTCCGGGTTTATTACTTATAAAAAAATCAATTTATCGTCTCTACTTAGAGAAGTTTGTTAGAATTAATAATGTACCCAATATTGAGTTAAGAGAACTATTTTGATTATTTTACAATTCAAGTCGTTAGGGCTATGATCGATACACATTTACATAAAAATGTGATACTAAAAGTTATATCTGTAGTGTTATGCAATTTTCAATGCTACTCTGATGGTCTTTGAAAAATATTTTTATAAAATTCAGTTATTCATTGATGATAACGCGACAAAAGTACGCCCATGTGAGTATGAACAACGTGCGGTAAATCTTAAACAACTATTACGTTTATATTATTATTATTTATATATTCAAGCGATAATAATTTTAATTACCATCTCGGGACGTTTCTTCCTCTTTGTGCACTACAGAAGAGTTGTTGGCAGTTGCAGGTGATAACGCTGGACTAGAGATTCCGCCAACTGGTCCCACACTAGACGCTCCAGATCCGACGCTGCTGTGGTGTGAATCTGCATGCTCTGCTAAATTTGTCCATCGATTAGCTGGCGAATCATTACCTCCAAGTGGAGAAGATGTAGATGGTTGTTGATGCGTTTCCAAAGTTCTTAGCTAAATAAATAAATACCAATAGATAAAATAATAAAAAAAAATTTTTTTTGGAAAAGCATTATTTATAATAAATTTATGAAATTGTAATGCATTTTAAAACAAAATGATATATTATATTGAAATTAAAATTAAAAGATTGGTCCAAATTTAATAAAAAAAAAAAAAGGAAACTGAGCTCCACTGATAACGATATTTACTTTAATATTCTGCAGAACTAACAATCTAATTAACTTTTATCATAAAATGTAAATAATTAATTTTTTTTTTTTTTTAGTGATGTACAAAATGAATAGCGATAAATAATTTGTTAATTACATTTATAGCTGATATTCATATAATCATATACTAATTTTAGATTTATCTCAATTGGTACGAAGGTAATTTGTAACAGATATTGAAGACTGCAGTTATTCTATAGATTAATGACATTTAATTAGTATTAAGCCGATCGACGAACAGAAGACAGCAGATGTCGTGTAACCGGTTGAACGTAGACGAAAGAGTTGAGGGAACATGTGAAAAAGTAGTAGCCCAAAGTTTTTTCTTCCGAAAAATATCAATTGTCTTATCATCATCATCATCCATAACAGACCATTGTAAACATTATATACACACACATAATAATAGTTAAAAAAACATAAAAAAAACCTAAACAAGAATAAATTGTAAGATGGACCAGATACTGCAGGAATGTGGAGTCGGATCTGACTTAAAAGAGCATTCCTCATGTCCCAGCACACACCGGCTTCCCTGATGACCATAAATCAACATGGATACATACTGACCGCCGGTGTACCGAACTACGGTATATTTCACTTTTTACTTCCACACGTTAAATATCGTTTGGTATTTAATACATAACTGAGAACGTTCATTATCAGAAAGTTTAAGCTTAGAACGCATCGTTATTTAGAATTTAAAATAATATTTGCGAATATTACAAAATATATTAAAATGCTATATAAATAATAACATTTTTTAGAAAAATAAGAAAGGAACATTATTACAAGTAAAATAACGATGCAATTACTTTTATTTGTTTTGTAATGTGTATATATATTTTTTCATCATGGGAACCGTGCGGCACACACAGTAGCCCAACAATATGGAATTCTACTCATCCCAGAAATTCCAATTTGTTCATTAGACATGGGACGTTAAATATTTCAAATGTTTCTCCGTTGAACGCATTATGTATTTCACATGCATGAGAGTATTCCTTACCGGTTGTATTATCTACCCAATATTCAGATCGGAATTTTTCTTGTAAATATTATAAAAAAATATTAGTGCGACTATAAGTAAAAAATTATTATTATATTTTAACTAAACAGCTAACACTACGTACGAATAAAAAAACGGAGACAATATGCGAATACAACGTTCCATAAACATTGTGTTTGAACGAAAATTTATTTCGGTACGAATAGAAAAAATATATTAAATTTTAACCTTATAACATAAAATATTGTGCCAGAAGAATAAACCTATCTAAAAATAAAAGGAAATATTCATTTATTGGTGAATTTCTTTCTTTATTTAAAAAAAGTAAATACTTTTTTTAAGTATTTATCTTTTTTCTTCAAATTTTTATTAGCACATAAATTAATAATTTACTAGCCGTTAATGTATTTATATGTATTACCGCTATTGTGCCGAATTAATGAAAAATATTTGTAACTACTAATTTTTCAATAACGCAACCAGATGAAAGTTTGCGAAAACCATAAAAATGTATTTTTTATACGCTAGAAAAGCTAGTGCTAAAACGAATAAAGGTTTTAATAACATTTTTTTTCATATTATTAAAAACAATTCTTGGAAAGTACATTATGCTCCAAAACTATCACGTCTCAGAAAATAAGGTTGTTACACAACACACATTACGCATTACAAACATAAATTACAATTGAGGAGATAATTATATTAAATTAATGTAATATAATTATTATTTTTCTAATTCTACTTTCAATTCAATTTTGTTATCCTGAAATAATAAATAATAATTAAAAGTTTTTAGAATACTACAAAAAAATATAATGAATGACCTTAGTTTTTTGTACTTTTCGTGACACGTCTACAATTATGACTTCGAAAATTAGTACTTTACTCTAAATAAATATATTTAATAAAAACCAAAGATGTCAGGTAAAATAAACTGTTCCTTTTAAAGATAAGCGATAAATTAACTCTTTTTCCCGAAAAAAAAATTTTATTTAATAAATTTACTTTTCGATTATATATAAAACTGCAAATGTTAATTAGGTACTATGTACTTAACGAAACTTAAATACTGTAAATATACATTTCCACTTAAATGTGTTAAAATACTAAGTACCCAATGAACACTATAATACACACATGGTGTATTTTGATACAGAAACGTTTAATACTGTCTTTTATACATAAATATAAAAACCTAGAATAAAATTGTCAACATCAATATTGTCCGTTGATTATTTATGTAAATTTGCGTAAATACGGGTTTGAATAACTTATACAGTCACTTGCAAGTTTAAACAATCTTGATAAATACACACAGAAATATACAAAAATAAAATATGACCATAATCATATAATCTAATGTTACTAATTTACATTTAAAAAAAAAGGAAATGTTGTGTTACAAAACTTGGTGTATATTTTATGAGTAATAAAAATTAGTTTTAAACTCTTATTTTGTTTAAAATTAAAACTATATTAAAATATTATTAATTTAAAACTAAAAAATATTAAACTCAAAAAGCCACAAAAATTACTAAAAAAGTAATCAGTAAAAAGTGTCACTATGTGTTAAGCGTTGATAATGGTAACATTGTTTCCAAAATACGTAAATGCGGTATTTCAGTAATTTTTTATGACTTTTATTTCGAGTTTAATATTTAATAGTTTTAAATTAACAATATTATTAATATAGTTTTAATTTTAAGCAATATTAGTGATCAATTTTTATTATATCTTATTTTGTGGCATAGCTTGATGGTCTATTAATATTTGAGTTGCAATTATTGATGAAATTAAATCTTTATTGGTGTGGATATTAAGGAGCAGTATTAAAAGGGCTTTTGTTCCAGTTATTTCTAAATGTGTAAATGACTATTTCTCAATTTCGAGAATGTTCGGTAAAAGTAAAAAAAGATTTTAGGGTGCAAACATTGAATATTACTCCCAATGAAATTTTTTTTTAACATAGACCTAGACGTTAGTGAAAATACTTAAAAAAAACCTTCAACAATTAAATAGTAATAATTTTTTTTAAGGATTAACAAATTCATTAAATTGGCTCTCAAATCTGATAATTTAGACATCACATCGTTTTTATAAAGAATTTATAATCAGACACGACTCCTATGACTTAGGGGACTAATTTTTAATGTTACAACCCAATTTTTAATAGCAATAATTGTAATACAATTAAATATATTCATAATTTTTTGACCCAAAGTATCAGACTAAAACGTGCTTCAAAAATTATAAATCTATGATAAACATAAAAATTTTAATTTAATACAAATGAGAGTGTTTTAACTAATAATATACCTAACACACTAACCACTGAATAAATTTATAGAGTGCATGCGAGATTAAAAATTCTCAAAAAAAAGTTACTCGTCTAGTTATCGAACAATTAAATTGTAATAATTCTTATTACAAATTAACTAGTAACATCTAGATTTTTATAAAATATTTTATCTTCTCTTAAACTTTAATACTTTTAAGGATATCACATAAAAAACAAATCTATTAGAATGAATTTAAGTTCAAAACGAAATTTTGATTGCTTATTTAAATATCAACAATGATCATGATTTCATAATACAATATTTCATACTGTAAATCTACATCATTTCATTTTAGAGATGAATATTACTATAAAATAAGCCCCCCGTTCCCTTGGCCTCTGCCTATCTACGTCGCTGAATGTCATAAAAGTGTTCTACAGTTTGTTATTTAGTCATGCATCATAAATCAACAAAATTTACCTAAATTAATATTTTAAATTTATATTTACTGAGAAATTTTTTTTTATTATATAACAAAAATATAGTAGAAAACATAATATTATCTACATACAAGAAAAGAGACCTCAATCAATACCAAAATTTTTACATGGCGAAGGACTAAAGGTCTTTTGTTTTTTGCTTATTACATACTCTTACTAACGCCAAAGTCATATACTGTTAATAGTAATTTTCTAATGAGGAGTTATAGCCCCTTTAGTCTCTTTTGACTTCCTAACTATTCTTAATAATTTAATGTTATTAAATTAAATTATGTACCCTTTTAACCAAGAATCATGAACAACATTAATTGTTCTAAAGACTATTCTGTTTCGCTAAATTTTTAAATAAAATGGATTATTGTGTTCTAAAGCACTTTCTGTAATATTTATTGCATAATAATTTTCTTGAATACATTTTAAAGATAAACCATAATTATTTTACATAATTGACTAAATTATATAATCACATAATATGTCCAATATCAATTTTTTGTCGCTGTTCTTAAAATAATATTCAAATACGACTTCTAAAACAAAAATTAATTTAATAAAAAATTCAACAAATTATTTATTTATTTTATGAAAGTTAAAACTACTATGGAATACAATATCATATTGTTAAACTCAAGAAAAACAATAAAACGTTGTCATTTTAAAAAAGAATATTGAAACATATTTTTAGTTAAAAAAAAATTATCTGCTATATTTCCTGTAATATTACAAAGTTAAAATAACTTATTTAATTTATACAAATATGAGACATTTCCATAATTACTCGTCGAATTACATCGTTTTATCATAGAGATGACGACAAATAAGTTTAATTCAATGATTATTTAAATTTAAAACCTATTTTTTGTCTATCATTAACAAAAATAAATTGAAAATAATAAATAAAAATTTGTATTACCCGATCATATTGATGAGTGAAAGGGGCAAAGTGGTGGTGTGGTGCTCTGGACGGCGGAGCGGCCGTACCTGAGGATCTCTGATATAAATACGGATAATACGCCTGATACATAACCTCTGTGCAGCTCATAGTCCGCACTCGGTACACGCCCGGCACATTTACAACGATTAAAAAATTCGTAAAAAATTAAATGGGCGATAATCAAAGTAATTAATACAATTATATTGAAAATAGTCTCGATTTGTTAGGTGAAACGGGGTGTTCCTTTCTTTCTCTGATATTGAAGTTGTAAATAAAGACTTTTTGTTTTAGACACACGCAAGTATTAGTGAAAACTAAAAAAAATCACCGCACCAATAAACTAACACACGTCCAATGAATTCAATAGAATACTACACTGTTTACTCAGATACACCGGCGAGATGACTGCGTGCGGCTCAGTGTATGCGCGGAACTGTTGTGATGATTTGTTCCGGTTGTACCTCGTGCGATGTACAGTCCATTGAAAGGCTTGGTTTTCCTGTTCCAGTGACACGCCTACCTCGTCCAATCAGATCGTGTCTTTGGCCGGCTACTCGGTACAGGAAGCAAGGTCGCTCGATTACCCCGTCCTTAACACCCAACACATCAACTCATTTTATCGTCCTTTAATGGGACCGCGTACACGTCTGCTATGAGCAGCTTTATATAATTATAATGCTTGAAGTACAATTAGTGTAAATTAAAAACAATAATTACATCACCCAAAGGACACTAATTCAAAAAATAAATTTAGGTTTTTCTCTCACAACTACCATATTTAAACTATCGTAGATAATTAGATGTAGGCAATTAGCAAAAGGCTAAGACATTTAAGTGAAGCCATCTTGAAGCCAAAATTATTGTAGAGTAAAAAATTATTTCAGTCAACTGAATAAATTTTTAAACTGTGTGACCTTTTAACGAAGTTTTTTTCTTTTATGGCAACCTATTTATCTAAAAATTGCCGACTAAAACTATAAAATACTGACTAATAGTGTATTATCCCCACAGTACAACTTAAATAAGATAGACTTGCATGAAAATAATTTTAATACTGTGTGCAGCAAACACCTAGATAGAATCTACTTTCAAAAAAAAAAAAAAATTTTAACTACTTACGCTCTCGAATTAATTCTACCCAATTATTTCTAATATTTAAAAATATATTTCCTACGCGTGAGGGGATTAAACATAAGAAACATGTATTATATCCTCTTAAAATTAAATAGTGAACACGTGATCATTATATTCCTTGCGGAAAGATTCATCCACTTTCCCTTCTAAGGAGTACATTTTTATGAATGTCATATTTTGATAAAGTTCTATATTATGCTTCCATCACTCTTTGTTATTATTTCGTATAAGGAGTTCATAAGGCATTGCGCAATTCACATAATTAATATTTTAGGTAGCATTTCTTAACGAATATCAAAATTTAATAACAGAAATTCATAAGAACTAATGCATTTGATCATTTGTACAGCGACTTATCGCGGCCGTATATTGATCACGTTATTTGTACAGTTTGGTATTCTAATTGTTACTAGGAAACACGGCGAGATTCAAAACTACTCTACAACGCGGTAATCGCATCATGATGACACCTTGTCATAGTACACAAAACTCTTCCAATTAATTCAATAAAGTAGAATTTGACGTTTTTATAACATTTAGTCTATGGTGGTTATTTGCAAAAATAAGTCGCAGCTTAAACAATGTGCATTACTACTTCATTTGTAAAAAGTATTTTACTTAGTGGTAGTATCCAGCGTTTGCTAGTGATTTTAAAGGGGCAGTAATTCAATAAGAAAATAATACAATTCAATAAGATAATTAGAATAAATACTGCATTACTATTAATAATTCTTATGAATTCTTGATACTGGAAATGAATTGAGTGATTGTTTTTTGTATTATCTATTATTTTAGTATTTATTATTTTAACGCCATCCTTTTACTCCTCATACCTGTGTATAAAAATAGTACTATCTTCTTAAATAATATGTTCAAAAATTATATAACAACCAGTCATTATCTAAGTTAAATCATATCTCAGTATTATAACTAGTTAATTTCGTATATTTCCATTAAAAAGACCATGTTGATTTAGATTTTAAAGGATAAGAAGAAGAAATAGAACAAGATTTTATCTTCGATACGACTATAAAAAGTTTTAGGGTTTAATTTGTCATACTTTTTGATCAACAATACATCAAAAGACCACAATATGTATTTAGCTGAAGCTATCAGCGCCATCATTTTGAAAATTTCCCCTCAATAAACAAAAATATCGTAAAAAATTACAGTTGTTATAATACTATTCATGTTAATTTTTTTAGTTTTCACTTTATATTGAAATAATTTTTAAAACTAAACGAATTTTTATTGATAATACTTCAAACATTTGCCTTGCTAGCAAGGAAAATATTGTCAACTGACAAAATGCTATTTTAAAATCCAATCATTAATCAAAATTCTGTGAGGAATTAAAAACATATCAAATTTTTTTTCTCTTCAATTTTTCATGTTTTAAAAAACTTACCTTCTCTAAACCTTTTAAAATTATCTAAAATCACAAAGTCTGGAGTTATTGAAAAAACCAAAAAACATATAATTTTTGGTAAAATTAGCAAATTTTTTAGTTTTTCATTGCAACCGATCTCTATGCCATTCAAAGCCAAATAAAATTTAAGTTCTTTTATGTACTATAAAAAAAAAATGACTTGTCTTCTATGAGTAATCAGCTTCCAAATTAGATAGCCATGTAATTTTGGTAGATTTAATAAATCACTGAAACTATTTGAATAATGATTGAATCAAAATACAATTTTCAGTGGTAACATTTAGAGCAAGTATCTCTTTATTTCAATATACATTTGTATGCAGTATTGCACTCGGAGTATAAATTAGGGTGTGGGTTGAAGGGTACCTACACAACATTATCATATTAGAATGTGATATATTAATATTGAAAAAATTAGTTTTTAATAAATATTTAATTAGCTAGCATAACACAGCAAAATGTCGATGATAATCTTTTTTTTTCCATATGCAGTCTCCATGCCTTTAACATATATTATTTATAATTCATCTTTCAAAAACCAATTTCTATCTTAAGACTTTCTTTTTACCGAATCATAAAAATACACAAGATTTCTCTTTTAGGTGAGGAATATAATCAAGAATCGACCAAAAAGTATGTAGAGAAGATTTTGTGAATAGTAAGTCGTCAATATATATTACTAATTTTGTACATTACCAAAATGTTATTTGTAATTTCAAAATGGAAATAATAATCTAGAGTAACAATTCAAATTGAATCATATTCTTTTGGTTTTTTTATTTCTAAAATTGTTCTGGCATCTACTGGAAATGTGTTAAAACAGTGGTAAAACTTTAAAATTCTTAATAATAATTATAATGCATCGTTAGTTACATTATAAGTAATAGACCATGTTACTCATTTTTTTATAATAGTATGCTTGGGATCTAAAACTTTAATCATATCATTAGAAGGTTTATTATTGTCAGATTCAGAGCTAAAAGGAATATTGTCAACATTTTCATGAATTGATAAATCAAAATTAAAGTCATAAATAGGGTTATAAAATAAGATCAAGTGAATCATTATACGTATAGTGTTAACAATTAACGACAAACTGCAGGACCAATAACTAGATTAATATCTAAAGATGGTTAAGTATGACATTGGTATTAAAAAGAAATCGACATTTTCACAACCTCATCTGAAAGTTTCCTGTTTAGTAAATTATTTTGGTATAATAAATAAAAATGTAATAATAAGAATGTAATAAATATTAAATTTCAACAAGATATATTATAAAGCGTGATTTTTTTATCATGTTTTCTATATTGCCAAAATTGATATATTTATAAATGTTAACTCGCAACACTATGCCTTATAGACAACTATACTTTAAGCATGTCTGTTGATAAAGTAATAATTAATAATAAATGGTCCGTATCGGTGATAGCGACGTCATAAAAAACCCAATTAGTTACCTGTATTTGTAATCCCTCATATATTACGTTTATTAATTTAAAAATTCGAAAAAATTCAAATCCCATTTACTATTAAAATAAAACTTCAAACATTTTATCAAATTCAAAATACGTTTTCCCATTTGAAAAAAACCATGTTGACACACTTATAAGACATAAGGGATGAACTTAAAAAGTATTAATTAGCTAATAATTTAAAGATAATATATAACTAAAAATAACCAAAAAAAAATAAAATGTTTAATTATTTTTATTGTTAATAATTGAGTGGGTTAAATTAAAAACATCACTTTGTATAAAAAATATTATTGTAATTTTTGTGTCTTTTTGAGTTAAATGTATTTTTATATTTTTTAGTTTTTAATTTATTTTAAATATATATTTTTACTTTAAATATTATCCATAAGTGATCGGATTATTATTATAAAAGATTAATCACAAATTATTTTTACTCACTGAGGATAGATAATTAACAAACAGTTCTATACTCAAACAATATTGTCAGACGTCAATAACACAATATAAAATTTTATTACAACATGATATACAAGCATCGTTCAAGCGCCCTTCCGTTGGCATGAATACCCGTACTATGGTCAGGGTATTGCGTGCATATGCAGATATTTCGCATATAGATGATAACAAATGGAATTTCCCAAGTATGCGATATTAATAAATTGAGTATCAGATTAAATTGCTGCAGCAATTTAATTCATGTATGTGTGCATCAAGTTGATTACGTGTCAGATTCAACGGGGATCACTCCAATGAGACACAAGTCTTTAGTCATTTGGAAGCCTAAAATTTAGAAATTAGCCAATTAAATATCTCTCTAATTTTCGCCTATGTACAATAATCTATTTTAGTGATTAAACATTGTTCAATTTCTAATATATTAAAATATTGCATTTATAATAATTTTTATGCATATAAAATTATTTATTTTAGTTGTATTTATATTTATATTAACCCGAGTTAAATCAAACAATTATTAATTTTTCATTTAAAATCTAATAAAAACATAGTTAACATTAAATTTCAACTTCAATTGTACATTGTATTTTCATCTTTAAATAATTGTTATTGCTGCTTATTTAATTAAACTTAATTGCCAAAATCTAACAACTTGAAATTTTTTGAAAAAATACATACATTTTTTTAAATATTAAATAACAAGAATTACACATTTAAATCTCAACATTAAATTTAAGTACATTTGTTAAATATTATTAAAACATAAAATTTTCATATTATGATTCCAATAAAAAATCATTATTTATTTAATGATTTTGATTCACAAATGTTATGTACGTATGCGATTGAACTGTTTCACAACTGCCTAGGATCCTTCTAAATGGAAAAAAAAATATCAGAAACGAATTTTTTTTTGAAAGCATAAAAAATGAAAATTAGCCACATGTTTTAATGAATATCTATTTAACTTCATTCATTACCATTTAAAAAATAAAATCTTAAAAATAAACTCTTCAGACAAAACAAATAAAAGTTTCCTAAAATTTAAAAAATATTAAATAACATTTTTGCCCCAATTGTACAGAATTATTATAGTCATCAATTTTAAACATTTGTTCCAGACAATTGATATACAAAAATTAAAGACTATTATTTTTGCTTATTTATTATTTGTGAGAGATATTTTCGGAAGAGCTACTTTTATTTGATTGATTGATTAATTGATCTAAATCTTTGTATAAGTTATTCTAACATTTTATTATTGTTGAATTAACCACAACATTAGTTATAAACATTTAAAAATTGTAAATGGTACACGTGAACAATTTATTTAATCAAGTTTAAATAAAAAATTTTAACATTCCAAATTTAACTTAATAATTTTTATTATTTTGACTTTTATTGGCTATCAACATCATTTTTAGATTTTAATTAATTTATTGAAATGTATTAAGGAAACAATTTTATTGAACGATAGATCGAACACATGAACAGTATACGCACTACGCGATAAAAAAGCAAGAGTACCTACAGTTACTAGTACGAACTACAATGGAAATTTGAATAATGTAGTTTATAAAAAATTGAAAATAAATAAAAATAATCTTTTAATATCAGTGTAATATTCGGCTGATAGTTGTCATTTCGTCAAACGTCCGCTTGTCGTCGTAATTTAGATAATACATTAAAATTAAAAATAAAACACAAAAATACATATAAATATATGCACCAACGGAATATTACTACACACACATAACTGTGAACTGTACATGCTGTACGAGGACACGCAGTATGGAATACCCACGATTAACATAATTTAGACGAACATGGTTATTAATAATTCTTTTGAATTTAAATTGTACTAATTTCAATGATATCAGCATTTCGACAAATGGAAACTATTTCTATATTACTTAACGATAAGGTATTATTATTTACTCTCTTTAAAAACACGGACCATATTATACAATAACCGATGAATTACCCATTCAAATCAAAATTTCTGTGATGACTGAGAGGGCAAGAGAAGGATGAGAATCTGTTCTGGGGGGGCGACTGTCCACCCACGTCCCCCTTTGACACCGTCTCTGGGAATAATCCATCAATTTTTAAAAATTAAACACTATCTACAGATTTGCATCTAAGCATTTTCCTATGATAGAGATTTTAATTACTGTCAGATATACTTGACCCAACTATGCCACGTCCAACCAACTATGCTGGGGTTTTTTATAATTATTGTACAACTGACTAAACTGTAAACCCCGAAATTTTAAAATCTCTTTGAATTTTTGTCAGCGGATAATTTTGACTGGAGTGTTCATGTTATCAATAGTGTATCGATAAGAGACTCGTATAAGTGTAGAGGTCATTTTCGTGGTGGTTTTGTTGAATTATTCGTAACTGCTAAATTTCATATTGTATTTTTATAGGTTTAAAATCTTTAATACCGGTAAGTTAAAAAAAACAATTGTAAAAAAATTTCTAATTATACTAATGAAAGGCATCAAATTATATAGAAAAATGGCAGTATTTTTTCGATCACGGTTGGTCACTCAACTTGCACAAGGAACATCAAAATGCTTTTCTCGAAACTATGCCGATCAAATGAGTTTTACATTTGCTGCTGCAAATCAAGTAAGAATTTTTTTTAGTTTTAAATTAAGTATTAACATATCTTTCAAATTGTTAAAGTGAAAATAATCTAATATAATAATAAATCATTTTTTTTTAGTATAATTTCGCGTGTTTAATTATGTAACTTATTTAAGGTTTACTATACAGAACAAAATGTTAAACAAGTTGATGTACCATCATTCAGTGGTTCTTTTGGTATTTTACCTAATCATGTGCCTACATTAGCCGTTCTGCGACCTGGAGTTGTAACTGTGTATGAAAATGATACAGTATCTAAGAAAATATTCGTTTCAAGTGGAACGGTATATATAAAACTATATAAACTAAAAATTACAATTAGATAAAATTGTTATTTTTAAAATCTCTTTCAATAGTTAAAAGATATCTAAAATCTATTCTGAATCGTATTAATAATTTAAATCTAATTTTGATTTTTTGATAAAAAAATATATTATCTAGTTTTAATATCAATTTTTTTCCCAAGTTTAACTTCATAATAAAAATATAAATTAATAATTTAGTTAATAAATAAATTATGTTAGATTTTTTAAGTTGAATGAACTCTCTATAATAGGAGGAATTAATTTTTTTTTTTTCTATTAGTCATATTCATTATGTACAATTATTAATACAACAAACATTTTAAAATCATAAAAAAATTGTTTTTTTTACATAAATAAAACTTTTTTATAGGTAACTGTAAATGAAGATTCTAGTGTTCAAGTTTTAGCTGAAGAGGCTCACCCATTAGAAGATTTAGATGCGTCAGCTGCACGTCAAATTTTACAAGAGTCTCAGAGTAAATTAGCTACTGCTTCTGATGAAGTTGCTAAGGCAGAAGCTGCCATTGCTGTTGAAGTAGCTGAAGCTTTAGTATTAGCAACAGGAAATTAAATTATTATAAAATATTGTATAATTATAGCTTAATAATTCGTTTCAGAATTTTTATTAAAAAAAGTAGATTGACTGAAGAAAATTGAACAGAAATTATTTAATTAACTGTTTTTTTTTTTAATTTCAACATATTTATATATAAATGAATAACTCTGTTCTACCATTGCAATATATAATTTATTTAATTATTCTCATTAAAAGTCAATTACCATCATCTTATCAATCTTTTGAAAATAAAATATTTTAAATAATTTATTATAAGTATAAACAAAGTTTTAGTCTTTTTTGTATCCTAGTTAAAATTACATTATTGTTAGTAGGTAAATGATAGAATATTCCATTCATTTTTAATGCTAAATTGTGTATTGCCACAGTCATTAACTGTACCATGTCATTAAGAACTTGTAAATTGATCAATTTAAACTATAATAATCTTAATCATTAAGGCTTTAATATTTATACAAAAAATATTAAGAAATTGTGCATAAATATATATGAAAAGTATAAAAAATATGCAAGAAAAAATTAAATATTTTACTATCACATTAAAATTACAAGTCTTTTTCAAATCTACATGTACAAAGCAAAATTCAAATTACATTTGATCACAAACTTTTCATCAATAATACTTAAACATGTATAAATTTTAAATCATAATTATTTTGAAAATTCATAAATAGCAAATGCTTAAATTTTTAATATCAGTAATGACATGTTGAGAATTATAGTGACAGAGAATTTCATAATAATGTTGAGCCATACTAAAAAAATCTAACAATCACATGTTATGAACTTTTTTATTTTTGCTCATCACATAATTTTAGAATAGAATATTACTGCCAATAGAAGACCATTTTGCCCATTGAGAATAATCATAATTATTACTATAGTAGCTAAACTAATGATAGTTTTGTATAATATTTTTCAAGTGTTTATATTAAATATAATATAACTAATTATCAAATTAATTTATTTACCATTGATTAAGATTCTTGTATTGTTAAGTTAGCTGATATTTTCATCAAACTTAATATTTCTCACAAAACCTGTTCTGGCCTAGATAAAATTTCTTATAAATTTTTCAATGAACGTAAATTTGTTAAATATACCCTTACTAATGAGACTAAAATTCTGATATTCTTCCATATAGATGAAAAATTAGTCATGTATCATCTAGTTTTAATGATAGTGATAGATCACTTACAAAAATATATAGTCCAATATAATGTATAATAAAAATTGATCACTTGTCACTAATATTATTTAAAATTAATACTAATATTAATAATATTCATTTAAAACTAAAAATATATTAAATTCCCAATAAAAGTCACAAAAAATTACTGAAAAGCCACATAGACGTATTTCGAAAACAATGTTTCTATTATCAACACTATATATACATATGAGTATGTGTTATAGTACTAATTTTAAACCAATATAATGTATTGTTCAAAAAAAAATTTGAATGAGAAACATTGGTGTAAAACTGGCGAACCAACCACAATACATTAACTCCTAAGGTCTTTAGTGTTCTAAATTCATGTTAAAATTTAATGTAAAGCAATCACTGCTTATTTGATTGTAAAAAACTGAACATTTTAATTTTTAGAGTTTATTTAATAAATTCTTATCAGCTAATCTTTATAGTATAAGTACAATTTGGAAAAGTCTTATCTTTACCATTCTTTAATTTTATTACAGATCCCCGCAGAATGAATTGAAATTATAATCATTTTGTAATATATTTACACGTTTATTATTATATAGAAATATTTTTAAACCGGGTAAAAATTAAAATATACCCTTTAATCATTTTTTTTAATGACTCCTATGCCAATCTTCAAATTTAAGTTATCTGATAAATTAAGTTATCATCCTGATTAATTTTTAATCGTTCTGTGACTAGAAAAAAAAATACACCTTATGACGGTTTTAGGTACCCGAGTTCCTACAATATAATTATCTGTACTTAGCCAGTAAATTATTTCATTGTCGTCAGTCTATCATTTTTATATATTATTATATGTAATTCGAATTATCAGTAGAAATAATTCAGTAATATCGAAAATTTTAAAATTATAGTTACGATTTATATGCCGGTTAATTTAGTTATTGACATTAACGTGAACACAATATTTACATTAATTCAAAATTGTGTATTGTTATTTGAGTTTTTATTTTATTTATTACATAATATTGATAAATGCTAAATATGGCTGATGGTCAGGCTAATAACCAACGTCGTAAATATGCTGAGAATTAGATCATAAGCAACGGAAAACTCGAAAATCTTGTTCAACTAGCTCAAAGCCTATTTGCAATGAGCACTCAATAAATAAATCATTATGCGAAACTTGCAATCAACAAGAAACATAAATACGTTATAATATTTACTATATTCACTAAATATGCAAAAAATAACATTTTTATTCTATTAATATTTGTACCTATTTTAATGTTCAGTACAAATAATTATCAATGGTAATTTAACTTTTTTTAGCTTCGATGCAAAGTTGAGAAGGTATTAATTTTACTATGTGTTTTTTTTATTTTAATTTTTTTTGTGTCTTGCCACCTTTTCAGCTATCACCGAACTGATTTCTTTCAACAATACGTCAAAAGATCACAAATCGTGTCTAGTCGAAGATATTACCCTCAAAAATTGAAAAAATTTCCCTCGTTCCCTGTAAATGGGGGAAATCTCTTAAAAAATTACAAATTTATAAATCGCTAATTTTTTAAATTTTTTTTATTTAAAACTGCCATAACTTTTTCAAAAATAATCAAATCAATATAATTTTTTTTATAGGTGCATGATGTCTTTACCTATCATTTATAATATATTTTTTATAAATCTGACCCTTTACCAGACCACAGGGGAGGATTTAAAATGACAACTTTTTTACAAAAAATTAACTTTGTCAGCTTAATTTTTGAAAGTGTTCTGAATGTGAATTACTGACACTTTTATATATATCTTAAATAAAGCTTATGTAATATACTTTATTATGGAAAAAAAAAATTCGGACTGTAGTTTGTTTTCATGGTGAAAACTAACATTAAAGTTAGTAAAAAATTTTTATTTTATATTTTAAATTTTATAATGCTATAACTTTTTGAAAAATAAATGGATCAATACAATTTTTTTATGATAAATACTATTTATATACCTCTTTCATTCGACTTTTTTATTAAATAAAACCATTTCCATTTATATATTTATTTTTTTTATATATTACACTTATAAATCATAAAACTTGCAATCAGTATATAAATAAGGAAATAGAAGATCATGTAGCTTTGGACTAATACACCAATTTTTTATAAATTATATATTTTCCAAATACAAAATATAAATTTGTCAAACTATACATGCTATGTAGAGATGTCACAAAATGACTAACCATACATACTAAATATTTAGAAGAAAATAAATAAAAAAACTGGAAAGAAAGCCAGGTACCTTTCCAGTCTCATACTTGTATTATAAATGTTATTAATTAATAACAATATTTATTTATTTAGATGTAGAAAGGAATATTTTCAAAAACAATTAATAACCACTAAAATATTAATAAAAATTTTAACTATAATTATGAAGAACCATACTATATAAATATTATCTAAAATATTCTAGGTTACAGAAAAAAAAATGTTTAAAATACAATTTTTACTTAAAATCATTGAGCTGATTGTAAATGTTTAAGTCGCAATATTTTTGCTCGGTTTTACTTTACCTGTTGACCTTAATACTTATTTCACTTTATAGGGCAATCATATTTTGAAAGGCTCTACTCAAGATCCTTATCTGTATTATGAGACTCCCTTATGAATAAATATTTATTATACATACATTATTCATTGTTTTTAAAGAATATTAAACCAATATGTTTATATATTTACTAAAATTTACTGAAAATTGCATTTAAATAAATTGATATTATTTAAATTTGCCGTTCATTGTATTGTAATTCAATATAGTTACCTATTACTTTACTTGTAACTAGTAATTAAAGAAGTACATCATGCGTGTTGGTTCTGTTTACTGGACAGAGCAGATCTTGATAACTAGATTTATGCTTGACTCATTACTTTGATTTTTATTACATGCAATGATCTCGTTTTGAACATTACAGAACCGTATCCAGTTCCCCCTATGATGTTAAAAGATACGCTCACACATGACTAATGACATAATTGTTAATACCACACTCGCTGTGCGAAGAAAGTCACCTTACAGTGTGTGTTAAGCTTACACATTGATTAGTAATTTTCTGAGTATAGCACAACAGTACTGTTCATTTGATTTTACTATTTTAAACCTGTTATTTTAAAATATTCAACTATAACAAGTTATAAATTAATTAATTTTTCTGAGTAATTTTCTTATTCACAATGAAAGCAGCTTATTCCATTTTCTTATTTTTTCTTTTTAGTTTATCTTTAAGATATACAAATTGTCAAAAGCAAGTTGTAAGTATTTATTTTCCGTGCTATTTAAATTAAAAATATTTTTATCGTAAAATTACAATAGACAGGGAAATGTAGAGCTCCAGAAAAAGCTCCTCAGAATCTCGAAAAAATCATTAATACTTGTCAAGAGGAAATCAAATCAGCTTTACTACAGGGTAAAATAAATTTTAATTGCTACAGTAAAAAGTGAATTCCTTAAATAAATGTTAAAATACGTTTGTTTTATATATTGAAACCGCATCATGTAGTTTTTATAATAATAAATTATACACATGAGCTACCTACGTCAACAAATCTAAGTTTTGAATGAATAAAAATTTTAAAATGCTTTTATGAGAGTCAAGTATTCCAAGTTAGAATCTCTTTATTCTAATACGATGATTTTTTTTACACATTGATAACTCAATTATTTTTCAAATTGCAAAAATGTTTACAGAAGCATTAGATATTATTAACAGTGGCGGATCTTTAGAAGAAAATTTAACGCCGATACAAAACCGACCAAAACGAGATACCGACAACGAAGAACTATCTAATGAAGAGCGGAGAGTTGCCGGGGTGAGTTAATTTATTGATGGCATTTAATTTTCTAAATTATTTCAAATTTTGAAGTAATAATTATAGAGATACAAAATATGTATATTATTATGCACATTATTTTCTATGTTAAATTTAAATATTTTACTTTTGAAATACTTTAATAATTTATCCCGAGACAAATATTTCAGATTGTCACTTAAATTATGGTGGGATTTGAGTCTTCCTACAAATATACCATGAAAATGATTAAAATCTATAATAAGTATTGAATGAGGGTTGATCCAAAATTTTTTGAAAGGAAAAATATTTTTTAGACTTCAAAATTAATGTTTTGCTTATTTTATTGTTTAAAATACTTTTTCTTAAGTAGGCGATGGTGGCCCAATGAGGTGACGTACACCCTTCCCCTGGATCCACCACTATGTTGAATTATAACAATACCATTTTCTCCAGCCTAAAAAAACATAAATCAGAAAAATATCTAAAAAGATAATTAATAGTGTATTAACTTAATATTATTATGATAAAATACAACCTAAAAATTACAAAAAATATATTTTATATTCTAAATATTTATCGTCGTCTCTCATTTTAATAAAACTAATTTGTATTATATTTAAGTTTTAGTAAATTAATTTTTTTTTATACATATATTTGTCCTACATTTTCAATTGGTAATGAAACATATTATTAAAAATATTATAAAAACTGTTTAATTTTTAACTTTTTTAAATATTTTTTAAACATGCATTAATAACAACTATTTGGCAATTAATTTCTTCATTGAAAATAACAATGTACTTTTGATTTATGTTTCTGTACATTTTTGATGAATTATTGATCATAATCATTTCGTATATAACGACAGTAATAAACATTCAATAAATTGATCATTTTTATATAAAATAATAAATTTTTTATTTTTTAAATAACAGGAAAATATTTATTTATATATTAATATAATATTTTAAGTTTAAATAATACATTAAAAAAAAATGATGGGAACATTTAAAATTTTAAATTTATCTATGTAACATAGTTGTATACAGAGCGTTCCGAGGGTCTTAAACTCTCTTTGTTAAAATGAAAAACAATTGAAATCTTAAAAATTAGAAACTAAAAATAGATTTTTTAATAGATAACTTAACTTAAAACTACCACACTTCAAAAAAATCACAAATACATAATGTAATATGATGTAACATAACTAGAAATTCTTAATTAAACTTGACTAAAAAATACAATGATTATTAGTATAGATGTATTAGTTAACAGCAAATTTACTGTAGATATATTTCTACTTATAGCGTATATGAAACTATACATTTATAACTAGTAGCTGAGAACATATAAATTTGTTGATTGTTATATATCTTATAAGAGATCCCATTCACTTATTACATAATGAAAAACCAGTTTATTTATGGTCGTTGAGTTAAAATCCTCATTGCTATTTTATGTTCATTAATAAATATAAAGTTTGTTATTGCTTAAATTAACGCTGTAATAATCATTATTTTTTTTTAGTGTTTGCTCCAGTGCGTTTACAAGAAAGTGAAAGCAGTGAGTACATTTTTTGTTATAGCACAATACTATGTTAGTCAATTAAAATATGGCTTCTAATTTATACGAAATTCACAACTTTAAGGTCGATGATTCAGGATTCCCAATAGCTGATGGATTACTACAATTATACAATGAGGGAGTTCAGGATCGAAATTATTATTTAGCTACAGTAAGTGCTGTTAGACATTGTATGTCTATAGCTCAACAATTAAAACAACTTCAACCATCACAAAAATTCGGTAAATATATCTACTCACAAATAGATATTGAAACTTTTTATTATTTTCATTTATTTTTATTATTAATGTTGTTTTATAATTTGTTGTTATTATTTTTAAATACTCGTAATACTCATATTCGTGAAATTTTCATAATTTTTCCAAGCCATTAGGAAAACGAAATTTAATTACATATATTGTCTTTATCCACTAAAATATCATCTTATTATGCACAAATTCACCAGAATTCATAATTCGGCTAAATAATCTCTATCGCATCAATTTTTTTTTACAATTGCGATTTTGGAAAATATTTTTACATACAATGAGAACAATAGAAACCCGTTTCCTGACTTACTGAACACCCTGTACATGTAATTAACTATTGAAATAATAAAAAATGTATAGTTTTGAAACCTTTCTTACGTAAGAAATTTAAATAATTTGATTTCTATGAAAGAAGTTTAAGCACATTTGTAGAATACTTTTTTTTCTTGATATTTAATCAGGCGAAATAAACATATATAATTTCCATTTAAATAACTAAAATTAGAAGTATTTATAATATGCAAGGAAATAATAAGTTGTAGTTAATTTCTTTACTACATCATAAATCAAGTTCAGATAAACTTTTTTGTAATTTTTTTTCGATGTAATTCAACAGATAAGTATAAGCATTATTCATTGTCAACCATAATCTATTTATAAATTTCCCGTTTATTGATTATAAGACATTTACATTATTAAAGATTACTAAAATATATTATAATAATGATAAAAATAAGTTTTCAAATAATTCTCTTTAACTAATGTCCATTGTTAGTCATGGTAAAAGAGTGGGACAAGGAAATATTTGTGTGCAATCAATAATAAGTATACCCAATTATGAAATTTTTAACTGCTTAATATTTATGCAATAAGAATTTAAAAAATTAGTTAATGTAACCATAAAAAATTGATCATAACTGTTAGTACATGTTTTTCATGAGATAGGCATAATTGTAATTAAAGACATTTAATCGATATGGCCGTTTAGATAGTGAGTAAAAATTGATAAAACATTTTTAGTACTATACATGATTCAATATGTAAAATTTTTTAATATGCAAATGTTTTAATATGTATTATGTAATAATTATTATTAAAAACTGTTAAACATCCCGTTATAAAAATAAAAACTGAATTAAAATTGAAATATTAAATTTAAATGTTGTTAATATTTAATATAAACGTTTAATTTTCGTTTTTTTACAGATGATGGACAAACTTGTGATTTAGCTTACGAAATGTTTGAATGTGTCAGTGAAAAAATTGATGAAGTATGTACTTTTATATATAATTAATAGAAATTTGGATGTTCATCAAAAACTATTGAAAGTATTTCATTGTATATAATGTTTTAATACTTTTTTTCCAGAGCTGTGGAATCGGAAATCAACATGTTAGTTTAAGTCAACATTTAGTTTAAGTTCCAAAAATTTATTTGATACATAAAATAAAGGAAAAACTAAATTTATACACATATGTAGAGCAGATAGTATGATCTTTAAAAAATACAAGGTTTATAATAATCACGCTAGTATTTGCACCTGTAAAAATGTTTTTATGGAAATATGGAAGGTTTTTTCTATTGTATTTATCATTATAAGAATATGTCAGTTAACTATTATATATGATTTATATGTTAACCCAAAAAATGAACAAAGGGTATTAATATATACCCTATGTTCATTTTTACAAAATATTATTTTATATTGTATGGAAAAATTGATCTTCTTAAACTTTATGCCTATTTAGATTTTAAATGTAAAATATGTAAGATAAATTATTATCATAGTGTTATATTCTTAAAAATATTTTTGTTAAACAATTTTTTATTTCATAATAAATGCAAAATTATACTATTATTACTAATTAATTTTTTATTTAATAAAATAAAAGTTGTTTTTAAAATTCGAAGTACAAAATTAGGATTTTGTTTTTTCTTATAGGTTATAAGATAATTTTTAAATTATAATTATTTAATTTAAATAATTTGTATTTGACATAAGTTCAAAGCACGGAATCTTATCGGGATTAGAAATTTGAAATGTTTATCAAATCTGAAAATATTAAAAATATCTCTATTATGCGGTCTTTAACATTTAAGGAAATGTAAATAAAATGTAATTTGTTTTGAATCTTACAAATAACTATTCTAATAATTTATATGTAACTCTCCGTCTTTGATTTTATAATATTAATTATCTATAAAAACCTTGAAATTTTTTATTTAATTAACTGGATAAAACCAACATTCTGAAATTATACTAAACCACATTTCAAAAGTTATTTATTGAAATCATTCATCCTTCATCTATTGTTACGCATACATTTTTTATTATGTTTAAAACTATATAACAACTATTTTTATTAAAATGAAAATAAATTTATTGCGACTTTTATTAAGTAGAATATTAATAGATGGTAGAACAAAGAAAAAATAGTTCGGTTAAAGATGACACTTTTCGACATTTTTTCGTATATTAACTATATTTAATCTTACAACGTGAATTCCCTTTCAAGTATTAGTTTTAATTTATTTCTAATAAATCAGTACCATAGCCATATTTTTAACCAATTGATAAATTAATAAACAGTATAGGACATTACTTCTACCAAAGTCTAATTTCATTTAACAGCAAAAAATTTAATCTTTATTCCGATAAATTATGGGAACTGAAAAGACATGGGTATATTTATGAGACGAAGACTTAATAGATACTTTAAATAAATTAATCTTTTTATACATTTTATAAGTTTTTTTTACTCTCGAATTTCCAGTCTTACAGACCTCTAAGTGTGACCAACACTATTAGAAAAATGTTTAAACGAGTAATAAAATTATAGTTAAAGGTCTGTAAGACTATGGCGATTTGAATGGAAAATGATTTTTTCTAAATCATGTTCGAATATTTGTTTGACTAACTGTGTAATGTTTGTGATTAAAACTGATGTACTGACATATTAACACAACTTTGTTTCAATTTCTGTTCAAAATATTGTACTTTTCGAGGTACATTTCGATTAATTAAAAAAACAGTAAAGAGTCATTTGATTAATGACTCATAAAATTAATAAGATTTCTTAACTCATTCATTATCATTTTTCGAGTCATCGTAGAGGAAATTTCAAAATAATAGCTGTCTATTACTGAAAGTAAGATTCATTTCAAGGATATTATAGAAGTATTTAATGGTGTTTTCACAAAAAAAACATTTTTTTATTTTCGAATATACTTTGATTTGTTTGTAAGCGTATACTGTTTAATATAAATAGTACATAAGTATTATTTTTCTAAGATATATGTCAATTAAATAATTTAAAAAAAAAAATTTAACACTGGAAATATTTCTCTAATAATAAAGCACATTATGAATACTGTAATACTTTAAATAAAACTTCAGTTAGTTTTAGTTTTAATTTTAGTTATTAGTGAAGTGGACATAATGACCATACACACAGACCTGTTGGTCCATTGTGCAATCATCATTGGAGGTATGCACAATAGACCAAATCGTTATCACCGATTTGATTTGGTCTATTGTTATCATTGAAATTTTATTACATTATATCTATCATTATGAAATAAAACTTAACTTAATCAACTATAATTAAAGATTTATATTTTCGAAATTAATTTTTTTATCAGTTTTTTTGACACGAACTACTATGTAATAATATATAACATTTTAAATTATATTAAACTGAACAATTCCAAGTGCAATCAATTTGTATATTCCTTTTACCACAAAAGCAGCTGAATATGTTGACGCAAAGTTGCGGTTAGTGTTTGTATTTAAAAACAAGTTTTTGCTACCCACGAATTATACCATTCTGTTTTCTTATAACGCAAAAAAAAATTGAAAACTCTATTAATAAAAATACTAAAATTAATATTTAAAAACTAATTCTTTGTTTTTTGAACATTTAGTATAATTTTATAAAGAAAGTTGTTTAATAGAACTCTTTACAACTTAAGTTAATGGATTTATAAAAATTATAGGTTTTGATTTTATTAATTATTTTAAGGATCTTAGGTAATTATTAGTTTTATTTTCTATAATTTAACCTGATAAATAATTATAAATATTTGCAAGTTATAATAAGTAAAATTAGTTGTTTAATTTATAAAAAATAAAGACTAATTTAGTAAAAGTTTCTTATTTAATAGATTAACAACGTTCAATTTCGGTCTAATAAATGGTAGTGTAATGAAGAGTTTTAAATTCTAAATGTTTAACAATGGAGAACAAAGTGGTGTTTGTTTGTAAATATTTCGAATATTAAACTTTAAATTAACAGTATCAACATCAATGGCACCTATTGACCGTGACGTCAGTTGTATCATCCTTCTATCTTCACGGTAAAATGAGTAAGACCTTAAGATTCTCAGTAAATTATGTTAAGAACTAAAAACAGCCGGACACTTGTTTTTTGGCGCCATTCTAGTAATATCATAGTGCCAGACATTACTAACTGTGTATGAAGTCTTTACATTTAATAATATTCGTAGTAAGTAAAATCATATTTTATTAATCCAAGCCATTAAATTATTTTGATTAATTAATACTTAAATACATAATATATATCACTTAATAATATATAAGAACTTAACAGAAGAATTTATAATTTTCGAATGTGTGACAAAAATTTGAAGGTTTTTCTTAAGCTAAACACCATAAATTATGTTTAAATAAATACGAATAAATTGAATTACTTTTACCCGTCCCTTGTTTGTCTAGCGATACGGTATTTTTGTCCAAAATGATAAAACACAAGAAAATTACTACATTGTGATCATGAAAAGTCTTCATATTAGTGTCTTACACTTGTCTTTGAAGTTTCTAAATTAAGGAAAAACAATTAATTTATGTAAAATGATTACTTGTTTGAGGTAATAATCCTGAAATAATTTTCCATTCTTTATTTTTAATAATAATCACTTTTTTTATAACTCAGTTACGACATGATAGAGTAAATCATCCATAGTAATACATATTACTATGGATAATTCATTCCTAAAAGGAGTTAAATTTCTTCAATATTCCATGCTTTTGATAGGCTCTTAAAAAAATTTTAAAAGCGATTTATATAGTTATTCATTTACTAAGGTATCTTAACTCAGTTTTGATCATTAACTATTATTATGTGAATTTAGTATATAAAATCTATCCCGATTTATAAAAATATAATGACTTATATATTTATATTATAATTTATTATTTTTAATAATTATAATAAACTTTTTTGTTATATTTTTTATTTCTCTTAATTTTTATAACATAATCGTGTTTTATTTATATTAGAGTAAAAATCAGTATCATATTTATTCAATTTTTCAGTTACCAAAATTACTTGAAAACAATTTTTGTTATTAAAAATTAAGCAAAAACATTTGTTTTTGTAAAATCAATATATAATATCAAAATTATATATATGATACGAAATAATATTAAGTACGCTATACTGTATGTTTAGTTTAGTATAATATTATGCAATTTTGTCGAATTTATTTTAGTTTAATGGAATACGTAAATGCAATATTCTTGCCCATTTTTTATGATTTTCTCATAATTCAAAACAAAAGAGCGGTTTAAATAAATGTTTTATTGTAAAATTATTATTTTTAAATTATAAATGAGGGCATTGACGTTATTATTTTGCGTGTATTTTACGCCGTATTAATCATTAAACTTAAATTAAATTTTCTATTATAATTGTACTTTTGTCTGATTTTCAATATTTTAAATTTAGAATTATAAACATGAGTTGTTTAAAGTAAATTCACTAATGAATCAACGATTTGAGATTACTTAGTACTGTTGAGTAATACTTTATTTTCTAATGTTATACCGTGAGAATAGTACCATTATGCATACATGGTTGTGGCCTCTTTTTAAATTAAAGTGTTGTATGACCCTGTGATATTTTTATATCATTATTATTCTATTAAAAATAGTTATAACGGAGAAAATTAAAATCTAATGGGAAATTAATAAAGTATTATTAATGCAATGTCGTTTTTTTCTTAAATTACACTAGATATCTTTAAAGGTCCCCAGGTGAACTTATAAATCTAATAAACTCATCTAATCATAATAATTATAATACTGTTAACTATTTATTTTATGAGAATAATAGTTACAAATTGGAAAAGCCATTATTAATTTATACCGACCAATTTTATATGTCGTTTGTATTTAAATCCATTGAAATTTGTTCAGAGATGGACAAAATATTTGGTTTCCATGTTTGAGTTTACTATCCGATTAATCAGGTATGAAGTTAAGGTGCGGGATGACAAAGGATAGGTTTTTTCATAGATCCCACACAATAAAAGTCATTAACAAAAACGTCAATCAGTTGCTTGGATTCAATTCTGCAGTGATAAATTGTCCCATAATCACAAATTTAATTCTGTGAATAATAATTCAAGTATGTCTATTGACATATTTTCTTTCAAATAGAAAACAATTCACAAAAAAAAAAAATTGTTAAAACTTAATTAACACCATTCATTGTTTTAAGTTTATAGGTATTTTAAATTCTAAATGTTGTAAATATACAAAAACATCGTTCGCTAATAATTCTAATATTTATAATCAGATTTATGTATTTCAGATTTAGTTGTAGGATGGCTACATAAATTTTGGTGCTCTCATATTTTTGTTTTGTAAAATTTTTTAATAAAAAATTGTTACGAAAATTGATTTAGTAAAAATTCAAGAGAAAAAAATGCTCCCCTTGCAGACAATAATGAGTATACACAAAGGGAAATGAAACTATTAATTTATTTATTTATTGTCATAAATTTAAAGTTTTTGAAATTTAATTTAATTAAAGTAATCCTTCAAATACAACGTAAAAATATTAAATAAGAAATGTAGTTAAATGAGAAATTGTGCATATTTACATCTGTAAAATGTTTAAAATCTTTTATAATTAAGGCAAAATCAGTGATAATTTTGAGATTCAAAATGTTCTTAATAGTACTTACCTATACGCAATATTCTAATAATAATGTTATAACGTAATATTCAATCTTCACATTTTTCATAAACATAAGCCTAATATAAATTTTCGCGATCGAGTATATTATTTTATTTAGCTCAAACAATTATAAAATTCTTTCACATGAAGCATGTACATATAAATATATGTGTGATAACGTACATTTCTTAAAAATCTTGTATACTGTACTCAGTAAAAAAAAATAACAACTTCCTATATAAGTAAAGAAAAGATTATTTTTCATTTGAAGAATAAGGAGAAAACACATTTATTCTTTCATACAGTCAAGTGACTCCTTCTAAAAGATTTTTACTGAATCCGTGCCAAAGAAATTTTTGATTTGGCCTTGAAGTAATTATGATTTTGGAAGTTATTGAAATGTAATATCTTACGCCACTTCTATCTTAAGATTTAACAAGTTAAGAATAAAATGAAACGTGTTGACATTTTGGTAAAAATAATAAAAATCACACGCTCATGTTACGTGATACGTAAAATTACTGACTTTATTCAAGACTGACACAAATCTATAGTTTCGGCATTCAGTCTGCCACAATACGTTGATGTTAAGTGAAATTATGTATTTTTAAATGAATTTTTTTTTTTCAGAGCGATATGCCTTTTTTGATGCGATTGATTTTTGCGATTTTTATTGTTTATACAGCTGCCGAAGAAAAAAAAGATTCTGCTTTAGACAAAAGACAAGTACCAGTTAACGGCGATTTTACAGATAGATCATCAGACGGGTCTTATGCGTTCCGGTACGCAGACAGCAATCAGTTCCACACGGCAGCAGCAAATAAAGACAATGTAGTTGTCGGCAAGTACGTTTAAATGACTACATCACATTATAATATTATAATGTTGATGTTCTATTAAATAATATAAATTATTTAATGGAGTAACACTAATAAATGATAGATTTCACTCGTCCGAGATTAGTTAGAAATATTAAATCTTGATACCATTAAGTTTTAAGGGGTATTATAACATCAAATGATCTTTTATTTTATGGGTATATATTTTTATTAGATGATAATAATTAGGAGCAATGGCATACCGATATTTTTCAATTTAATGACTTATCTATAAATCATTTTTTGTCGTTTGTTTAATTGAAATTTAGGCTTAGTCTAATCAATGAAACGATAGGTTAAACTATTTTAGGTTCTCTAAAAATACGACTGATTAGAATTGTTTAGTAAAATAAATAGATTAAGTTTCTAGAACCTATAAATTTTAAATATACGAAAAAATGTTGACAAATATAAAGAAGATACACCGTGGTTAATTAACCTTATCATCTTTAATAACGATCATCAATGCAAATTTTATTAAGAAAAATGTACTAATAAAATAAGATTTAAGAAGTTATCGTACTATTTTGATTTAATTTGAAACATCTACATAAATAAAAGATTCAATAAACACACCTTTTTAAAAAAAAGCTTGAATTTCAAGTTAATATTTTGATTTTTACAGTTTTGGGTCTAGAAATCCAGAAACAGGACGTATTGGACAAACTTCTTATTCATCAGGTCCTCGCGGTTTTCGCGCACAGGGTCCAGATATTGCAAGACAGACAGACTTATCACAAATACGGTCTCCGTACATACCACCAGTTCCCATAGATTCTTCTAAATATGATCCAGCGTACGATAGATATTACGATCCAAATGAAGATGCGAGTTATAAGTACACTGTTCGAACGCCTACTTTATCCAAAGCGGAGACGTCCGATTCCAGAGGCCGTGTTATTGGCGCTTATTCGTATCTTGACGACGTCGGTAAGAAGTACTATATAGTATTAAGTATTATGAAATGTCAAACATTTATATAATTATAATAACTATAAATTATAATTATGACAATTTGTAATAAAAAACGCAATTTTTTTCAAATTGTTAAAAATATACATAAAAACTTTTTGAAAACAGAAAAATTTTTCAGGTAAACGACATGACGTTCAATATGAAGCTGGAGCCGGAACTGGATTTCACATAAAAACTGCTCATCCAGATTCGATTCCTTTTAATGGTGTTTTTTATAGTGGTCCTCCGGGTAAACCGGGTGGACTACCTCGTGGCACTTCATCTGTAGTGTTGGGAAAAGACGGTTCGTACGGGTTTACAGCATCTGGGCCGGATCAAAGGCGATCAGAAGTTAGTGACTCAAATGGACGTGTTCAGGGCTCTTATACATACGTTGATGATAAGGGAGTGCAACGTACTGTACAATATGTCGCTGGTTCAGGAATAGGATATCGTGTCATTAATAACTCGCCGGTTTTACAACAGTTACCGTTTCCTGCCCCATCTATTTTGCCCCCTTCATTATTAATTACCTCTACACTTTCACCGAGTAATTTTGAACAAGATTTATTCGGCTCGACATCTAGTACGACCTCGTCACCATCATTATCAAGTCCCAGAAGAGATACAGAAATTAATAATAGTTACAAAGGCAACGACAAAGAATCTGATTTTTTGTCGCCTGACAGTTCTTTGCCTTTAGGTTCAGCTTTTCCCGAAGATGACCCCCTGCTGCCCCCAAGAAAATGGCCGTTAGTATACAAAAATAAAGATGAAGAATCGTTTTTTCAATCATTAGAAAAATTTAACAAAGTAAAAGAGAATAGTCAAAAAACGCATTTAGCCGTACCGGAAAATTCATATGGGCAATTAAAACCGATAGTAGTGGATCAGATCAATTATGGAGAATATGGTGGCACAGACTACCAAAAACCTCATCACAGTAAAGATACGGTTGAATATGAAAACAACAATTTTATTGGATTTCCACCAGGTACTATAGTTAAAGGTTATGTCCAAAATATAGATATATTGCCATTTGGATACAGAGTGCCATCTCCTTCATATGTCTTTGAGAAACAATTTGGAAACACCGATGACATTCAAAATTCAGTGCAAAAATAATTTAAGATTTATAACTTTTTTATCATTGATATGATAATTGACAAAACTACCTTTTTAATGAGTATGTAAAAATATTTACTAATATAGTAAAATACAGCCGCGTTAATTAAATTTTCTTAGTTATATATTTTATTTATTATTACATTAATATAATCCACGATAAAAAATTATAAATTTTTTTATTTATTATTAACAACACTTTATTTTAAGAAATTAGTGGGATGAAAATTAGTGGTACAACTAGGAATTTTTTCGGGAGGAGTTAATTAAAAATAAAAAAAAATTGTTTGCCCATTATTTTTTGATAAAATTGATTAAAAAAATCTTCAACCAAACAATTGATTAAACATCGCAATAAATTTCAAGAATAGTGAACCATTGTCACAATTCCCTAATCTTCCTAGTTGCACCACTATATACAATTATGAGTATGTACATATAGTTTTAATCAAAACTAAATTTATTATTTTACATTGTTACATAGAAAAATTAAATATAAATAGTTACTTCTTACTTTTTCTGTTTTAAACTTTTACACGTGAAATTAACATTTAATCGTTATTGTTTTAATTAGTTATATATGATTTGTAAACGCATTATAATTTATTAATTATTAAGTTATGATCCAAAATCATGACGCCATTTCATCCTTCTATTTTGAAACCAAACTTTAACCTGAAAATTGAACTTTTAAGTTTAACCTAATTATTGTTAATATTAACAAAATTATTATATTAGCATCTTGCATATTGAAATAGCATATAATTGTTTGACGACTAATAAATTGTATATAAAAAAAGTTGGATTTATATACCAAAAAATGAATTTTTCTTCCGCATCTTTTTGTATATAAATATTTATACTTTTTTATATGATCTCTTAGTAGCCCATTCATTATACCGCCACTTCCGTCGAAAAAGGAAATATTAAATATTTAAAATATTTAATTCTTAAAGCTACAAATATATTCTGTGAAAAAACCACAAATATGTATTTTGACAACCAAGTTATCATCAGTGTTAAAAAATAAAAAAAAATAAGCTTAAGCACCTGTTTAAAGTATAAAAGATGGTTAAAACAGTAATTAATAAGTGAGAAATCAAGAAATATAAGAAAATAAATATAATTTTAGATAAAATAAAGATTATTTTATGAGAAATCGAGTGATTATTCCTAAAAGAATCATCCTAAGATATATACAGAGTGATTAAAAAGTAAGGAATTTTTATGAACAATGAGAATAATAGAAACTTTTTTTTAATTATTAAACACCTATATATTTATATATTTAAACTTAATTTGTACATATATATTATACACAGCATTGTATTCTTATTTTAAAGCACAGGCCAGGGATGTAATTGAACGAGTAGCGCAAATCTTAGAATTATCTTTTATAAAAACTAGACATATTTTATTATGAAGGAGCATATGTTAAAAAAAAATTTCCCTGCAGGGGACGTATCTTTGAAAATTTGCCAGTAGTGAAACTAAATCTCAATATAGCCTTGATTATACATATATATTCATTTTATAAGAAATTTCAGTACAAACTCTATTAACTATACCTGTTAAAACTAGAAAAATAATAGTATAACAGAATTTTTGCTTTAAACATACATTTGTAAATTTAGATATTATACAAAAAAATTTTAGGATTTGTAACTAAAGTTATAACATTATAAACAACATAAGATTTTAGATCTTTTTGAGGCTGAAATTATTTTTGATACAATGTTTTATATTTAATGGTAAAATAAGAATCTGTGTTCTATTTATGATAATATATAGAGAGTCTGTTAATATTGGGCTTTTATTTTAAATGATTGAATATGAAATATTAAGTTTTTTTTTTATTGAATAAAAATCAATTTTCACTACATTTCTGAGATCATTACAAATTAGTTTTTAACAAGGAATCGGCTTGCTCAAAGTATGGCCTGGTCGGCAAGAGTGCAAATTGATCGGCACCAGTTTTCATTATTTTTATTTTTAATAATTTTATTAATTATTATGACTTCGATTGTATTAATTCCTTTATGATAATTTATATTTTTATAGTATTAACATTATAACTACGCGTCAAAAATGTTTAGCTACTGGAAATTTATCAAGTTCTTGACTTTTAATTTTTCTTAAATGTTCTTTAAATCTACCCTTAATATTTCTTTTAGTTTGGCCCATTCACTGAAACACTTAACAAAGATTCCATTTTATATTTTAAAAATGTAATAAAATAGAAAGGGGGAACTATTTTATTTTTAAATTTACCTAATAAATCTTTTAAGTTATTACTCTTAGAACTCACTTATGTAATCCTGATGTTTTTGAAAATTCTAATTAACTTATTATAAATACTCTGATAATTAGTTATTTAATTACATTTGCTCCTTTTCACTAAAAAGTGAATTACCATTAGGTTTCTTTGCCAGAATAATTTTGTGGCTTTTAGAATCTAGTATTTTTAATTATTATTTATTTAATTCATTTTAGTTTATGAAATTCGACTTTGTTAAAATTATTAGTTATAAATAAGTTAATAGAGATAAATTAGTTAACCTGTGAGTCATTCAGTCCTAGCGCAGTGGCTAATTCTTTTCTATTAGTTTTGGTTATATACTTTTCAATCTGGAAATAATGTTCAAGCCACTCTTTTTGTTTTGTAGTGAATACAGCTCTTCCTCCTTTCTTTTTCTCTAGTATAAGTATAAAAAACAATATTTTTAAAACTTGAATTAAATTATGCCTTTTACAATTAGTTTTTAATTATTAAATGATTGGATTATTGATATAAACTAACAACTTTTATAGGACTAAAAAATTATCGTTTGTTCACAATTATTTTATCGAAAAAATTTTCAAATCAAGTTAATTTGTAAAATAAATAAATTTGAGAGGAATTTAATATTTAAATTTTTTTTTTCTTTGCAAATTATTTATTACTCAATTAAAGAAATAACATCTTAATTTTAAAATAATCACCACCTTATGTAACATAATTACAGACTTTAATAAATGAAGATTACGAGGGTAAATAATCCCCCAGAAACAGTGGTGTAGCAAAGGAGAGCTAAAGGGTCTGTATTCTTCTCATTAGTTAATTATTACTTTTAACAGTAGGTATATAACTTTGGCGCTAATAAAAGTATGATAAACCCAAAAAAAAAACCTTAGCCTCCCCCAATCATAAATCCTGGCTACGAATGAATCCACATTTTTTAATCATTTAAACAGTTATTCAACCTTATTATTATTATAAGACATCAATGATAAAATTATCATGAGAAGATATTTATATACACAATTAATTCGTACTCAATAAATATAAATTTGTTCATTTTCTTTAATAGTAGTACGTTTAAATATATTAATATTTATAATTTTGAATCAGTTAGTACTTTTATTGGAATAAATATTATATAAGTAGATACGTAAAAACTTACGTTGTTTATTGAAACAATAATTATCCAGTATCCGATCAATTCCAAAACTTAGAGGTTTAGCTGAAGCTTCAGAACAGTTAGTCTTTAGATTGTTCATTTTTGAACTGAAAAATACATTTTTTTTCTCAAAGTTTTTAGCAATCAGTCAATAAGTGTTGATAGAGTAGGGGAAGATAATAAATTTAAAATGGCTATGGTATTTGTCTGCTATTTTTAAACGTTGTTACTACATTGTTTACGTCCTCTGTGGTTTATATTGTTTATAAAATTATTGAACATTTTGACCGCGTATTAACACATTTTTTTTAATACGTAACAGTTGTGACCAACTGTTACAAGCAAAAATAAATCTGAACTACATCAATTATGTTCAACTGTTTTTTACAAAGTATAATTGTGAAAACATTGTGTATCCGGAAGTGAATTTCAAATACATAAGAGAAACATTAGAGTTATATATTAAACATCCAGAATCAATAAACAGAAAAAAATCAAGAGAGAAATACATATGCTTCTAGTAATTCTTGCAAGGATTACAGCATGTAACATCACTGTAACAAAATTATATTGTTATTAAAGTAAGTATTGTATACAATGCAACAATACTTTTTTTTTTCGATCCAATTGTTTTTAAAATTGAAAATTTAAACCTAAGAATATAAAATATGATAAGAACATGACAGTAAAAGATATTTTAAATAGTTAATACCGAATGCATAATTTCCCTGTGGATTGGGGATAAGAATACTTCCATGGCCCCTCTGCCAGTCGTAAGAGGCGGCTAATGAGGTTGTGTCAGGTGGACAGCCGGCGTAAAAATCTTTGTCAAAAAAAGTATGAGGATTCCTGAACAAAACTTAGGCGGATCGTGTCAAGTGGAAGTTTGGGATAAGGGTGGCCGACCCCAAGTAGTTGGGATGAAGGCGAGGAAGAAGAAGAAGAAGAATACCGAATGCATATCGTCATTTTTTCGACTTTTACAAATTTATCTACTATGGCATTGAGTTCATTTTGTTCACTAGTTAATATAAATAGACCTATCGTTGGTCTAAAAACATTTTACAATAATTCGTTGCATTTATTTCAGTTATAGTGACCAGGGCCGGGCCGATCAATAGTGGCGCTTCTGGCAAAATGAAAATTTTGCGCCCCCCCACCATAAAATAATTAATACAATGTAATCATATTTTATTAATTTTCAAATAATATCTTATTCCTTTAAATACTAAGAGCATATCTTTTGTCTCTTACATTTACATTTTACATAAAAAAAAAAACATAATTATTAAAATTTAACTTTTCTGGCTTTTTTGGAAGCAAATTCTTCAATTACTAAAGTGTAGTCCATTTTAGATGCAATTTCGTGTTCGATTGAAAGTATTGCTAAATTTGTTAGACGTTCTTGAACCATGGTGGAACGAAGATAATTTTTTATGATCTTTAATTTACTAAAACTTCTCTCGCAAGTAGCTGTAGTAACAGACATTGTTAAAAAAATGTATATTATATACAGTATATATATATATATAGCTATATCGAGTATCGACTATTAAATTTGATGGAAAGATAAGACTATTTTTAGACACGACGAGCCGGCGAGTGATTATCCGGTATTATTGTCGCCCGCAAATTGTATTTTTAAATTTGTTTATTACCTGGCGACTATGAGTTAAAGCGAAATAATTTATATCACTTTTTCCTCACAATTATAAATTATACTTACGGGCTACGTGTATAATTAATATGGACATTATTATACATTATACTTGTTTAATACTAGGTAGTTCACACTTTATAGTATCATTTCGGTAACGTCGTATTTCCATCCAATAATAGTTTTTAAATTATTATAATATTTTGGTTTTGATTTTTAAAATCTAATTTAATGACTTCATCAAATTTTGCGCCCCAATTCTCACTAGATATTTTGCGCCCCTGGCAGGCGCCCANATATATATATATATATATCAGAAGTATTTTTATGTGAAACTCAAGGGGCGGTATCTTCTTTCTTTGAAATTCAGAAAACATTTATTGATCACTTTTTTTATCATTACTTTTTAATAAAAAAAAACTTTAGCTTAAAGATATTAAAAGATATACTTTTGCAATATTTACGTTATTCAACTATACGAAATTATGAAATTATAGTCTAATATTAGGAAAAATAAATAATTTAATCTTTAAAAAAAGCATAGATTTGATTTTAAAATGATGATCGTCAAGAAATATCAATGAGATGGATTAAATACTCAAAAAACAAGTAAATTTAAATTAAATTGGTTCATAAATAGTGTAGCTAGTAAGGCAATCATTCCATATTTTAATACAAGACATGATACAGTGTTACAAGACGAAACATAATAAAATCTTGGGTGTTTTGATATTACTTAAGGAATTTATTAAAAACCATTGAAAAAATATAAAATTCCAGTGAAAATTGAACTTTATTAAAGAAATATCAAGCCGAGTACAAAGATTTCTGTTCTGAACATAGGAAAAAGAAATTAGTATTTATTATTTTAATTCTTTACCATAAAATGGGATTTCAAATTTAAAAAAAATGTTGAACTTTATAGATAATCGAAAAAGAATAGTTTTTATTAGCGTAATTTGCATGGAAGCAGTAGGGGCTTCAGTTTTCGCAAATGAACTAAAATTCATTTTTGAAAGGAAAAGAAGGGCAATAAGTGAATATTATAGAGATTATATTGTATTATAACTTTTTTTTTTTTTATATGCTTATTTAACCCAATAAGGGCCATAATGACCTCCTCCAAAAGAGGTTTCTTAACCATTTATACTCCAGGATGGGTGGTTAGTCCGTCGGCGGAGAGTGGGAAGGCGACACCAATGACTGAAGTGATCTCTCGTTCGGCTAATGAAGCCGTCCGTCACCTAGTTTTGAACCTCAGGCAGTGCTTGACGCGCACTGCCGTTACCGACTCGACCACACCGTCCCATATTATAACTTTAATAGTACTTAATCTATAGTCTTATTCTCCTTCTCCTTCCTCGCCTTAATCCCAACTACATGGGGTCGGTCACCCTTATCCTAAACTTCCACTTGACACGATCTCCCACATCATCTACGCTCACGTCAGCTGTCCTCAAATCGCATTCAATAGCATCCCTCTATCTCTTTTTTGGTCTTCCTCTACCTTTTCTTCCTTCAACATTCATTTCTATAACTGTTCTTACAGCTTCCGATTCTTCTCTCCTCATAACATGACCAAACCATCTAAGTCTATTTTCTTTCATCTTATCCACGATTGATGCTACACCTATACTCCTTCTTATATGCTCATTTCTTATTCTATCTTTTCTAGTCACTCAACTCATTCATCTAAGTATTCTCATCTCTGCTACACTCATTCTCTGCTCTACTTTCTTATCAACCGTTCAACACTGATCCATACATTATAGCTGGCCTTATTACAGTCTTGTAGAATTTACTTTCAGCCTCATTGGAATTTTTTTATCGCATAAGACGCCAGACACTTCTCTTCACTTCAACCCAACCGCACTTAATTCTATGTCCTTATATCCTGGCCCTTACCACCACTCTTTTGCACAACTGACCCTAAATACTTAAAACTTTCCAGCTCTCCAATCACGTCCTCGCCTACTGTCACTGGTCTCCTAATTTCATCTACCTCGTGTTCTTCATTGTCAAACTCGTACTCTATATACTTTGTCTTACTTCTACTTATTCTTAAACCCTTTTCTTCAAAAGCTGATCTCCATACTTCTAGCCTTTGATTAATTTCCTCCCTATTTTCTCCTATTAACACTATATCGTCAGCAAACAACATACACCACGGCACCTCTCCTTGTATTTCTCTAGTAATTTCATCTATTACTATAGAGAATAAGTAAGGGCTTAGAGCAGAACCTTGGTGCACTCCTACTCTTATCCTAAAACCTTCTGATACTCTTACGCTTTTTACCCTGATACATATGCCATCATACATATCTTCTATTATATTAATGTACCTTATTGGGACTCTTTTTCTCATTAATGACCACTTTAAATCTACTTTAAAGATAGTACTTAATCTATAGTACTATCTTAAAATTATGTTTTATATTAGCTTCGACGCGAAGCTTAAAAGATATTAGTTTTACCATAATACGTTTTTTCTTTTGTAACATTTGCGTCAAAATAATTAAAATATTATATAATTGAAATATTCAATGCCGAAAAAAAAAAAAAAAAAACCCTTATATTTTTCTATGAATTTTAAAACTGCTATAATATTTTAACTGATCCCAAAGAAGTTTTAATAAAGTAAACTAGAGACAGTACGCTTTCTTTTGATATACTTTTTATGAAAAACCTGAGTACTGAATGGATTTAAATAAATCACTCAAACATGCAAAAAAATTGTTCTACTAAATTTTTAAAAATGTTCTGTAAATTCTGTCAACTTTTAATCTATATGAAATTAATGTTATTGAATTATATTATATTAAAAAAAAAACTGTACCATGCCGATTTTTACTGTAAGAAATCAGCTACCAAATTAAAAAAAAAGTCTTTTTACAAAAAAAAAAGTTCTAGCTTCTACCTTAAAACAAAAAATATATCTATACTATTATATTGTATTCTTACAACTAAATTGCACAAACTTGGATCTCAATAAAGTGGCTACAACAAAAATTAAAAATACGTATAAATCCGTTCCTTATTGATAACTTATTAACTAATTATTGTTTTCTTTAGTTTATAATAATTAGTTATACAAAATTATATACAATTTATTTCTAACATAATTTTTTGTTAGAGAATATATATATATATATATAATATATATAACGATTACGAGTACTATTTACTCAATTTTAATTCTAAAATTGCTCAATGGCAGTTCTATTAAAAGTGGATTTAGATAAAAAAAATTAACATTAAAAATTTTGTATAACTTTTAGCTAATATAATAGTATTATCAAGACTAGGGACCGAAATTATTTTTTAAATTACGGTATAGTTTTGGTTTTTATTTTATTAATAATATAAGTTTCGGTTTTTAAATTTATTGATATTAAGGTTTAGGTTACGGGTTCGCATAATGACGGTTTAAAACAGATTTTAAAGTAATAAAAATAAATTTTTTTTTATGTGAAATAAAATTTCGGAGCGAGTTTCGTTATTAAATGACGTTTTACACAACCAATGGAATGGTAACCTATAGATACATTACTGATTGATCATATCATAAAAATGAAAATAAAAATTTCCATGAAAGAAATTTTAAGTTTAGTATTTACTCCTGAAGGATAAATATAAATCTATTTAATAATATATTACTGTAATTTTTTGAGCTAAGCAAAAATTTTATATATTCAAAACTTTTCCAAAAAACTAGTGTCATAATTTTAATGAGTCACTCTATACATAATGTTGAATTTTAATACTTTTTTCGTTTAAGCAATTCATTACGTAGATTTATTGACTTATTATTTGTCCTAAAATTAATTTAATATGAAAAATATACATATAAAACTTAATAAGAAACGAACTTTTTATAGAGTTAAATGAACTTTACCTAAAAAGCATATTAACAAGAAACGAACTTATTTTTTTAATAAGTATTGTCAGAGTCATAACATGATATTTTTTGATGAAAAAACATTAAAATAGGTCATATTTTCTACGGAAATCTACTCAATAAGTTTTCAAGTTACAATTATTTTCAATGATACTTAACTAAAAATTGAAAAATAATAACTACAATAAGAAATATACGAATGATTCATAAAAATATATTTTTCAAAAACTCAAACACCGAATTGAAAATTGATCTGTAATATTGGTTTTGATTTGGGTAATGGTTTATAAATTTTTTTTTATGTTTCGGTCCCTAGCCCTGAGTACAATTTGTTTTTATAAGATTAAATAAATTAATGTTATTGACATTCAATAAGCAAATGCAATTAATCTATTTATAAGTTAAAATATCGTACCTTTTTTATAGATATTCCTTTACATCGTTCATCAGAGTTTGTAGATCAAAATACAAATGCTCCTAATGCTATGGCTTTGCGGAGAACAGATTTTTTAGAATCTTCAAGTGGTAGCTCAGTTCAATCTGCTTTTCAAATGTCACTTACTGTCTTATCTTTCCTGGCATTTGGGGGGTACGTGATCAGTTTAATTGCGCAAAACATGCGAAAACCCAGTCAATTGGATGGTATGACTGTACCACAACCGTTGAATGCTATTGTTGTTAATCAAAATAGACGTCCATACAGACCAATAGCTGCAACAACGGTTAGTTTTGGTCGACGTAAACGCAGTTAAAGATATTTAAAACTTAAATTATAAGAATGAGAGATAATGTTAAAATTTATACATGGTTTATACTTAATTAAGAAAATTTAGTTTTCATTGTAATGCATTAATTCTAAGATTTGGACAAGTGCGTACATTTCTGAAAATAAAATGTAAAGAAAATAAGCCAACCTTTGAAAGTACAAAATCTAAATATATGTATAAATATTTATTTTTAGTTCACAAAGACAATAATAGTTTTTTTATTGCTATAATTAGTGGTGTGGTGTATTTAATAGAGGCACAGAGGCACGAACCGCCATCGATCTGCAATGCTGATGTAAAAATGTTTGTTGATTTTTTTGTTTATAGTCTATTCAAAATGAGTAAAATATTTTCATGGTAGCTTGTCACTTGAAAAATTGTATTTGTGCCGCATTCCTCAATTTATACATATCTTACTACAATAGGCGTAAAGATTTTAAGATAAATTAATTAATTTACTAAAAACATAGTTAATTATCGAAACCAATATTCTCATAAAGCATTTGCGTTCAACATAAATGTTATAAACATGAGTTTGGAAAGGTAAGATAAAACATATTTTTATTTCTTAAATTTCACAATTCATAAAATTTAAACTTAACTATTAGCCTGAGTTGATGCGAGTTTTAATACAAATAAAAAGTTCAAGTTATTTATTAAAAACTTTATTAACACTAACTTCATAAAAATTAATCTTCAGTTAAAAAAAAAAATAATGAATTTTTCATATTATTTTGATGGTTAAAAGTTATTTTAAAAAATGTACAATTGTATCACTGATATATTTTTTAATTTAATTCTTGGAAAAGTTAACCGGTGACTCTTTCCTAAGTACATTTTTGCGTTTATGATCGTCCTTATTTCCTATTACTACTAAGGTAGCTGCTTTGGTTACAATAACTTATATCAAGTTAAAATACATAGGGAAAGAGAGAACTTCAAAGATAGTACAGGAATTAATAAGGTAACTAGCTGAAAAAAATGTTTCTAATAATTTGAAAATTTATAATTCATTAATTATTATATGTTGCTTATACACATAAAAATTTAGATATGTAAAAATTGTTTAACATAATAAGAGATAAATAATTATAGCAATATTTAAATATAAAAATATTTAATCACAAAATATTAAGTAATAACTGTTCATATTATATTTCAATAAAAAAATATCACAAGAATTTTCAACTAAATATACTAGAAATGTGAAAATAAAGTTTAAATTCAAATATGTATTATTTCAACTATTTGTAGGAAAATATATCCTATGAAATTTTAAAAATTAAAAAATAGTTAATTTTTTTAACAGCATCTAAAATATAATAAAAAAGTAAACAATTAGATCTTATTATAGTATAATAGTATTTACTTGAACTAAAAACATATAAATTAGTATAAAAGTAAAAAATGCATATGGTTTAGAATAATCACAAATATCTTTAAACACTTTTTATCAAATGTGTTTTTTGAATCCACACATTACATACACTATAAGAAAACAAAAAATATATAAGTATGAATATTCATGGTAACATAATGAAAAATATAAAGTGCTACGCATAAAACAAATACATAATACAACTAAAAAAAAAACGTATTTATTAACAAATAGTTTTAATTTGAAAGTTAAAAAACGTTTAGTTTCACTCATCTTAAATTGAATTTATTTTAAGTGGATTTAAATAGAACAAACTTTTTTTTTTGTGTCAAAAGAAAAATGTTTTATAAAAAAATATTTCACTTTTTAAAGTTATAAATCGTGAAAACTTAGTAAAAATATCACTTATCAAACTTCAATATTCATGTCTGATCGTAATCCTTGATTCCTCAATTTTTCTTCAGCTTTTAATATTGGTTCTTCAGTTCTTGTATGCCAGACATATACCTAAATATATTTTAATTCATTTTTTATAAATGTTTAATTACATATAATTAAAACTTAGTGATATAGAATCAATTACTTTTTAGGTAAAAAATTAGTTAATTTGATTTTATATTTATTCAATGATCATCATTTCATTATATTTTCTTACGATTTTTTTATAAATGAAAAATTTATAGGTGTCAAATTAATTATGAATTATTAGAAAAAATTTAAATTTTAAGCTGCCATTGTCTAAAAAACAAAATTTTCATAGAGGTTTACCCTACCCTGCATCAAGTACCAACCATGATCTAATAAATATGTTTATTAATATACTAAACATGTAATGCGTATTTGATGTTTTTAATATCCTAATTACATTTATATAACTTTTTTGTAGTAAAATATATTTTCCTTAGAAGTCTTACCATCAAAATTAATTCATGCAATGTAAGATTAAAAAGGTTCTTATATTCACAATTTAAACTAAAATTACTTTTTCAAGGGTAAAATTTTACCCATCTAAGAATACAGTAACTAAAGAACTTGGTAGAATATTAATATTAATACATCTATATTTAATACAGTACATTAATATTTCATGTAAAATTTAATTATATTTTTATAATACCTTAGTGCAATTATCAGCTAAAGGTTCAAGTTTTTCTTTTGTAATTACTTGTGATAATATAGCACTTTCTTGATAACCCCGACTTACAGACCACGAAAATAATACTTTGGGATAACTAAGAAGTAATTTTATATTGATAGCAAAACCTGCCATATCAACAGGAAAAGGCCGTTCAGGTCTCCATGCACTATTCCATCCAATTACTTTATTATTTATATCAATCAGTGGTTTTTCAACCAATAGACCGCCAACTAAACCAACTGGCCAAACACCAACACCTTTAACTAAACGTATCTAAAAATAATAAACACATAATAATGGAATATTTTATATAGAAGAAATATATAATTTAAATGCTATAAAACTTAAATAAACATTTAATACTATTTAATGTTCTTTAGAATTTTAATTAATAGTTTAATCTGAATTTATAATTTAACATAAAGTTCAATAGAAAATGAGTCATGCCACAAAGTGTAAGTACTAGGGTATGATTCTATTACTTAGGATTTGTAGATTTCCTGTATCTTCTACAACAAGCATATTTTTTTAGAGAATATGTAAAAAAAAAAAGAATATAAAATAAATTAATAATATTAGTTTAATGTGAATATTTAATTTTGATTCTTGATAGATAAGTTATTTATACACCAGAGGCTTATTGGATAAAAGAAATACAGGTTTATAGAAAATACATTTAAACAATGCATTTTAAAGTAAAATAATTTATAAATTTAATATAATTAAAAATTTATATAATTTAAATAAATTATTTATATAATAATTACTAAAAATTATACAGTATATTTCCACTATATTAAAACAGAAGATGTCAGAAAATTTTCTCAATCATAAAATATTTTTGATTTATATAATGAAACAAAAATTATTTAATAAATAATCACATGTTAATTATTAGATGGAAAATAAGGTAAAGATTAAAGTACTTTAATTACCTCATTAAATAAATCAACACTATATGTATTATCATCATCAGCAAAATAAACAATTCCATTATAATTTTTTCTATTTCTCCGTTCTCTTAACCACTCTAATGCCAAATTTCTTTGCTTTACTCCTCTAGGTTTTTTCCATTTTGGTTCCTAAACAATTGTAATTTTATAATAGTTATATATTTATTTAATAGTTAGCATTTGTATTAAAACTTTTTGGTGTATATTTTCTTGCTTATAGCTCTGTTCAATTGAATAATATATAACATTTCACTGTTATTAAAATAAATTCTAAATTATTGTATTTTGGATATTTAAATTTTATTTCAAAATTCAAGTTCAAATAGACTTTTTCTAATTTCAACTAATTTGTAAAAGAAAATAACTACGAACAAATAAATAATTTTCATTATTATTATTTATAATTTTTATCTTTTAAATTATATAATTTTCTTTTTCTATATTTTATAGAATCCTGTTTTTCAATTTCCAAAAAAAATGTATTTGTTAATTTTTAACACTTTGTATTTATGAAACCCACTATTCCTTCTGCCCAGGTATAAATATGTTAATATATTTTATAATACTAGTTCATAAATTGTGACCGATCAGTCATTTTCTTAGCTAGATCCAAGGCTAGAAACCGAAATAATTTGGTTTTTGGCTATTTATTTTATATATAGTAAATTCTACATATAGATACAAATCAATTTTTTGTTTTGTACAATTTTCAAAATTAATTGTAAAAAACCAAAAATATTATAAGACTGCCTTTGAAACATTAATTGACTTCAAAAAAAAATAAAATCCAAAATTATATTGTATATATTTTTTTGTTTTATATAGATATTTCCAGAGTCATAGTTAAACAATTAAAACTAACGTGAAATTTGAATAAAAAAAAAACATGTTGATAATTAAACAACATAAAAAAAAAATAACAATAATTCATTGTTTTTAATTTCAAAACTACGATTGTAAATACTTTTTTTTAATTTTTAGGGCCAATCAAACATACTAATAATGTTTTATCTATATTGATGTATTCTTTTAAAAGAAATTTACATATTAGAAAAATTTACTTTAAGTTTTCTCTTCCATTCTACTGGAGTTGCAATTGATAAATGAGTATAATTCAAATGACTTTTTAAAAGTAAATCAGCTACTAATGTTGACTTAGTTTCAGCATCTTCAACGATAATCCAATGAAAATTATTAATTAGTCGAAATGTATTAGATAATCTACAGAAATAAAAATAAATTATTAGTTCATAATTTCAAGTCTTCATATGTATGTATGTATGTATGCATACATTTATTTATTTATAGATTTATATACCTAGTTAATTCTGCTTTTTGAACAGGTCTTTTATATGTTGGTGTAATTGCATATATTATAGGATCAGTTGGATTCCATTTATCACAAATACTTTCAAATTTTACTTTCAAAGCATTATAGTTACTAGATTTTATTTTAAGCTGAAAATCATCAAAAAAATAGTAACCATTTTAAAAGAATTGTCCAATTAAAAAAAATATTATTATAGAAAACTAAGAACAAAAATAGATTTAAATTAATTTTTTTATTAAATTAAATTGATATATTTTATATAAATATATTAAAGATAACATCAATAAAAAAAACATGTCAGCAATAAAATTGTTTATTAAATTTACTTAAATAAATTGATTAAATAATGAAGTACATGTTTTATATTATATTGTGTTATATAATTCCAATTCTATTTATTAATGTGTGTTAAAAGATGATTATCTTAATATTCACTCCTTTTCATTTAATAGCTCATTAGGTTTGCTTCAAATAAAATTTAAACAAAAAACTTATTTAGTAATACATTACTAAATACTACTATAATACTGTAATTCTTCCCTTTCTTAACAGTTACTATTTTTGAAAATCCAATCTCTTTCCTAATCATAGGAGAGGGGGTTTCATAAAGTAGTGCTTACAAATTTAACTTTATCAACTTGACTTATAAAACTAACATGTAAAACCTGACACCTTAATTAATATAATATAATATATACTATACAGAATGGAACAGATCTAACTGACAACTCACATAACTTATAATCATTACATTTTATACTTTTTTTTTTTTTAATCAATTTTTACAATATGGAACTATATTTAAAACATGTTTTATGTTATTTTTCACAATTACAAAACATATTTTAAAAATTAATTTTTTCATTACATTTTTTTTTAAGATTTGAAGAAAGCCATTTTATAGATAAATTTTAAAGAAAAATTTTGTTACCCAAAACTCTTATTTTAATTCAGTAGTTACATTTATACAGCATTTTAAATTATTTAAATTTTGATTTTTTATACAAATTTCCTATGGTATCAAATGTTAGTCCATATTATGTAGTATGTATGGAAGTAAACACTTATTACGTTATTTACTGGTAACAGTATATGATTTCTTTTTTATAGTATATATAGTTATATAATATAGACTCTTAATGCTGATTAAAAATTATCCTAAAGACTGGTTTTGGTGTAAATGGCTGATTTTATATTTCATCAAAATATTATTATAAATGTTTGGAAAATATATAAATTGAGATAAATGTTTTTTTTAGATATAGTATTTTTATACACATATTTTTTAGCATTGATGCGAAGCTGAGAAGGTATTAATGTTACTATGATGTGCGTTATATTTTTTAATCTGTTACCACTTTTTCTCAGATCACACCAAACTGATTTCTTTCAATGATACGTCAAAACAAAACAAATAATATCTAGTCGAAGACATTACTCTCAAAAATTGAAAAAATTTCCCTGATTCCCCATAAATGGGGGAAATCTTTAAAAAAATTACAAATTTAAAAATCAGTAATTATTGACATTTTTTCATTTTAGCTTTGATGCGAAGAGTAGAAGGTATTAATTTTACTATGATGTGTTATGTTTCGAACTCTATTTTATCTTCACAGTGAAAATGACAATCGTATTCTATTTTTGTGCTCAATTTTATATTTTACATTTTTAATTTTATACTTTTATAACTTTTTGAAAAATGTATGGATTGTTCCATTTTTTTTATAATAAGTACTAATATAGTAGTATATATATATATATTATAGTATATATAGTACTTCTATATATACTTCTTTATGCAACATACTTTTTCCTTTATACAGGGGGGGTTCAAAACTTAAAAATGCATATAGAAGTAGAACTTTTTCAAGTTATTTTTAATTTAGTATATTAATATAATATATTCATATGTAACCTAATAATCAAACATAAATATTTGTTATATTAATTAGATGGATTTCGTTATTATTTAGGCCATATGCAATACTAATTGTAAATTTAAAATCAACGCAAAAATAGGTTTAGAAAAGTGTATTTTGGTCACAAATGAAAATTCCTTGTAGACCATTAAATTTATTTATTAATAACAAACATTTTTCATTTTTTAAATATTGCATCAAGACCTTCAACATTTATATACATTTGCTATAAAAGTAATAACTACTTTATAATGTCTTTGTAAAAATTACAATACTAAATTATTAAATATCCAATTCATACTATATTTAATTGTTATGATGAATATTTATTCATATATTACACTTTTAAATCATAAAACTTGTAATCAACATATAAATAAGGAAATAGATCATGTTGCTTTTGGAATAATCCATCATTTTTTTTAAATTAAACACTATATATAGATTTGCATTAAAGCATTTTTATGATAGTGATATAAATAATTTCTAAAAAAAAAAATTTTTAGTTTCATCTATATCAACATACTATATAACATACTATATCTATATCAACATACTAAACCAATATGTTTACCCAAAGCTGATATATCCTATGCAAACCACCCCCATCGACCTTCTTGATAAAAATTTTCTCGAAAGTGTGGATATGCTGGTAAGGCAAGGAACCAGAGAGATATGTGGCCTTCCCGCTGACACTCCAATCCCGGTATATTATACAGGAAGGAAATATCGGGGCCTCGGTATGTTAAGAGTGACGTGGGAGGCTTCTATACAACATATCGCCATCGCCCAAAAGCTAGCGCTCATCCATGATCCACACCTACTAGCAGTTCGTGATTTATGCCAGGAAGAAACACAGTCTCGCGCACGCTTGGGTCCCGTAACCGGCCTAAACCCGCGTGCGATTCGCACTGAGCTAAGGTGCAATGAATTCAAAAAATGGAAGGAGCTAAGACAGAGAGGAATAGGTGTACTATGGTATGGCAGCTGTACTAAAACTAACGCTTGGTTATCAAAAAAAGGCGGGCTCTCAAGCGGTGAGTGGACGAACGCCATCAAAGCGTCAATGAACTCGATGTCTAACCGAGGAACAGGAGGTAGGAGTGTCGGCAATCCCCATTGTAGGAATCTAGCCTGCAATGAGAATAACATAATTGAAACCTTGCCCCACATCCGAGGATCCTGCCCCAAGACTGAACTTCTTCGCAACAATGCCCATCACAAAATTCGTACCACCTTGGCCAATTTATTTAGAGCGAAAAACTTCGAAGTACACGAAGAAGTGTGCTGTGTAGCACACAATGAAGGGGCAAATCAAAACAGAAGAGNTAATAATGGATTTTTACAATTATAATCAAATTTTATAATACACTCAATTAAATACAATTTTTTAAAAACTTTTTAGTTAGTTTTTTTAATTAAAGTAAATTTACAAAATTAATTAAGTTCTGAATATATTAATTATAGAAATTAAATCCTGACATGTTTAAAAACAAAAGTTTATATAATATAATTAATTAAAAAAAATAGATTTATTCTAAATTTTTTATATATAATTAGATTATTAATTATTTAATACATTTTTTGACATAGTGTAAAATAAAAAATTACCTTAAGTTGTGTTTGATCTAAAATTTCCTTTAACGCTTGATACTGTGCTGCATCTAAAAAAATGTTTATGATAATGAAAATAATCAATAATATTTAATGCATCTCAAAATAAAATTTTAATTTTTTAAATACCATTCCCAAGAATAAAAGTTCATAAATTGCAAGATTTTTTTATACCTTATGGATAACAGAACAAATAGACCTCGCATTATATACAATGATCAAAACAAAATATGCTGAGTAATTTTTTTTTAATTTAAAAAATAAATAATTCAATTTAATGATATTTTTGAAAAACTATTAAAATTGCATAAAACTTCAGCCTCTCAACACATTTTTATGAATATGTAAAACAATCATAACCCTGACTGCCAAAATTAAAAAATAGTCAGGCTACTTTTTGTTTTTTAATATTGAATACATTATTGACACTAACAAACTTCTCTATGTAAATTGTAAATAAATTTCAATTGAAACATAAAAAATCTGATAAATTTCGATCTTAAGTTTACAATGTCTAGTCTAAGTAAAAAATAAAATGTTTAAAAATCACCTTGTTCAAAATGTATGGGCATTATACACATTGCTTGGATATTCTATTACAATGCTCAATTTTTTTACTTTACAAAAATACATACATATATATTCATTTAACTTTGTGATTTCATAGACACCTAAAAATTTTGCAGGAAACTATATTCTATTGCTTTTCACTAGAAATGCAACACTTGTATGTAATAAATTGAATATATTGTAAGATATCTTCTATGCTTTGCAACAGTAACCATGATAATTAATGTTCAATAATTTTTGAGGTATCAATAATTGTTTTTAAGAAATCGAGCAAATTATAAAATGAATTATTCAAAATAAAAATTCACATACCTCGTCTTTTAATAGTTATTACCCATAAAATGAATAAAATAAAAAAACCGAAATATAGAATAGTTCGCTTTTTATTAAACATATTTTCTATAGTATTATACTTGTAAATAGTCATTTTCATAATTTTCTTATGTACTTAAACACCATAATATATTATTATTATCGTAGCATTGTATTTTGGTATTTCGAGTATTTTTAAAAAGTAACATTCAACATATTAAATTATTAAATAGTAGTGTTCTATTTAATAAAGATAATAAGGAACTTACTATCTATGATAAATAATCAAGTTAACTATTGTCATTTTATTATTTTGATATATGTTTACTATAAAAACATTTTGTGTGATATCATTTTTACAGTTAACGTGGTAACAAGAAGTTCAAAACTCGTATGTATCATAAAATAAGTTGTTACGATTTATAAATTTTATGCATGGTAACATAAATGTGAGTGTTAAAGCGAAAGTACTGTAAGTCAATTATTTTATCCTATAAAAAATATTTATAACGAAGTAACAGAAATTATATAGAGGGTTAATAAAACATTGAACTTATGTTAAAAAACCAATTACTCAAGTATCATTGGTTCAATGTAAAGCCAAAAACATACCAAACAAGTTAATGCTTATTCCAAGTTTTAGCAAATGCATATTTTTATTGGTATCTCTTAAAGCATTCAAAATAAGATTTTATTTTATTTCACATTTTACAGATGTCATATACAGATGTATATATGTACGAAATTTTATTTTGCTAAATTTGCATGTTTACAGTTATTTGTGCTATTTTGCTAATTTATAGTTTTATTTATTATTTTTAGCTAGATTATATATATATATCTGAAATAACCAAAATTGTATTGAAAAAAAAAACGTGAGAAAAGAAACAAGCGGGTGATTAGAAAAACAGGGTGTTCAGACCTTTTATAATGTGCCATGAACGGTATAAACAGGGATTGAGCGTCTTGAATGTGTCATGTTTTTTAATAGACACATTCAGTCATCAGTCTGTATTCCAATCAACGCAAAACAGTTATTAGTTAATTATTAATTTTAATTAATTTATAGTTAATTTTCTACAATTTTATGTTGATGTATTAGGTCCTAATATATTTTTAATCGATGCAAGTGTATTGTTTTGTAAAATTTGCGAAATTAAAGTTAATCCGACAAAAAGTTCAAAGATTTGCGTGAGTCTTATTTACGCTAACATTCCTTTAAATAAAATAGAAAATCGAAAATTAAAAAGATTTTTGGAAATGTATACAAAAAATGAAATTCCGAACGAATCCGCGTTGCGAAAAGGATATGTAGACGAAATTTATGACGATACTATGGACGATATAAGGAAAACTATTTCAGACAATAATTTTGGATCAGTATCGATGAGACGACAAATGTGATGCTGTTAGTATTAAAGACGCCAAAGATTTTATCATAAAACTTGAACTAGAAAACAACTTAACGTATATTAAGTGTAACTTTGCTACCTTAACCTTAGCTATTGAAAAATTACAATAACAACATGACCATTATGAGATTCAATTAAAATTGTTAAGGATACCCAAAAATCATTGGAAAATCTGAGTGATCCAAAAGAAAACGCTATTTAAAATAAGTTTAATAAAATATTGGAAAAAAATGTTGGTCTCGCGGCATTAATAAAAATATCAAAAGTTCTAACTAGTGAAGAAACATCTAGTGAAGGAAATTTATCTGGTCTTTCTGAAGATTTAAGTTGTAACGACTTAGCATTTTTAAATATGCACCCTTGACGTCTGTTGACGTAGAAAGGTCATTCTCAACATATAAAACCCTATTGTCAAATAACCGTAAATCATTTAAATAGGAAAATGTAAAAAAACATATTATTATTCAGTGTAATTCTATAGTTAAATAATATAAATTCATTTAAAATTAATACATTCAACATTAATAATGTATACTATAAAATAAAAAAAAATATTCAACTGTAAGATATAAGCTGTTTTGAATATTTATGTTTAAAAAAATTATTATTAAAAGAACTTTGTATTGAAATGGTAATTTGCATATTTTTTTGTTTTTAGTGCTATTTATAGCACTAAACAAGAAGTTGAACAAGAAGTTCAACCCTAACACTTATAGAAACGAATTAAAAAGTTTATTACTAGAAATTTCAGGCGACATGGCCAACATATGTTTATATTGCCAAAAGTATATAAAACATCATAGCAGAATTGAATGAGTGTCATGCACTACGTGTTGTCGTCAAGTAGTAACTGATTGTATAGCAGCTATCTATATCAGCTATACTATAGCTGATGAGTAAAGACTAAATGATAACAAAAATTTTGATTTCTATTGCATTTTGTGTGACAAGACTAATAATTAAGTAAAACTATTTATTATAATAATGCAGTGTTGGGAAAGTTCCTTTTTAAATGGAACTCGTTCCGTTCCCCGTTCATTTTCTAAAATATGAACTCGTTCCAGATCCTAGTTCTTTATATTAAGAAGGAACTTGTTCCAGATCCAGTTCCTCCAAAATAAGAACTCGTTCCACTCTTCGTTCCTTTTATGTAACCAAGTTATTTAAAAAATTGTGGCAATGAGATCATGATAACGGTCATCAATGATTTTCATCAGCAGTCGAATACAAAACAAATTTGTAGTATTCCTTATCTAAAAGTATTCGAAAATTATATTTATAAGCAGGTAGTAAATGCTAACGACTTGTGTCAACGCGACCAATGTCTATTGTCTACATATAAGTTAGAAATAATAAATCAGAAAAACCCAAAACTTTAACATAAATTAGTTAACAAGAAACGACGATAATATTTGGTACATTATTTAATATATGTACACATATATTAAATATTTACTGTATACCTACATGTGATAATAACTCTATTTATAGTTAATTGATTTATTTAAACAGCCTACGATTTTGACTGGGTATATAGAGGACTTCCATTGTCAAAAGTCAACTAAAAATACCTTAATATTTTAATGTCTAGATACAAAGAAAACTACACTAAAATATGTTTATAAAAATTTTTAGGAACTGTAATTTCCGTTCACATTCCTTAAAAAATGGAATTTGTTCATTTTCCTCGTTCCTTTATTTTAAAGGAAGCAGTTCCTAGCATCGTTCCTTCAAAAAGAACTCGTTCCAGGAATCCGTTCCTTTTGGAACCAGTTCCTTCTCAACACTGTAATAATGATATTTTTAATGGACAGCAAATTGTTGTCTCTATAAAATTTTTAATTAATATAGTATATTTTAAGTGAAAAATCTAAACCTTTAATTTTGATGGATATAAATTTTGTTTTCATAAAACGTTTTAAATTTTTACCTTGATCTTAGTAATTATGTTGACGATAATTGACTACATTTTTTATTTTATATTAATTCAACATACATATATTTATCTCAAGACAATATAACAGTAAAATACCTTCTCTGAAATTGTAATTCTCTAAAAATTTGTATTTATCTATACATTTTTCAAAAAATTACAGTAATTTAAAGTTGAAAAAACAAAATATGAAATTGTAAATTTTAACACCAAAATTGCAGGTTTTTTTATGTACGGAAACCATTTTCACAAAGATTAGTCATCGGGACAAATTGTTCTTTTTGTACTTATAATACATAACATTAGCTTTATTTTAACATATGATTGAAGTTCGGAATATTTCCGGAACATTTTTAAAACATAAGTTGGAAAATTAAAATTTTTGTGCAGAATTTGCTATTATGAGTCTCCACTGTAGGCAGATAAAGGGTCAGATATTCAAAAAATTTCTATCAAATGAAAGAGAAATATATACGGTTTCAATATAAAACTAAATTATTTTGGTTTGTTCATTTTTTAATAAGTTATGGCAATTTAAAAAAAAAAGTTTAAAAACTGTCAAAATTTAACGATTTTAAAAATCTTTTAAATCCTCCAAAATTTTTTATTAAGATATTTCATGAAAAAAAAAAAAGAATTTAATCTATGTAAGAAATTATATAATTATTCTTTATAAGAATGGGGAAATGCTATAGGGTGCCAGCGTGTGCTATGTATCTAATCAAAGCATCTCTCTGCTTGCGCCTATGCTAAGAAGCTTTAACATTGAATTTCCAAAATCTGCATTTACAATGGTACTAAAACCATTTTTTCAAGACTATCCCATCTCTTTATTTCTTTTTTTATCTTCCTCTTTCTAAACTAAATCTCTAAACTCCATTTACTCTTAAAATAATAATAATTTTATTAAACTAGGAACTTTTCCTTCTTCTTTTTTCTGTCATATATCGAAAGGTTTATCTCCACATTTATTTGGTGCCTTAGCACCTCGAATGCATCAATGAGTGCTGCATCACAAGTAAGAAAAATAAATTAGTTTTTATTATAGATTGAAAGAAAATTTAATGTTTATTGATTTATACTTTTCTTTATTTGTGTTTTTGAAAAATAATTAAAATATTGTTTTTAGATTGTTCTTTTAGGCTTTATTATTAGATAAATATACATTTCTTCTTCATTTTCCTCGCCTTAATCTCAACTACTTAGGGTCAGCCATCTTTATTCTAAACTTCCACTTGACACAATCTCCCACATCATCTACGCTTACATCAGCCAACCTCATATCACATTCAATAACATCCCTATATCTCATTTTTAGTCTTCTTCTACTGCCTTCAACATTTATTCCATTACTGTTCTTATAGCTTCCAATTTCTTTCTCCTTATAACATGACCAAAGCATTTAAGTCTATTTTCTCTCATCTTATCCTATCTTCACTAGTTACTCCGCTCATCGATCTAAGCATTCTCATCTCTGTTAAAATAGACTTCACTTTTGAATTAAATTTTAATAATTAAAAAGATTTCCAAAACTTCTTGTTTAATTTCTAAAAGTAAAGTATAGTAGAAGTAGGTGAAATAAATGTTAAGTGTCTATTAAAAAAAATATTTTTCTATGTAAAACTTTTAAGATATGTAAACATTTAAAAAAACTGGAGAAGTTAAATTTGGTACTAGTTAGATTATAACTTTACAGTGAAGACTGTATATATATATATATATATATTCAATCCTCTACCTCTGTATTAAAGTACCGTCTGTATTTTGGACTCCTCCAGAAATATATTCTAGAAACAACTCTGACACCTAATTTTATGTCATGGTAGCAATTACATTATTATTTGATAATTATTTATTACAAGGGCACAGTAAGATATTTAATAGCATAATTTTATAACATCAAGACAGATAACTAAATGTAAGTAAGGTAATATTTTAGACGAATTGATTTTTTTCAACAGAAATTTGATATTGTTTTAATACATTTTTATTTTATAAAAAACAGCACAAAAATAAAAAAAGCAAATTATTTACTAAAATACACATTTTGTAACTTAAAAAGTATTTACATTAAATAACATTAATACTTCTAATTCTTGAATAATAATCATTATATTTAACCTAATCACGAAGCATAGGTAATTTTTCATGTAGTACACATGTTAATTTACCATCAAAGTCTACTATTGGTTCTTGACATTTGTTATCACTTTGAAGAATACCACATGCTCTAAATAAGACTTGTTTAGGATCTTTAAGTATATGTTTTCTACAAAATTTACTTTTTGGTAACATTTTACCAGTACATTTTATACCCATTTCTACAAATGAACAGTGTGGATGATAGGCTTTCCCTTTATTTCCTAATAATGCTGTTGCTCTAATTTTTCTGTCCATGGCAGTTTTAAATACTACCGCTTCTTGACCAATAGACATTTTCTGATAATGTTCTAATAGTTTGAGTTTGCGAAGTTTGGAATACTCTTCTTCATTTGACCATTTAGATTTACCTAGTAATCCATAAGTTTCTAAGTCTCTTTTTTTATTTAATAGATATTCTCGTCTTTTAACACGATATTTGAACAACAAATACCTGAAAAATAAAAACTTTCAAATAAGATTTCAACTATCATAAAACAGTAATTAGTTTATAAAACACTTCTAAAATCAGTTATCAAATAAAAATACTTTTTATTTTAGTTATCAACTTTTTGATTGACTTGACATCAGTGTATTAAAATTAACTAGTATATACTAAAGCAGAAGGTTCAGATCAATATTTATTTATTGCCTTCTGCACAATATGATAGTACTTTTTATTGATGTAAAAAGTTGTAAAGATATTTTTTGCTATTGCAAGTCTACAAATACTAAAAATATTTAAATATGGTTTCTAGTGATAATGTCAAAGCCATTTATTATTCATCTATGTATATAAAAACGCCAGATGGATATTTTTTTTTCCAAATCAAAAGATATTAATTTTAATGACTTGCCTAGGATTTTTGAAAGCAAGCAAATAAAGTAATTTTCAAATATTGTCTGGTCATTTGCAAATTAAACCCTTAACTAAAACATTAACCAATTAAGGATAAGAAAAGTAGGGCAAAATATATTTTAATAAACAGTAAAAATTTTAATTTAATAAATTCATTATTAAATATTTAAAAAAAAATGATCAATTTGACATCCTTCTATTTTCCATACTTAACATGATACAGAGGATAGTTGCCTTTATTCCCGTGTTATGGAGTTAAAGATAGTACTTAGCTAGGCCAATGATGGATAGAATGAGTATTATAGTTAGCTTAGACCAGACACCACCAATCACAAGAAAAATTTTATTGGAACATTGGTGATTAAACCTGGCACACTGTACGTCAATACATACATTTATATCCAATAGGCCAGACTAACCCTTTACTAAATATTAAAAAAGTATTATTTGAAATTGACAAGTACTAACCTGTATTCTTGGGCATATAAAAGCTGTAGTTTTATAAATTTATTGCGTACTCTTCTTACTGCTTCTTTTTCTGACAATTTAGGAATATTACATAATGAGTCTGATTTAGTTAATTCTACATCTTCTAGCTGCGGAACTTGTTTAATAAAGTCAATAGTAACAGTTTTTGATTCTTCTTCTTCATCAATCGGCTTAGCATCTTCTAAATTTTGTTTAAGTCTATCTTTAAGTAATTTTTTAGAGTCTATTTCATTGAATGGATTTAAACTTTTATATTTGGTCGCATAGTGACCAAAGTCTTTTTTAAAATCAATTTGTTTTTTTCCTTCCATTATGAACTAATGTTGGTATTTTAAGTATTTTATTCTGATTTTATTAATTATCTGATTTTATTAATTATTAACAACTTATATTTTAATTAAAAGTGCATTGTTGAACTTTTTAAATACAAAATAATATAAAGAGAACAACCTAAGATTTAAAACGCGTAAATATATCAGTTTCACTTCTGATAATCAAAGTTTAATTCGTAAAGTCGGCTATATTTCAGGCGTCTTACAAGATAAAAACATAACACATTGTTGATTACGTTGATAATATAGTAGCCTACAATTATAACAACTTAACGGTAAGTATCCAAACTGCTAAATTTTGGATCCTCGAACTAGATAAGTTAACATAAAATGTTTTAAATATTATTTATAGTAATCTTTAATTTATTTAAAACCAATAAAAAAATAATTTCACAAAATTAAATTTAAAAACAATAGTTAAATTAAAATTGCTTATTGTAAATTATGGTAATTCAATTTCTCCTCCATGATAGGCAGTTTATACATCAGTTCTGATAAGGTTGAAAATATAGGTAATTGGTAAATTGGTAAATATCTTGCCTTTAATTTTTATTTAATGATTATACCAACATTAAGTTAAAAATTTAGAATAGTCTGAAATGTATTTAATCGAACATTTTATTAAATACTTAACATTGTTACAGTTCTATAAAATATCACAGTTAAGTGGGCATTTAACTACATTTCATTGTAGTACGCTTGAATTAAACTTTGAAATTGAGGAAGTAGTAATATCCGCCCAATAACAGTTTGCGCACGCGCTAACTCATATGATTTAACAGCTGTTGAATCAATCTTTTTTTCCATTGTCTTTCTTGACTACGTTGGTCTACGGTCTGTGCTAAGTATTCTTGTTTTGGCTTTTGATGACAGACGAGTGGCTCATTTTGTTTATTAAAAATCATTGACTGAATGGCTTTTCATATCACTCAAGGTACAGTGAAATGTTTCATAAGAAATTATGATCATCGAGAACTTTAAAAAAAATTTTTTATACAAATTCCTATCACTATAACTTTTGTTTTGTGGTGTGTGGTTGAACAAGAGATTAGTTATCTGTTGTTATAATTTGGTGAATTATCGATGAAAGTTGTATTAATGTTAACTTTTAGTACATGAATACTTATTTCATTATAGAGTTTACTTATGGTTAATTATGTTGTGTTAAAATATGAAGTTTTGATTTATTTAAGTATATTTTTCTATAAATAAACAATTTATTTTTATTTTTATTACTACAATTGGTATGACTATTGAATTTTATCAACTGTCTTAGGTATAATCAATTTGATTATGGCATGATTAAATTGTCTGGAAGTGAAGTCTATGGCCGAACAAGCTAGTTCCGCGTTTGGTAACGCGTCATCTATCAGTACCAGGTTATATATATAATTTTTTTCTTTAATAATTATTAGTAATAATTTGAATTATTTGTAAATTTATTATATTAGGAGGGGAATTATTGAAGAAAACAATAGATCTAGATCTAGAAGTAATATAAGAAAAAGTAAAAAGAATTTAAATAATCAAGGAGAATTTGTATCAGTTTATGAAAGTACAGTATCAATGTAAGTTAGATTTTTAATATTTTTTAACTTCTTTGTTATTGTCCAAATTTTTCATTGTAAATTTTATTAAAAAAAAATTCTATTGGTCATCCAACATTAAATATTTATAATTTTGAAATAAATTTGAACAAGTTCATGTAATATTGTTGTCTTCATCAACAATTTTTCATATATTAAGGGTTCAAATTTTAAAACGATGTTAACAGCAATTGAAATTTGTTCATTTATCACATTTTAGCAATCAAGTTTAATACTTTATAAATAATTTATTAATATTTTAAATAGTATTTAGAATTTTGAATAAAATATTAGATTTAATAGGAAAACAAAAGCCTATTTTTCAGAACCTAAAAAAGACTACAACATATCAAATATAAGACTAAAAAGTCTGAAGAAAATTACTGCTATAAGAGTAGCTATATTATTAAAAATATATATTTTTCAAAATTCTACCTTAGTCAATGAAATAAAATTTTAATTTTTAACCACACATAGGCTCAACATTAAAAAAATATATTATTATAAAATTCAATAAAAAAACAAATTAAGTATTCAATTCAGTTATAACTAGAAAATAAATATTTTCAAGTCATAATCTTATGACGTGAAATTCTTAAAGCTTTAAATTATATTAGAATTTTTTTTTTATTTAATTTATTAGTCCTGTTAATGAGAGTACAGTTTCAATTCAAAATAAAAGAAATAGAAAATCAAGTTCTAGAATAACACGAACCAGTCAACTTGATTCATCTTCTGTGAGTTATCAATTAAAAGTTTTTTTTTGGCTCAATACGTTAAAATTTTTGAATACTATATTCAATGTATTATGTTTTATTATTTTAGAATAAAGAAGCAGAACCTAATAGAAAGTCATCATCATCAAAATTGTCCGTTTCAAGTGAGTAATTTATTATATAAGTATTGTATAATTATAAGAAAATGTATATTGTTTTGAATGATGGATTATTTTAAGTTACGTACCTTATCCTATTTGTAAATAAAATATAAATTTTAAAATTAAAAAATAAAACCATAATCATAAAAAATTACATGTTATTTTTGAGATGGATATTTGTATTTAAAGCGTGTCTTAGTTCAAAATATATTTGTTTTAAATTCATATAATTTTTTCTTCAGATAGATTTTGAAACAATTATTTGAAATATTTTAGATTTGTTATTGTAAAAACTTTTTTTAAGTACAATTACTAACATAAGTTTGATATTAATTTAATTATGTGTTTCCAAATTTCACCAATCATTTTTAATATTTATTCGTATTATTTTAATTTATCTGGATTTTGTTTCTTTATGGATAAAAAAGAATTAGGATCGAGCAATTATAAGAATTTAGAATCTTCTCAAATTACTATATATCAAACTAGGTCTAGTGCAACAAAGTCACAAAAAAAGTATAGTTTTATTTCTTTTTTTCATTAACTTTTTGGGTTTAACTTTTATTTTATTTATTGTGTACCAATGTAGTCGTTCTTCTTTTGTTGCTGTTGATTCAGAAGGTCATAAATCAAAAATAACTATTTCTTTAAAAACTGGTAATATATTAAATTTCTAAAATTAATCTAAGTTATTTATTTTAATGTATTTTTTAACCAAAAAAAGAGTATAGAACGTTTTTTCTGCTCTACATTAATGAGTTAATATGGTTCAATAATAATAAAACAAAAATGAAATTAGATATTTTAATAATATTTAACATATATTAAATTATTTTATTGCGCTCATATTTATAGTTAATTTTTATACCATAAAAATATAAATAGTGGGGTTTGAAAAAACTGTAATTCTATAATTTTTTATTATTGACAAATGTACAACATTCCCTGTGTATAATTATTTATTTAGTTTTATTAGGTAATTATTTTATTTTTGTATCTATTATCTAAACAAAGTCAAAGCAGTTTTATTACATTTATCAGTATAGTTACAATATGACATTTTATGTATGTTGTTAAAATAATATAATTATATTATGTTACAATATGAAAAATTATTTTTCAATACTAGTACAAGAGTATTCCATATTAAAATTTATTACAGTTCATTTTGTTTTTTAGAAAATTTAAAAGAACCTACTGAGAATAGGTATCCTTTGCGCAGTAGGTCAAAAGTGTCAATACCAACTATTGAAGGCAGTTTAGATACTGAAACTGTAGCTCAAGAAACTGAGCCTTCGCCTAATAAACGTCAAAAGTTAGAAATTTCTACACTGGGTAAGAATATTATTACTAATAATATTACAGTTATAATATTATATATATTTTTATTGAATTCATTTTTTTAGGTGCGTCATCAAGTCAAAGTAAGATAAGGGAGGATAGCACTGTACAGGCGTCTTTACCCTTGCGTAGAAAAAGGGGAAGACCAACAACGGGGTCTTGTGCTAGCAACAAGTATTGAAATATAATATTTTTTTTTATCATAGTTCTTTAATTTGATAAATTTCAACATTTTAATAATATTATGATGGTAAAAAACTAATTAAAAATCCATCTTATTGTAAAGTTTTAACTGGTTGCATACACTCAGTTATTGGCCCCTTTAGAAAATTTCACTTTTCATTACACTATTTTTTTTTAAATGTACTAAAAATTTTTATTATAATTGAAGTATTAATAGTGAAAATTAACAATAATATTTGAATTAATAAATATAAATTAAGTTTTCACATCATTCTTTAACATCATTACAATTTTTTTTTTCTTTTAAAGATTATAACCTAAAATATAATTCACTAATAACCAAATAATATTCTAGTTTAATTTGATAAATATATACATGATGGTATATATATGGATAGGAACCTTATATTTATTGGGTGTTTAGTAATTAAGGAAACTGGTTTATATTCTCATTGTTTGTAACAATTGAAATATTGACTAAAAAAAATAGTTTTTATTTTTAAATTTACTGATTTCTATTCAATAAATTTTATTTTTAGTCGCCGCGGTAATACCAAAGCGGGTGAAAGAGAAGCTTTTGAAGTAGCTATGGAAGGAGTAATTGAAAATGATGGATTAACTGAAGGAAATGACAATTTGAATATTATTCCATCTACATCCAGTTCAGTTCATACTAATGTTCCAGATTTAGCAACTTCCTCATCTACTATAATTAATTCTAATCCATCATCATCTGGGACTCAGTCAGCTGTAGGGGGTGCAAATTGTAACTATTTATTTAAAAATAAAATTTTATGTAAAAAAGTTAATACATTAAAAAATTTTTCTAGGGCCATCAGCTTGGAGTAGCAATGCTAGTCACGATAGTGAAGAAGAAGGTGAAGTTGGTCGTTTGCAAGCTTTATTAGAATCTAGAGGTTTACCTCCACATTTATTTGGTGCCTTAGCACCTCGAATGCATCACTTGTTTAATCGATCAATGGGTGCTGCATCAACAAGTAAGAAAAATAAATTAGTTTTTATCATAGATTGAAAGAAAAGATATTTTTAGAAAATCTAATGCTTATTGATTTATATTTTTCTTTATTTGTTTTTTAAAAAATAATTCAAATATTTTTTTTAGATTGTTCTTTTAGGCATTATTATTAGATAAATATACATTTCTTCTTCTTTTTCCTCGCCTTAATCCCAAATATTTGAGGTCAGCCATCCTTATCCTAAATTTCCATTGACACGATCTCCCACATCATCTACGCTCACGTCAGCTGTCCTCAAATCGCATTCAATAGCATCCCTCTATCTCTTTTTTGGTCTTCCTCTACCTCTTATTCCTTCAACATTCATTCCATTACTGTTCTTATAGCTTCCAATTTCTTTCTCCTCATAACATGACCAAAGCATTTAAGTCTATTTTCTCTCATTTTATCCACGATTGACGCTACACCTATATTCCCTCTTATATGTTTGTTCCTTATCCTATCTTCACTAGTTACTCCGCTCATCGATCTAAGCATTCTCATCTCTGCTCTACTCTCTTGTCAACCGCCCAACACTGAACCATACATCATAGCTGGTCTCACTAAAGTCTTATAGAACTCACCTATTAACCATATTGGAATTCTCTTATCGCCTGATACATCAAATGCTCTTTTCACTTCACTTTAAGTGCGGGTACTTAATCCTATGTTCTACATCCTCATCAGTACCACTGTTATGTCATGTTACTTAAATAATTATACATGTATATAAATATATATAGATGCTTATTTTTATAGAATAAAGAGAAGAAATATATCTTATTTGTTAGAGCTATCCAATTATAGTTAAATATTTTTATTGTAACTATTTTTGAAGAAATTACTCATGTTCATGATATTCTCCTCTTCATAAAAATTTACTAAATATAACTTAAAATTTATCTTAATTTAGTTATCAATTGATAGGGTTAGAATATTATAACATGTTTGCAAAGAAAGCTCTAAACAACAAACTTTTCAGTAATAAGAATGACTATATTTTTTTTTGTAATCAAATAATATAAATAATTTTATAATATAAAATTATTAATGTATGTAGTAAATATAGTAGAGCTTCAATTTTTTCCCCTTTTTTTATGGTCTATTGAGGACCATGTGGTTTTCATGAAAGAAGATTTCTTAATAATGGATACTTCTGGATTGCTGGATAATCCATTATTTGTGAGAGGAATGACAACTCAAGTTACTGAATTGATCTGTCAATCAGTAAACTGAGCTGTTCGTGATCAAGCATTACAGACTTGGCCACACCGTCCCTTTCAAGCTTCAATAATTTTGATTTATAGGATTATATAAATATGTGTTTTCTAGAGAAAAGATTTTTAAAATTTTTTAATAACCAAAATATTTTAATTTTAATTTATATTATTACTTAAATTAGTGAAATAATTGCTACTTTTTTAACAGTGTTCTCATTTAAAAGGTATGTTCTCACACTTATCCAAGTAACATTTTAATTCCTCATTATGTTTTGATATAAAATCTATTTCATCCTTATGGGATTTGTTTTTACTTTTTTTTTTTTACTAAAGAACCTATTAAAAAAATGGTGAGTGTTGCAAGTGACTTTTGAAGATGTAAAAATATATATAAGCCTAGTAACATAAACACGTGCTTTTAAAATTTTTAATAATTATATTTAATACACATGAATTAAATCATATAATTATATATAGTAATTTGAAGACATGAATTGTTTTTTATTCACCGACCACCAAAAAATCGAAAACTCATGATAAATTTTATTGTAAAAACAAAGCCAATAGTATACATAGTGTTATAATAATCTTGTTTAATTAATTAATAAATATATAGTATAAGTAAGAGTTAAAATAATAAAACTATCCATGTACACAAAATGTTTATTTGATGCATTTTGTATAATGGACGTGATAATAACCACCTGGTTGGTTGAATTAGAACTTTACAGAGAACAAGTAACACTTTATAATGTTTGATTGTTTTTAGCATCAAAAGCTCAACAATTGCTACAAGGTATGCAAGCAACAGGTGATGAAGGGCAACAACTTCAAGCAGTAATTGAAATGTGTCAAATGCTAGTAATGGGCAATGAAGATACATTAACAGGATTCCCAGTAAAACCTGTTGTTTCTGCTCTAGTTGTTTTGCTTTCTATGGAACATAATTTTGACATGGTAATTTAAATTTATAAAAACTTTTTATCCTTATGAAACTCTGAGAAATAATATTTTATTTTAATATTTAAAATTATAAATTTATTAAGAAATTTATTTTAACATTAAAAATGATCTACTTCTTTGTTTATTCATTTTTTTTTTTGTTTGGATACAAAATTATAATATATTTATTCCAGTATAATGTAATGGTATACATAGTTTTTAAAAAGTAAAGAAAAAAGTTCTATTGTTTATGGTGATCAACTCAATTTATTGCTTAATGAATATAGTTATTATTATTATTGGTTTTTTGTTAGAACTTTTTGATAAACTAAATAACTTGATGCTTTATTTTTTTATTGATATTCTTAAAATTTAATTTTTAAATAATTATTATACTCTTGAGTTATAATATTAAAATGTTGTTACTAAGTAATTTAATTTAATTTCTAAGTAGAAATTTTTTTCTATGTATTCTTACAAAAAGAGTGGGTTTATAACAAGCATCTGACAAGTGCTCTAAAAATAGAAAAATTAAAGTAAAATAAAATGAATTATTAAAAATTTTAGTTAGTAAGTGTGACAAATATTTCAAAATCCATTTAGTGAAAATAAGTCTTTTTTTGTAGTAAGTGCGTTTAACTTATTTTTGAGTATATAAGGTGATTCTTCTAACACTAGCCACTTGATTTCTTTTATAATTATGATTATGTTAAGGAAATTATTTTTGGTAACTTTTGATTGTATGTATCTCTGGATTTATCATTTATTAATTACAATAAAATAGAGCAATTGGGGACTGTTAAATGTCTACTACTATTTTAGTCCTATCAATCTTGAGTACTAGTAAAAAGTTTATAATCATTGTTAAGATACACAAAAAATTTGTTCATATATTTAAAATAAAATATTTTAATATTTAAATATTTATAGATTTATCAGTTATTAATCACTTTTTTAATTCATCCCTTACACCTTTTAAGGTTGTCTATTTTTTTAAATGACATCATACATATTAAACAAGCATATAAAATAGAAAATAATCTAGTTGAGAAAATGATTGGTCAATAACAACTCTTGGACCAGTAATTTGAAAGCTATTATTTAGAATATTTATTTCTTCAGTTATGTGCTGATATTTCATTCTCGTTGCATAGTTTACCTTCAAAGCAGTAGTTAGGGGTTTGAGATTATAATTTTTTAAGTACCGTTATAACTGCAAGGATCACAGGAATGATAACTTCTTAGACCCTATTTATTTAGTAGAGGTGGAAACACGCATAATTGATCATACAGCCAATTATTTCCATTTTTTTGGGACATAAATATATCTATAAATATTCTAAATAATAATTTCCAAAGTATTAATCCAAAAGTTGTTATCGACTAGTCATTTTCTTAACTAGATTATTTTTTATTTTATAAGCTTGTTAAATATATATGTTTCCATTTAAAAAAATAAAGTTGATACCCTTATAAGGTTAAAAGGATGAATTAAAAAAATAATTAATATATAATATTATAATATTTATACATATATAGAACTAAAAAATATCTAAAATAATTTTCACAGCATAATTAGTATTTCAAATCAAGAGATTAGCATTAAAAGAATCATTGTATTATTTTCATTCAATTGTTGGATTACTAAATTGTTTGATATAATATATTTCTATACCTGAGAGGCATAACATTCTTCTTCTTCCAGCTTTAAAGGCCATTAAGAAGGCCTATTGCTCCTTTCATCTGTCTCTGTTTATAGTTGCTTCAATAATATTCTATCCCAAGTTGATTTAGTTTTTTCTTTATTTTTGTCCATCCATCTCTGTTTTGGTCTTCCACTCAGCCTCCTTCCCTGAGGAATCCATCTTAATACAGCATTTGATATTGACTTAGTCCTTAATACATGTCCAAGCCAACTCAGTCTCTTGTGGCGTATTTGTACCTTGTTTTAATCCTGTTGTTGTTTGGAATTCTTCTGATTTCTTGTGACTAAATTTGACTGCACATCTTAAACCTTCCGTACTCACTCTTATTATCGATACTAGTTTTGAGAAGACTCCTAACAGCTTTAAGTATCTCCATATTTCTACTCTTTGTATAGAGTCATATGCCTGTTTAAAGTCTATAAAAATTAAATGTAACGACCTGTTGAACTTTTCTATTACTTTTTTAAGCGTGAAAATATGGTCTATTGTTAATTTGCCTGACATGAAACCACTTTGATACACACCTATGATGTTATTGGTGTATGGTCTTAATCAGTTTAGTAGAGTGTTCGATAGAATCTTGTATGCAATGTTAAGTAAGGATATTCCCCTATAATTCTTTACATCCATGAGGTCCCCTTTTTTATATATGAGGCATATTATCGATAGGTTCCATTTCGTTGGAATCATTTCAGTTTTCCATACTTCTTTTAATAGGTTACATATTTCCTGCTTTAGTTATTGTCCACCGTTCTTCAGGAGTTCAGCTATGATCGAGTCTTCTCCTGGGGCCTTGTTATTTTTAAGCATTTTAATGGCCACTTCTATTTCTTCTTTACTTAGTATTTTATGCTCTGGTTCTGCAGTTAGGTATGTTATACTCTCTTCGGTTGTATCCTCTGGTTTTCCTAATAACTGTTTAAACGCCTCTCTGAATTCTTCTGTGATCAGTACGTTATTGCTATCCTTCATTATCATGGTTCTTGGTTTACTTTTTTTCGTCAGCTCATTCGTTATTCCAAAAAAGGTACAGGAATTCAGGTATTCCTTTTCAATGGTTTTTATTTTTTGTTCTTCCCAAATTCTTTTTTCCCTTCTTATTATCTGTTTGCATGCTCTCTGTTTTTGTGCTAATATTTGCCTTTTTTCTTCTGTGTTAGATCTCAATACTTCGAGTCTTGCTTTGTCTCTGTCTTCTATTGCCTTCTTGCAGTTATCATTGAACCATTTATTTTGTCTTCTCCTGGGTTTTAGTCCAATTATTTCTTCCATTGTTGTTTTAATAATGGTTCTTAGATTTTCCCATTTCTTTTGAATGTCTTGTGATTGTTCTACAGTGTTTAACTTAGCCATCATTGTTTCTTTGTATTTTCTTATGATGCTCTCCTTCTTCATTTTTTCTATGTTCAATTTTGTTTTATCTCTAGGCTTCCACGTCCATTGTCTTGGTGGTTTTAATTGGAGTATCGTTTTAACTAGGAAATGGTCTGAGTGGGCTCCTACCCCTCTGTGACTTCTTACATCCCGGATCCAATATTTTATTATGTTATCTGTCGCTACGTTGTCAACCTGGTTTTTTGTGGTTCCGTTTGGGGACATCCATGTCTGTTTGTGTATTCTCTTATGTGGGAAAAAGGTACTACTGATCCACATATTCTAAGATCCTGCAAATGTAATGAGTCTTATCCCATTGTCATTGGATACTTGATGCAGGCTTTCTTCGTCGATTGTATGTTCAAAAACTCTCTCTTTCCTGATCTTTGCATTAAAGTCTCCCATTATTATTTTTGGTATTCATTCATATATCTAAGTCTATAGAATTTTTCCTTAATTTTATTTCCTTTTTCCTCTGTTGGTGCATATCCATTTACTAATGTCATGTTTAACCATTTACATTCAACTTGTATGTAGCACAGTCTGTCATTATACGCTATAGAATTCTTAACATATGGGAGTATATCATTCTTGATTATGAAGCCTACGCCAGCTTTGTGATTTGTGCCACAACTGTAAAACACTGTATGGTTATTTGACCTTATACTTCCTGATCCTGTCTATCTCGGTTCTTGAATGGCCACTATATCTAATCTGTACTTTTTTATTGCTGAAACAACTGTCATCAAAGCGCCCGTTGCATATAACGTGCGCACGTTTCAAGTTTCTAAACTCAATTTTTCCAATTTATTACTGTTCATCCAAGGCTGAGGTTTGTTTTGTTTCGGAACCTGTTTTGGTTTTACGAGTTTGGTGGTTGGCCCAATGTCAACCCCCATTAATGGAGTGCCCAACTAGGTGGTGATGGTGGTGCTTCAGTGTCAAGATCTTAGTGTACACCTACTTACCTGAGACAACCCTAAGCATCCTTCAGACTGCACCACCACCTGACTGAGGTCCGTGGGATTGTCACACCTGTTATCTTGTGAAGGATACCCCAAGCGTGGGAGACAACATTCTAAATATTTTTTTAAGTAAAAAACATTGGAATTAGTTACACTAAAAAAAATATGATTTTATTAGTTCATAAATTTCATAAACTGTGATTATAGATTATTTAAATTTTAACTTATAATTCCTAAAATATTAGTCTTAGAATTTAGATTATAATGAAAAAATATATACATTGTACAATTCTTTAAAAGATGGTATCATAACATTTTTGTAAAAAGTGAATTCAGGTAGTTATACTTCTAAGATGTTTTTTTTAAATTTAACTTACACTGTTTTTAAGTATAATAAAAAAATTTTTAATATCCTTTTGAAAGTGGTATTTTATTAGTTGTAATATGGATATCTAATTATTTTTTTATATTTTGACATGCCTATTATATGTGATCATATTACTAATTAATATTTCAACGCTGGAGCAATAAAATATCTTTTGGTTGCCAAAGCATTTTTTAATCGAAGTTTAGTTTCTAATCTTCATTAATAAAAAAAATGTTCATTGCTTTATTTTGTAGTAAATTGCTGAAAAGTTAAAACTTAAATAACTTTGATATTAGTATAGTATAAGTTTTTAACAAAGTATTAAGCAATTTTTAAATTCTTAAGTAATATAGTAATATCATACAAAGGGAATAAGCAGGGAAAGCAAATTAACAATGGTGGTAAAAAGAATATATAAAGAAAAATAAGAAAAGTAATGGGGGATTGACGTTTTGACTATGAAACGTCTAGTTACATTTGGTGCGTGAAACTTTGTATTTTGAACATATAAATTTATATTGTGTTGCATTGTATTTTGATTTTATGTTTATTACGTTTTGTAAATAAAGATAACTATTCGAAAACCGGCGCTTAGTGTAAATAATTTTTTTTCCAGTATGTTATTAAAATTGTGTGTATGTGTATGCGACTAGAGTCAAGGTTGAACTGCTGGTCCTTTAGTTGATCTTAACATTTAGTGTGCATGCTGGCTAGTTTTTGGGCTTATCCGCCCTTTAGTAGGTATAGTAAAAAGGTAGTTGTGCTAGTGGCCGACTAGGAGCCACCCTTCAGTCTGCTACTTTTAAGCTAGGCCGTACTAACGGGTCTAAAATTAACCCCTTTAGTTGTTCATTAATTGGAGGAATTGGGACTGACCAATGTATCTAACAGGAGGACTCGAGAAGAGCCAAAAACGCTGATCTTTTCATTATAAGTATTAATGAATTTGTGTACTTTTTTTGTGTCTATGTTATGATACTACCAACGTATGACAATTTATATTCACTTAATTTAATTTATTTATTTTCCTATGTGTTTTACTGTAAGTAATTAATGTAATTCATAATATTTAACATTTTGGTGTAACTTAGTATTGTATATTATGCATCTAAATATACAAGTTACTTATATATAACTTGACTTGAATTTAATGTAATGAGAATTTCATTTATATTTTTATCATGATTATAATTTTTAGATGAATCATGCATGCCGTGCATTGACATACATGATGGAAGCTCTTCCACGATCTTCAGCAGCTGTTTTGGATGCTGTTCCAGCTATGTTAGATAAACTACAAGCAATTCAATGTATGGATGTTGCAGAACAATCTCTTTCTGCTTTAGAAATGCTTTCAAGAAGACATGGCCGCTCAATACTTCAATCAGTAAGTTATAATTTTCAGTTCTGTTATATTTTTATAGTTTAAAAATTCACATATTAAAAAGAAGATTGTATGTATCATAATAATTTTTTAGAGTGGTGTGGCTGCGTGTTTGACCTACATAGACTTTTTTAGTATAAATGCTCAGCGAGCAGCATTAGCTATAACTGCAAATTGTTGCCAAAATATGAATGCTGATGAATTTCACTATGTTGCAAAATCATTACCTCTACTTTCAAGTCGGATTACTCAACAAGATAAAAAAAGTGTTGAAAGTGTTTGCTTAGCCTTTAGTCGTCTTGTAGATAATTTCCAATCTGATTCTAGTAGATTAAAAGAAATTGCTAGTGATGAATTATTAACCAATCTTCAACAATTAGTAATAAATTAATTTTATAATTAATGTATATATGTAATATATTGTAATGAAAATTATTTCACATAATAGGTTATATCATCCCCACCAATTATTAGTACAAGTACTTTTATTATGGTTTTAAGAATGATGTCAACTTTGTGTACTAATTGTCCAGAACTATCTCAAACACTACTAAAACACAATATAGCTGAAACACTAAGCTATTTATTAACAGGCTCACCTTCTCCTGAGTTATCTCAAGTAATTAAGTTTTTTTAATTAAAAAACGTATAAAAATAGAAATACTTTTATTGCTTATATTATTCTTTATATAACTTTTATTTAAAATATACAAATAAAATGCCTATGCTAATGTTTTTAAGGGGTCATATATAATACTAAAAATATCTAAATCCTAAAATGTGTTTTTAAAAATTCCTTTTGATGTGTATAGCAAATCAGTTTTGTTAAATTTTTATTCTGAATTATTAATAATTACAAATGTATTAAAGACAATTTCTTTTATTTTTATTTTGATATTGAATGAAAATTTTAAGTCAATTTTTAATACTTTTTAGATTGAATTACTTCCTAGAAGTTCACAGGAACTTTATGAAGTAACATGTCTCATTGGAGAACTAATGCCACGCTTACCATCTGATGGACTATTTTCAGTTGATAGTCTTTTAGATCGACAAGGAATATATGGTGCAATTCCAGGTACAGGATTATCCCAACAAATGGTTCAGTGGCAATGGCGAGATGACCGATCAATGTGGCATTCATATACATCACTTGATTCTCGTATTATTGAGGTATATTATTATGTATCTTATATATTTTTTTAGAAATCATATTTTTTAACAAGAGTAAAGGATTTTTGTTGTTAGATATACATGTGTAGTTTTTATATATATATATATATATATATAAAAAAATCTTCAAAAATGTGTATTTTATATACAAATTATGAAAATGGAAATTTATTTTGTTATAATTTACAAATCATTAATTTATTTTGTATATACTTATTGAGTATGACTTCCCTAATTAAAAAATAATAATTTATTTTAGGTGGCTCATCAAGCTGGTGAAGATGAAGTACTTTTAAGTCATGCACCATATACAATTGATCTTCATTCTATGAGACAAATTAATGAAGACACTGGAACAACTAGAGCTATTCAGCGTAAAGTTTTAACTGTTCCCACGTCATTTAATAATAATCTCCAGACAAGATCTGCAGCTGACATGGAAGCAGCTGTTACATCATTTGGGTAAATAAATAATAAAGACATGGCAAATATTACTTACATAATTTTAATACTTATAAATAATTTGTAAATTTTACATGTAGGATGAAGTAATTGGATATTTTGTGATAATTAAATTTGTAATACTATTTGAAAATTGTGTTTCACTTATTAAAAAAATCTAATTCTAAATTTCAAACTTTTTTTTCATTAATCATTTACCCTTAATTATTACTATTAAATGAGTTAATTTAATTTATAAAATTATATTAGCTTAGTTATCATATAAAGTAGTAAAATTGTGTCCTTGTTCTAAAATATTTAAAGTATATTACTAATAAATAAGAAAACACTTAATTTGTTTGTTATATATTATATTTGTATTTAAAACTACTTCATTACTGTTACATAATATTAAGTATTATGATTAATGAAATAATAATACTTTAATATATGAATCACGAGTACAGTACATTTATTTGTTTCATATACTTTGAATTTTTTTGGTACTAAGTTATAAAATAAACAATTTTTTAGCTTTTATTAAAATTATATAAATGCCCTTTTTAATTGTATTAATTATGTATTCAATTCAATAATACATTACTAAATTTTAAAACTTTTATCTTAAATAAAAATTAATAAGTAATTTGTACTTATAATTCCATAATTTATAATTTTACAGAGAGAACGTATTAGCTGGAGCTTTTGTACGTTTATTATTTAGTATACTTTATGAAGTCTATAATAGCTCAGCTGGTCCATTAGTAAGATATAAATGTCTACGAGCTTTATTACGTATGGTATACTATTCACCAGCTGAATTACTTTTGGTAACTATAATAAATAAAAAATGAAATTCCATTGCTCATAACTTGTAAAAAAAAAATTATTAATGGAAAAACGTTGATTAATTTTTAGTTTATATAAGTTATTAAATTTATTTAGTAAATTGTAAAAATTTACATTCAATTATACAAATTGGTATTCATTTAGAAGGTTGTTTTTCAAAAACAAATGGTAGCTAGTCACATAGCTGGTATGATGGCGTCACAAGATTTAAGGATAGTTGTTGGAGCTATGCAGATGGCTGAAATTTTAATGCAAAAATTGCCTCGCATTTTTGAAATTCATTTTATAAGAGAAGGTGTTATGCATCAAGTTAAACAATTAGCTGAAGCAGATATACAAACATTAGTGAAGCTCTCACCTCCATCTACTTCCAATGTTGGAGTTGAAGGTCTTCCTGGTCCATCTAGAAGTAATCAAAATGGTAAAATCAAAATCTATTTAATAAATGTTAACAATAAAGTAGTTAAATGATAATATTTATTCTAATAAATTGAAGGTAAAAATATTTGTATAGCATTAGTTAGTTACCATGGGTTTATTTTAAAAAATGTTCAGAAGTTGTATTATTGGTTGTTTTGGTCTAGTTAATAGTCAGTGTAAAATTTTGTCAAAAAGTATGAGGACTCCTGAACAGAACTTAGGCGAATTGTCTCACCTCGGTTGTATGTGGGGACAATAGTGAGGTACTTTGAAATGGAAAAACCTAAAGAATAAGTGTTTGATACCAGCTGGACAACTTGTACGGTAACTGTTTCACCAGTACAGGCCGACCTAACACTTTAGTGTCAACTATGAGGGAGGTCATCATGGAATTCTAGGCTGGACTTGTGTATAAGGGAGAAGGATAGATACAAATTAAGAATAGATACGTGAAATGTTGGAACATAACAGGTAAAAGTAGAGTATTAGTAGAAGCATTAAAGAGGAGAAAAGTTAATATTTGTTGTGTGCAGGAAACTAAGTGGAAGAAAGAGAAAGCAAGAGAAATAAGTGAGGGTTATAAAATAATATTCTCAGGTAAAATCAATTCAAAGAATGGTATAGGAATAATAATGGATGAGGAGATAAAAGTAAAGTAGTAGAAGTAGATAGGAAAATTGACAGAATTATGGTCAAAAAATAAATTTTCGAAAAAAAAAAGTATTGAATGTAATAAGTGCTTATGCACCATAAATAAGATGTAATAAAATAGACAAAGAAGTGTTTTAGAGAGAGATAAATGAGGAGATGTAAAGAATACCGGGTAATGAGGATGCGGTGATAGGTGAAGATGTGAAAGGACATATTGGTAAAGAGTGGAGAGGATACAAACGAGTACATGGAGTTTTAGTGGGAAGAATGAGGGTGGAAAAAGAATCCTGGATTTTGCAGTATCATATGATCATGCTATGGTTAAAAAGAGGGAAGAACATTATAAATTGTAAGAGTGAGAGTAATCGATCACAGATTGATTATTTTATGTTGAAGAGAGAGAGCATAAAGCAAGTGAAAAGTTTTAAAGTTATTCCAGAGGTAAGTATAAATACACAACATAGACTGATGGTAATTGAGCTGTGGTATAGTGAGAAGAGAGTGTACAAAACAGAAAGAACATAGAAGAAGAATCGAGAATCTGGTGGTAAAAAATTGAAAGTGGGAGAAGAAAAAAAGTTTTTAAAGACAGTATATGAAAAAGGAAGCCAAGAACAAGGTGTGATGAGGAAGTTCAGAAGATCTTAGTGAGTAAGAAAAAGCAATCCAAAGTATGGCAGAAAAGCAAAAGGAGAGAAAATTGGATGGAGGATAAACATTTGTGCAAATAAGCCAAGGTTACTGTAAGGGCGAAGTTTAAAAGATATGATAGGCTAGGATCAAAGGAAGGTGAAAAAGAAGTTTATATACTTGTAAAAGTAAGAGAAAAACGGTCTAAAAATTATCACAATATATGGTGTATAACATGTCATTAGAGGATATCTCATGAATCGATGGATTGATAAATTTAATTAATATTAGGTGGATAAGGTTGATGTTTATTTACTGAAGTATTCACCAAAGGAGTATTCATAAATCATGTTAAGAGAGTATTTAATTTTTTTTGAAATTAGTNTAATTTAAAAAAACTAAAAAATATTAAAAATATTAAACTCAAAAGCCACAAAAAAATTAATGAAAAGTCGCGGATACGTATTTCGGAAACAATGTTACCATTATCAACGCTAAACACATACTGACACCCCGACTAGAAAAAACTCCCTTATATACCCCTAGTGACCTTATCACCTAGTGACGTTATCACTAAGTAATATTATCACATTTTGCCAGTTTACACAAGTTTAATAATGAATTTTTCAGTGGGCCAAGATCCCAATTAATTAAATTGTTTTTATTTTTAAACATTTCTATTGCTTCTCTGATATTAAGTTCTTTGTAATTATTTACGTTTTTAATTAGTTTTATGGTTTTAATAGAGTGATTATGTGTCAATAAATGTTCAGCCACTGGAGATTTTTAAAGTATTTTACTTTGGAAAAAATGCTACAGAAATTATTTAATAAAAATCAAATAAATAATAAAAAAAAATGTTTTTAGAGCCATATTTTTAGATATTTGCCTTAAAAATATTGATAGCGTTTGTATCCTTATAAAAACTCTGCACATTGACAAAAAAAAAAGCTCAAAGCTAATGAAGTATGTTCAAACAAAAGTAGTTAATAATCTAACCCAATCAATACATGTATAACAACTATAACATTTATCAAAAATGTATTGAAGAGAAAATTAATTTTTTACAAATTAAGGGTCAAAATATACATATGCGTATAAATGAGCATGAGCCAATACTTTATTCAAAAATTGTGTGTGGAAAAAAAAATTTCTTTTATGATATCTCAGAAATGTATTTTGGCATGTCTGGTGAAAATTTCAAATTATTGTGTAAAAAATTTTAAAAAACTCGCATGCTTTTTTGACGTTTATCAATAATTTCCTAGCCTCTCGCGACTAAGTGCCTTAGTTAGCAAAAGAAATTTTGAAAATGCTATGTAATTTTCCTAGAAAAGCATTTTTTTCCTTGTTCTTTTATATAATAAGATGTTTAAAAAAAATTAAGTTAATATTATTGTATGATATAAGGAGTAAACCTAACAATTACTTTATACAAAAAAAGAAAAGTAAAATGATAAGTTAAAATATATATTATTTTTTCAAAATCTAATTATTTTTATTTAAAGATGTAGTTGTTCCTATGTGGTCAATGCCTCTTGACAATGACAATAATGATATTCAATCTAACACTGGTAGTGCAGAAAACGTAGGAAATGAAACATCTGAATCAACTGTTTTATCACAAGTAGCTCAACGTTGTTCAGCCAAGTATAGAAACATAAACATTATTATTGTTATAATTATTACTATTTATAATGTATTTTATTTGTTTAGTCGCTTTTCTGATGTACTTAAACGTAATAAAAAACATAATAAAAGACAATCAGGAAACGCTCCACGTAAAAAAGGAAATCAGGATGACATTAATGAAATACAAACTGCCAGTAGTAGTAGTAGCAATGCCCTTTCTCCAAATTCCACTCAGGCCATGACACTTCATGAGTTTTTTATATCCAAAGGTATTACTCATTCTTAATTGGGATATAAGGCCATTGTCTAACAAGTATTCTTAACATTATATAATTGTTAAAATAAATTTTATTATTACTAATTAATTATTAATAATGATTTTTTAAAAAGTAAATGAAAGAAATAAGCCTTATTAAGGTTAATTTAGAATTGGCCACAAATATTATTTAGGTTTACACTCATTTTTATTTTTTTATTAATATACCAGAAAACCTATAAATATAACTTATTATTTACTATTAAAGTTCATCATTCCTATTCTCCTTTTTAAGCTTTGAATTTGTTATAAATAGGATTGATGACCTAAAGTCTCAAAAAAAAAAAAATTGTTTACATATTATATATTGTCGCTTATACTGCATTAGTACATATCTCAAAATTTAACAAAATGAAATTTTTATCAATAATGATAAAATACATTTTTCTTAATATTTTTTTATACATATTTTTTTGTAAGCCTCATCATTCTATTGAAATTAGGAAAATAATATCACCTGTTGTATAATTCAAATTTGTATTATGATAATATTGAAAACTCACGAAAATTGAGATACACATTGTTGGAATATTCTATTAATAAATTTTTGTTGAAATATTAGTAAATATATGAAAAACTAAAACTTTGTTATTTTGTGATGTAATAAAATTTCTAGGTGGGAATACAGCTTCAAGAGCAGTTGGGAGTGTTTCATCATCTTCTAGAACACGTTTTTCTAATTCAAATTTAAAGTCAACTTCAGGTTTTTTAGCATCATTAAATCCAGCTCGTTTTCTTAGAAGTACAGAGAGAGCATTTTCTAAGGTAAAATAAAAATTTTGATTGAAAATTTTACTGCTTATTACTGACATGGTTTGGTTTTAGTATATAAACTGGGTACTCAAATTTCTAAAGTATATAAATATTACAATTTTCAAAGAGTAATCTTAGTGTGTTTTAATGTTTCATTTTACAAAAATCTTAAATGTTAATTGACAATTGACAGTATGTAAACAGTATTGAACTTAAAAAAATTTTCTGGAGACTCTTAGCATTAGTACAACCAGAAAATTGTTTCCTATATTTTGATAAAAATACTGCAAAAAAAAAAAATTGATGAGAAAAAATACTGTTTTCAACTCAATATTAAACTTAACATAAAGATAAATTAAAAAAATTGCTATATTATCACTGTCACCCCAAAGGGTCTCCAGTCCTTAATGAAGTATACCTAGATTCAACACTGCATGTAAAATTATTGCTAATGATTTGAGCCATTAGTTTTAAATCTATACAGTGCATGGTGTTTCTTAGGATTTCCAATACATGTTTGATGAGCAGCTGTCAATTCTCTGTGTCAGTATTATATTATGAAACTCTTTCAAATCAATTGATTTTACTCTATTTACAGGAATTAACTAAAAACTCAAATTCCTGCGGTAGTGGGTCTATTCCTACAAGCTCAGCATCAAATATTAGTATTGTAAATCGTGAAAAGGCGAAATTTTGGGTAAAAGAAAGAGCTCAACATTTCTTAAAAACTTATGATAAAAATGAAGTTGATGAAGAAATGGATAGTGATAATGGACAGTCTGAGACTATTTTAGTTCGTCTTACTAAAGCTATAAACAAATTGCAGAATGAAGTGAGATATATGTTTTAAATTTTTAATAAGAAATATTTTGATAATTTATGCAATGAAGTCTGATCAATTATTATAATTAAATAATAAATAACCTTATATTATCATTTGTTTTTTAGAGAAATGAAGATATAAATGCTTTAATAGAATTACGAGAAATTGTTCTTACTTCAGATATATCACCTTTTGAAGTCAATCATAGTGGTTTGATAAAATCACTTACTATTTATTTGACTGAAAATTCTTATGGACTAGATCATAGAAATGAAAGATTACGAAAATTTTTGCATGTCTTCACTGGTTTTCCAGTAAGTGTTAGTTCTCAATAAAAATGGGAAATATAATTATATACATATAATTTATTTATAAGTATTAAATCTTTAATTTAGGCTAAAACAGCCAGTTTATTATGCCTATTTCATCATATAAAGATTCCAGGGCTCGGGTTCTATTACTGAGGGTTATGTAGGTTATCGATTTTTTCTAATACAAAGAATAGCTTTTAAGAGTTAATATTTTTTATAAATTTAAAACATAGCTTAACTCAAAGAAATTTAATGTTATTAAATTAATATTAATATTGTTAAGAATATTAGTTAAGATAAATACTTTAATTGATAAAAGTTAGAAAAAGTAAAATATGTGTTATAATTTATTGATGTTCATTGTTTAACAAATCCTAAGAATTAAAATAGGAATCTTTATTTTACTTTGATAAATCTGTAGTATTTTTATCTTTATTTTTTTTGCATTGTATTATCTTTTTTTTAACACTAAAAATACATTTACTTCGAAAACATTTAATTTATTATTGGTGAATAGTATCTGAACAGCAATCTGATAACTATAGAATCAAAACTTAATAATGCATTTATAAATTGCAAAAAATAAATTGGCTTAACTAAAACATTTTTTGGTGATTTTCGAATATTACCACTTGGAAAATTATGTCCTTTTAATTAGTTATAATTATTTAATGATTATGTTGTATTTTTAGCTTCAAAGTCATGAACATTTTATCTATAATACAAATAATAATAATAGCAGACCATTTTCCGCTTTAATTGGAAAATTAGGAAGTTGTGTTTCACAATTGGAACAATTTCCTGTAAAAGTGCATGACTTATCAACTGGTGCTGGAAATAGTGCCCTTAAGTTTTTTAATACACATCAACTTAAAGTAAATATTTATAGATACTTTAACTATAAGATAATGTAAAAAATATACCTGTTTTTTGAAAAGCTATAAAAAAAGTCATTGAATAATTTTTTAAATCTGTATTGAATATTTTTTTTTATTATGCATTTGTAACTCATTATTTAAATTACAATTACTTATGTTTCTATTGATATATTTGCAGTGTTTGTTGCAAAGGCATCCTGAGTGCAGTAATTTAAAACAATGGAAAAGTGGAACTGTTAAAATCGATCCTTTAGCTTTAGTACAAGCCATTGAGCGGTATTTAGTAGTTCGAGGATTTGCACATATAAGAGAAAATAATCAATTAAAGTCAGATGATGATAACAGTGATGATGATATTGATGATACTTTAGTAAGATATTGTTATGTATTTCAAACTAAAAATTTATTAAAATAGTGTGAATAATAAATTAAAAATATGTAAAACTATTTAAATAATTACATGTAATTTTAATGTTATCCTTGTAGCTGATACTTAAAAAAAGTTAAATAAATAATTAATCTTAATTTTAGGCAGCAGTAGTAATTGGTCAAGGGTCAACACGACATAAGTTACAATTCCTTATAGGGAATAATGTACTTCCCTATAATATGACTGTGTATCAAGCTATTCGCCAATTTTCTACTAGTAGTGACATGGAAACTGATAATGAATCTGAACTTCCTTTAGGATCTGCAGGAATATGGGTTCAAACGCATACTATATATTATAGGTATTAGCTTTTATTAAATATCTAAATTGATAAGCTTAATAATTGTTTATAGGCATAACTAGAATAAAGTTTTTAAAGTTGCTAATTGTATTTTCCCCTCATCATCAAAAGTAATTTTATATAACAATGTATATAAATGTATTTGCTAAATTTCTTCTTGTCCTAGTGGAGCCTTTTTACATGTATTATTATTAACAATATTAAATTTTTTTGAGAACTCATTCAAAAATATTTGGTAATGGTTCAATTCACTTGATATATTTTTAGACCTATGCCAGAAGATACTGAAGTGCAATCACCTAAACCTACTATTGGTAGTTCCAGTAAAAAAGGAAGATCAAATACACATAAAAGTACTTCTAAAAAAGCAAAAGATGAATTGTGGTTAGGTATGTTAGCACATTCTGAGTTAAGAATTTCAAAAATATTATGTTTTGTTTTAATTTAGAAGGAAATGTTACACCTATAAAATCTCCACTTGAATCTTACCTTCAACTTTCATTACCTGAATATGTTCAAGTTCAAGACCCTTCATTGCCTGTACTTAGTTTATTACGTGTATTATATGCCTTAAATCGTTATTGGACTTCACTATATCCTTCACAACTTCATAATAACTCAATTATTCCATTTAATGTATGTATATTATTAAATTTAGGTACATATGTAATTTATAACCTTTTAAGTAATAATTAATATATTTATTTATTTTTACAATCTTATTATGAGTTGTTATAATACAAAATGTAAAATGACACTGATACTATGAAAAAATTTTTTTTTTTTTTTTCGTAAAATTAATTTAAAATAAGTGTCATCATTGAATTTAAATATATGTACTATCATTAAATTTGTATTTTAGGGGAAAATAAATCGGAGTATATATATAACTTATATTCTTCTTAAAAATATGAATTCAATGATACTAAAATTAAAAAAAAAGTCAGATACATGATTTTTTTAAAATCAGCGACAATATGATAGATTTTCTGAACTAATATGACTTAAAGAGTATTTAATTCTGAAAAATTTATAATTATGTAATACTAATTTATTGCCATAATAATATTATTACTAAATATAACTGGATGTTTAAATTACGAGTAGATTGTATTTAACAAATTTAATTTCATGAAAGTGGTATAACATATTTACATTATTGTATCAGAAGCAATCTCCATAAAATATTCTATTGATTACTTCTGCAATGATGTTATGTATTTATCAACTATATTTGTTTCATTGTTTAATACATTTTTTTGTGATTAGGAGTTTATTAATGTTAAAATATCAGCTAAAGCAAATAGGCAACTTCAAGATCCATTAGTTATCATGACAGGAAACTTGCCTGGATGGCTTCAACAAGTAGCTTCAGCATGGTATGTTAATATAATTTTAAATATCTATTTTATTATATCTATCTATGGCCATTACACCAGTTATTTAACTTCATTCAAAATACATAACTAGGATTTAATCTTGTTTTAATAAAGTATCTCTCAAAAGTAATTGTTTTATTTACTTTAAATATTTTAAAAATAAATAGCATATATTTTATATATAAGATATTCCATGCAGTCCTGATATCTTAGAATTTTTGATCCAATTATGAATTTGTTGAAAACTATTTTTAGAATAATTATTGTCTTTTGATGCTATGTTTAGAGCATATTTTTATTGCTTATCTCTGATAAGTCAACGAATAAAAAAATAAAAATAAAACATTGTAGGACAAACAATAATCAAATCATTAGCATTTTTATAAATATAGTGGGTATAAAATGAGGGTGAAGCATACATTTAACCAGTATAGTTTGAGTAGAGTTATCTACTCACTTTAAATACCCACTAAATGTACTAATATACTTATATCTCAATTAGGACTTTTCATTTAATTATCATCGATCCATTAAAAATTTTTGTAAGAATACAGCTAAAAAACGAGTATTTCAACATTTTGAAATAAATATAAAAAAACCTATTTTATTTTTATTAGTGAAAAAATAACACATGCTTTATATATAGTTTAAGAAGGTTTTTAATATAATCCAAAATTGTATAAAAAATGTTTAACAAAATTATAATTGGAATAAGTGTTATAAGAGATTCAGAACTAACTCATGTGACACCCTTATATCTTGGGTCCAAAAAAACCATTATACAATAAAAATAAAAAAATTTAATTCAATTATTTTCAAATAACTACTGTAAACAATCTACGTATGTTGCTACTAATATCTGAGTTATATCTTATAAAAGAACTATTCTATCAGTGGGAACTTAAATTATGTTGCTAACATCATAATTTAGCAATTCTCTTGTAGTTATTTGAAAATAACTTCTTATAAATTATAAAAAAATTTTTCCATTTTTGTAGATAGATGCATTTATTTGATTATTATTTAATCACAGATATATATATTGAATAACTTTTTATTAATAAATAATTGCTATTTTTTTTGTGTCCAATTTTAGTGCTTTTATGTTACCATTTGAAACTCGTCAACTGCTGTTTTATGCAACAGTATTTGATCGTGATCGTGCTTTGCAGCGATTATTAGATTCTAGTTCTGAATTGCAAGGTGCTGGAGGTAGTAATAATGGAGATATGCATGAGCGTGTGGCACCACGGCTTGATAGGCGAAAACGTTCAGTTACTAGATCTAACATTCTCTCTCAAGCAGAAGCTGTAATTTCTGAGAATGCTACTTCAAGAGCATTACTAGAAATACAATATGAAGATGAGGTATTTTAACTACATATTTAAATTAAATTATTGCAAGAGTAATATTAATGTACTTGATTATAGGTTGGAACTGGATTAGGACCTACTTTAGAGTTTTATGCATTAGTTTCTAAAGAAATGCAAAAAGCAGATTTAGAACTATGGAATAATATTTCTAAGTCTGAATCTGAATCATATGTATTTACTCCTGAAGGATTGTATCCTAATCCATTGTCTAGAACTACAAAATTACCACATCAAGTTAAAATTAAGTCCAAATTTAAATTTTTAGGCAAATTTATGGCTAAAGCTATTATGGACTCAAGACTAGTGAGATTTTATATTTATATTTATATAAATTAGATATTTGTATATATTTATTTAAATTTATAATCAATTTATAGTTAGATTTACCACTAAGCATAACTATGTACCGATGGTTATTGGGTCATGAAAACTATTTATCCCTGAGTGATCTTATATATATAGTTCCTGATGTTTTTAACACATTATGTCGTCTTCATTTGCTTGTACTTCAAAAAAGAGCAATTTTAAATGATGATGAGTTAAGTGAAGAACAAAAAACAGAAAAGGTAATTTTAAAGTGGTATTTATTAATATTTTAATGAGTTTTAATAAAAAAATTGTTTAATATTTGTAGATAAAAAATATACGTTTAGATGACTGCTTGATTGAAGATTTAGGTCTCGATTTTACATTACCCGGTCATCCATCTATAGAACTACGAAAAAATGGGCAAAATATCAATGTTACAATGGATAATTTAGAAAAATATATTCAAGTAATAAAACTATTTTTTAATATTTAATTGTTATATCAGCTGATAAATACCAGCTATTATTTTTGTACCATTGTGCCAAAATTTATAGTCAAAATTATATTGTGTTTGACGATGATTATGTGTGTAAAATTACAAATAACAGTTATTGCCTAAATAGTAAACATTTTTTTTTATTTCTACATAATAGCCTAGATATTTCGGTCTTTGGATTCTTATTAATTGCTCATTGACAATATCTTAAATTCATGAACCAGGCAGAATATTAATATATGTGGTTTTTTTTTTAATAAAGAAATTTAACATTTTTTTTGTTATTTATCTTAAATTTTTACTTATAACTCGGAATTTATAGTTAGTTTAACTTACATGATTTTTGGTGTACAAGTATTTTTTAACTAAAATAGATGTTATATTTAAATAAAATATTTTCTTTAAAGACTATTATAGAAATATTTATGAAAACCATTTAAGTGATTTTATTATTGTTATTACAGTTAGTATGTCATTGGTATTTGCGTGAAGGTGTATCAAAACAGATGGAAAGCCTTAAAGAAGGATTCGAAAGTGTTTTTTCTCTTAAAAAGCTGGCACAATTATTTTACCCTGAAGAATTGGAAGCAGTATTTTGTGGACACACGAGCTCATACAAACAATGGGATATGCGTATGCTTTCAGAAGCATGTCGTTTAGATCATGGTTATACAGCAAACTCTAGAGCTATTAGTTTCCTTTTTAAAATATTGTCAGAATATAATCATCAGCAACAGAGAGATTTCCTCAGATTTGTTACAGGCGCTCCACGTCTTCCCGTTGGAGGTATTTTTATAAAAGAAAATAATAATCGTATAAATTGATTTATTAAATGATCTTATAGACTATTATTTACACTCTATATTATTGGGTGTTTATATAAGGAAATAGGTTAATTGTAAAAAACAACAATGGAAACCTTTTACTTTACTTATAGTCTATAAGTACTGTGTTTTAAAATATATGGAACACAGTACTTTTATAATATTGTCATGTATATAAAGATTCAATTAGAAACATTTTATCTAAAATTAAAAATATTTAAAATAATATTGGTCAAAAGTAATCAATTCTTTTTAAACATTATAAACTTTTCTCTTTTGTCTACTTCAGAATTGATCATTTCTTTTTCATAAAAAAATTAATTTTTAATATGCTTTTATAATTAGGATTTAAATCTCTCTCGCCAGCATTGACAATTGTACGTAGAATATTTGAAGACAACGATAATCCAGACAATTATTTACCATCAGTAATGACATGTGTCAACTACCTCAAATTACCAGATTATTCTAGCATAGATATAATGCGTGAGAAATTACAACTGGCTGCTTCTGAAGGACAACATTCCTTTCATTTGTCATAAACATGACACATATTGTAAAATTTTAATTTCATATTTATCATCAGATTAAATTTTTAAATCTGTCACAAATATATTCTACTTGTGATTTAAAGATTTTTTTTCTTTTTCAAACGTATTTTATTTCATTATAAAAAGCAATATTTTTAATGCGTTAACATATTTATTTTAAAAGATTATATATATATATATATATATATGTGTGTGTGTTTATATTTGGAAAAGTAATTTCTTCAAAATGTCCTATGTAAATATGTAATACATAAATATTTATATTTATACATAGACACATATGTATATGTATGATGTGTGTGTTCTAAAGACATTTTGAAAAAACAATTTTCTCTCTTAATTCAAGAAATTTAAGATCTCCTAGATATATGGGTAATTTTTATGACTAACTCAATTATGTAAATATTTATATATATATTATTCCAATAAATCTCTATTTTTATTTATCTTAATATAAATACTACAAATTAAAAGAATAAATATTCTGAATTTAAAAAGCAACAAATTTCAAGTATTTAATAAGTGTATTTACTCTCCAAATAGAATACAGAAAAGTGTCATCTATTTATTTTGTTATTGTTTATAAAAGTTAATTGTAAAGCAAATAGTATTGGTTAATTCAATGTGACTTCAATTATATGAGAAACATAATCATTGCTGATAGAATAGTAGATAATTAATTCAGCTATTGGTTCCTGTAAATAAATAAATATATTGATAAAAAATAAATAACTAATACAAAAAATAATTTAAATATTTTTTTATTTTATTTATAAATTACTATCATATTTGCCTAATTTTGTATTAGAGAGCAAATTAATAACAAAGAAAGACAATATAAGTCTTAATAATTTGAAAGATGGTCTAGTGCTGTGTTAACTTAATCATTAGAAGTGATAAAACAATCATTTTTATAAATCTGACCCTTTTCCTGTCCACAGGGGGGATTTAAAATGACAACTTTTTCAAATTCACTTTTGAAAGTGTTCCGGTAGGTCTGACACTTTAATATATATCTTAAATTAAAGATAATGTAATAAACTTTATCATGAAAAAAAAAAAATTTCGGACTTTATTTTGTTTTCATGGTGAAAATGGCTACCAAATGCTATTTTTGTGTGAAAATTCTCAATTTTATATTTTACATTTTTAACTTTACAATGCTATAACTTATTGAAAAGTGTATGGATCAATACAATTTTTTTATGAGAAATAATATTTATATCCCTCTTTCATTCGACATACTTTATCTTAATCCACCATTTTTTTAAAATTAAATACTATCTAAAGATTTGCATCGAAGCGTTTTTTATGATAGTGATTTTAATCACTGTCAGGTATCATTATACTTGACCCAACAATGCACGTCACCACTGTGCCACGACCCCCCTGTGCTGGGTTTTTTATTATTTCTAGGCATTAAAAAGTCATAATGCTCCTCTATAATAAAAATGGCTAATATCACTTAAAATATTATTTCATAAGTTATTATCAACCAGTCATTTTCTAGTTTGTAAATTGGTTAAACATACAAAGTGGTTCTTATTTTGACAAATCTATTACAAATTATGTATTACTATTTATTTCATATCATTTATGCATTCCTTAGACTATGTTAAAATCATATTCTTTGTTATTTGTTTTTAATAATAAAAAATTAAAATTAAAATTTTTTTCAAAATTTTAAAAGAACTATTTTTTAGAAATGTTCAAAACAATTTAATGGATTAATAATAATTTTGGAAGGAGTACTAGAGATTTACAAGCAGTGGAGTATGCTTTATAAATATAATATAGTACGAGTTGTAAATGCCCATTCTATGTATTAGATTACTTGTGACTCAATAATTACTTATCCTAAATTGTTATCGACCCATTAATGTTTTTTTGTAAGAAAGGATCTAAAAAACTTTTTTGAAATTTTGAATAACAAAAAAATTTTAATTTATGTACCTCCCTGTATATGTTTCCATTTAAAAACTTAAGTTAATAACATTTCAAGAGTGAATAACATCAAATTGTTTTCTGTAAATTTTAGAATGTTTGATACTATTAACTTTTAAAAAAAAATATAATATATATAAACCCAGCACAGGGGGGTCGCGGCACAGTGATGCCATGGTATAGTTGGATAAAGTATAATGATATCTGTCAGTGATTAAAATCACTATCAAAAATAAACGCTTCGATGCAAATCTTTAGATTGTGTTTAATTTTAAAAGAATTGGTGTATTATTCCAAAAGTTACATGATGTGCTAGTTCCTTATTAATATCTTGATTAAGATAAAGTATGTCGAATAAAAAAGGGATTATTAAAAATATTATTTCTCATAAAAAAATTGTGTTGATCCATACACTTTTAAATAAGTTATAGCATTATAAAGTTAAAAATATAAAATCGAGAATTTTCACACAAAAATAGCATTTGTTAGCCATTTTCACCGCGAAGACAAGTCCAGAGGTCAAATTTTTTTTTTTCAAATTAAAGTATATTACATTAGCTTTAATTTAAGATATATATAAAAGTGTAAGTATTTTTGGAATACATTCAAAAATTAAGTTGAAAAAGTTCTACTTCCTATACGCATTTTTAAAGGTTTGCAACCACGTGTATAAGGGGAAATATTCCGATTAAAAAAAAAAAAGTACTTTTTTAAAAGAAATTTTTTCAATTTTTGAGGGTAATGTCTTCGACTAGATACGATTTGTGATCTTTTGACGTATCGTTGAAAGAAATCCGTTCGGTGAGAGCTGAGAAAAAGTGGTAACAGACACAAAAAAAAAAATTTTAAAATTTAAAAAAAAATACATCATAGTAAAACCAATACCTTCTCAGCTTCGCATCGAAGCTAATATAAGGATATATCAGAATTTCATGTTACATACTTTTTTTTATTATAATAATATAATAGTGTTTCTACCCAAAAGTTTTTATATCTTAATACACTCAGTAATTAAAACTCTTATTTTGACAAAATATAGAGATCAATTTTGGAATATTCAGTGAAAAAAATTGTTTTATAAGTTTGATGATACTATAATATAGTTCAATAATATTGTGGAAAGTAGGTTAAGATAAAAAGTAAACACTTGTAAAAATATTAATAAATAAAATTACCGTGTAAAAATGAACCAGGATCATTCTTTTTCTATTGCTCGTGGATGAAAGTTCATAGATGCACTATTAATACAAAATCTACGACCAGTTGGAGGAGGACCATCTTTGAAAACATGCCCCAAATGTGCATTGCAATTGATACATTGTACTTCCGTTCTGATCATACCTGGGTTGTTTATTAATAACAGCAAATTTGCTCCAACTGAATCCACCACCATGATGTAGCAACAGCATTTAATTGTATAGTCAAGGAACCAAGGAAACGCCGCAACACCAAATAATAGCATAGCATAATTATCAATAGATTTTTTTCAATGAAAAAAAAATATATTTAATTGAAAGAGACAATTACAATTTTTTAATAGTTAAGCAAAATAATTGGAGTTTTTAATACAATTAGTTATTTTAAAAGCAAAACAAAAAAAAAAAACGAAATTTTACACGAACCAACATGAACAACTTACAATTTAATATTGAATCTTTTATTATATTTAAACTAATTATTTGTTCAAAAACTTTTTGCCAAAAATCCTCAATACCATAAAAAAAAATTATGTGTTTTAATTACATTGTGTAATTACATGAAAATAGCAGACATAAAAATTACTTTAGTTTTTTTTTTGTTTGCTAGATATACAGAATGTTCAATAAGTGAGGAAACGGGTTTCTATTGTTTCTATTGCGACGGACTAACCACCCGTCCCGGAGTATAAATGGTTAAGAAAACTTCCTCCTAGGGGGAGGTCGCTATGGCCCTTAATGAACTAATAAAAGCAATAAAAAAAAATTATTGTTTTTTCCAGATAGTGCATTTTTTATAATTAAAAACATGAAAAAACACCTTATGTTCTAGAGCCTATAACTTCAACTAAGCCTATAACAAATACGCTATCACTGCGGAACTAGTACTGTTATTCTCATATTAAATAGTACTTCAATTTCATTCTTAAGTTTATGAATTTTGAATTTTTTTAACATCGAAATTTTGATTTAAATTTTTTAACTTTCGCAGTATTTTGATAGCAAAATTTGAAAGTCAAAAAATATTTTAATAAAATTTTTTTTTTCTTTTCAGAAGCTTTTAGTTATGTTCTTTTAATCCATATCATATTTGAATCGATTTATAATTTTTTTTGTATCGTTTTACGGACTTGAACATGCATGGTTTGCTGAAAATAGCCAACTTTATCATCTCATTACACAAAAATGACTGAACGATTTTTTTTTCAAATTTACATAATACTTACCTTTAGACAATTAAAATATCTGGTAATATAATTATCTAAAATACAAAATATCTGAAAAATTAAGTCTTTAAAATAAGCTGCTTACAATGGTGTGTAGTATTTATTTTTGAGTAAAATAAATGCAAAAAATAAGAATAAAATGTTGAAAATTACGTAGTTTGTAGATTTTCCATAATACGTTAATTGTAAATTTTGTAAGTTCTATAAGTGGCGTTAAAATTATTTCTCCATCATCAAATTTTCACCAGATATTTTAATTGTGTGAAATATTAATGACTGGTAATACATACACAAATAGAGTTAAAAAATAATAAAGTAAAATTATTCAATTTTATAATTGAAATATCATTATTATCATTACTATTATTATATCAAACCTAACTCGACAGTTAATACTTTAAAATATAAGTGAGAATTGTGAAAAAAATGACAGCCTCAAAAAAAACCACATAGTATAATAATTTTAATATGAATAAGTAATTTATTCTAACTAGAGGAGACTACATTGATGGAGTCCTTGATAATCATTGAAGTTATTGAATTTAAACGAGTTGAAAATTTTTTTCTAACTAAAAAAGGAAAATATGTATAGCCACTGGCAGGTTTGAATCTCGTCCTCCAAGCGCATAAGACTCATGTGTTACCGACTCGACAACAGTTCGTCGACCAAAAAAATGGCAATTTAAGATAATTCCAATTTCAAAGTTATTTTTCTCAACTTAAAAGATGCAAAAAAAAATTTAAATAAGTTTAATTTTTTGTGTTTTGTCATTTAGATTTATATAATATTTATGAAAATATATTTACTCCCCTTGTAATGTATTTTAAAATAAAATAACATATAAAACCCAGAATTTTAACACAAATACAGCATATTTTTGAATACGGTGACTGTTTTTTCATCATGAAGTCTAGAGGTCAATTTTTTTTTTTCAATATAAAGTATATTACATTAGATTTAATTTAAGGTATATATAAAAGTGTAAGTATTTTTGGAATACATTCAAAAATTAAGTTGAAAAAGTTCTACTTCCTATACTCATTTTTAAAGGTTTGCAACCACGTGTATAAGGGGAAATATTCCGATTAAAAAAAAAAGTATGTCAAAGGAGAGAGGTATATATAAAGTATTTATCATTAAAGAATAGAATTAATTCATGCATTTTTTAAAAAGTTACAGCAATATAATGTTAAAAAATGTAAAATATAATATCAAGAATTTTTTTAAAAAAATAGCATATTTTTGCATACGGTAGTCATTTTTACCATGAAGACAAATCCAGAGGTCAAATTTTTTTTTCAAATTAAAGTATATTATATAAGCTTTAATTTAAGGTATATATAAAAGTGTCAGTCTTTCCGGAACATTTTCAAAAGTTAAGTTGAAAAAGTTTATTTTTTGTAAAAAAGTTACCATTTTAATGTTTACAAAAATATATAAAATGTTTAAAGATAATACCTTTAACTAGATAATAGTTGTGATCATTTGACGTAACGTTAAAAAAATTGATCAAGTGAGAGCTGAAAAAAAAGAATGACAAACACAAAAAAAAACCACTTAATAGAATAGTTAAGAAATTCTTTCTTATATGGGGAAACTACAATGATGGGGTCCTTGATATTCAGTGAAGTTAATTAATCTAAATAAGAGAAGAATTTATCGAATTTTGAATCTTTTTTAACTCAAAAAGATTAAAAAAAAAAAAAAATACGAAAAAAAAATTTTGACAACCAGAGTTTGTCACCCCGACCATGAAAGACTTTATTTTACCGACGCAGCAACCCTACAACACATTTATTGATAGATAAATAAGAAAATTTAAGTTAGTTCAAAATTTCAGTAATTTTTCTTTTAAAATTTATGTCAGTTTTAAATAAAATTTTAAAAAAATGTCAAAATTTAATGATTTAAAAAATCATAATTTTTTGGCTGATTTTTCCCATTTACAGCAAACGAGAATTTTAAAAGACTCTAAAAAGTAACCAAATAATTATTATAATTTAAACATATAATAAAGCCACTTTTATTAGCTGAACAGAAATATTTTGATTTTAAGTAAACTCAAATTTAACTTAATTTATTTTTTGTTCATTAAATGACTAATTCATGTATGTATGTATGTATGTATGGTATATTTTGTTAAATACCTATTTTTAAAATAATGTTCCAAATACTAAAAAACACTATATTTATAAAAAAATATTTTAAAAAAATGTCTACTACATTTAAATTTTATACATTTTATATATAGGTCATAAAGGTATTTTTGTAAATAAATTCTATAAATAGAACAAATTAATACCTGTCGACGTTATTGTCTAAAGTAAACGTTCAATAAATAACTTGAATACTACTATGAATATAATTTATTTGAAAAATAACGGATTAATTTTATTAAATACTTTTTCAAATTAACTTAATTTTAACGAGTTTAAAAAAATCATCAACTTGCCAAGTCTTAAATAACGGGTCTTTTAAATTTTTTTTAATAAAAAATTGAACGAACGTAAAGAAAACTAGTTATTTTTTAGAAGAAAGAACTAGAATCAGGAAGAGCTACTATATAGGAAGATTTTCTAAAAGAACAAGTTTTGTTTAAAACAAAAAACTTATCTTCTACTACGTTTAATAGTTTTAAAAATAAAAAGGACTCAATTTTATTTTGATATTAAATAATTGACTATTATTTTTAATAACAAATAATTTTTTACCTAAAGTTTATAAAGCTATATATTTTTAGATAACAACCAATAAATAATAAATAATAGTACACTATTAGTGTAACTATATTTTTAAAAGCAGAGGGAATAAAATTTGGTGGATTTGCTAATTTATAATTGGATATCATAGTTTGGCTCATAGTTAATAACATGAAACATAAATTCTTTACAATATACAGGGGTTTATCATGAACCACTCGATTCCTTACAAAATAAATACAATATTCACAAAAATTTTGATTTCTTTTAGTTACATATATTTTTTGAATTATCAACTAATAATTTTAATACTTTTAATTACCCTTTAGTATCATTCCTTATAACATAAAGGAATATAAACTATTTTTTTAAATATAAACATATATTTAACTATCGTATAAGATAAAAAATTATTTAATTAAGTAAATGACTAGTTGATAATAACTTTTGGACCAGTACTTTGGATATTATTCTTATTTTTATACCAAGGTGAGACGAAGAGGGGCTGGGAGATGTTTAATGATAAAAATATATAAAATTTATAAAAATCAATTTTATAAGCTAGTTTAATACATATGTTGCCATTTAAAAAAATAAAGTTGATACTCCTTTAAGTTATAAGGATTGATTCTTTAAAATTATTATTAATTGATGAATCAAGAAATATATGTAATTTAAAGAAATCAACAATTTGTTTCATATTGCATTTATTTTGAAAATAATCAAATGGTTTATGATAAACCGATCATTTTGAATAAGAACTTAACTTTATTATTTTAATACTCATGAGAAATATATTAAGAGTACTAATAACAATTGAATTAAATTATGAGTTAAGAGTATTAATAGTTAAGTGTAATAATCATAATAATTTATTTATAGAACTTGAGATTTAGTAAACAATAAAAAGAAAAATGATTTTTTATCTTACGAATATTCATCTAAAAAGGTTAAGCCAGAAAAAATTATTTAACAGGTAGTAAGTATTGATAAAAATATATTTTTAAATAGAATTGCTTACAGTTTTAGAGTAAGTTGCTTGCTCATAAGTAAATATTTTAAGTAATGCAGCGTTTCCAATACCAAGACAGACATACAATAAATAGCAAAATAAAAAAAGCTTATTTGATAAAAAATTCAACATACCATTTGATGTATCTGAAGTTAATTTTACTTTGCCTTGATTAATTACATCATTGAATGCAGGCCATCCACAACCAGAATCAAATTTAGTCTCTGATGTAAATAATGGTTCATCACAAACAACGCATGTATACAAACCAGGATCCGTAGTTTTATTATACTTGCCAGTGAATGCTCTAAATTAATGATTAAGATAAATTACCTTCTTAATCATTAAAACATTCATATAACTACCTTTCAGTTCCTTTTTCTTGAGTAACGTGATATTGAATAGGAGATAATCGTTTTTTTAATTCTTCTTTCGAAATATTTCCTTGGGACATGGTTCTTAAAATAGTATATGTGTAAGAACCTATGCGCCGAATAAAATTAACATCTATCAAAAATTTACCACGGCTAAACATAGCCTTTAAATAAAATGTGGGTCACAACGTTACATCTCATTTTTTTAAAATCGAAATTATAAATAAATTCTCAATGTTAAATAATATGTATCATACAGTAATACTTATCAATGAATGTATGATATTGTAAGCTTAGATATAGAATTGTACATATATATAAATGTTTGTATTAAGAACTTTCCCTTTTCAAATGATAAATTTCTATCTAAAAATAATAAAATGTTTGATAACGGTAATCTGAGGTTGAAACAGCACATATAATTCTACAGATTTAAATAATTTTTCTTTATTATCTATGTCTCATTTCGGATTTAGCAGGCTTTACGTTTTTGAAAATCAAACTATTGATTGCATGTCAATGTTGTTAGTACTGTATTAGTTAAGATCCCACTTGTATAAAGCGCTTCATACCGCAACCGCGTACGGCAAATGTTGGTTATACACAACAAAAATTTCAATATGCCCAATACACTGCATGTTTGATTTAGTGTCGTTGACTAGAATTATTGTTCATAGACTATAATTTAGTACTTAGAAGCTTGATTGTTTTCTTAATCAAGTGTTGACCTGTGATCCATGGCTCTCAATCCATGAACATTAACTTATTATTTGCAAGTTTTATAAGTTTTTGTTTTGTATCAGGCGATAAAACATAATTTTCACAGATTCAAAATGTACACTGTAAGTATAATATTTTTAACCCATACACATACAGTGTTTCATCTTATTTTCCAAAATTTTATCTTCATAGATAAACATTCAGAAATCTGAGTTGGAACGTCAGAGATATTCTGAAATACATAAAAGTGTACAACAATTTGTTCAATTTTAATGAATGTTATAATTTATTTTGTTTTTAATGTTAAAATATGTATAATAATAATTTATATATTTCTATGCTATAGAGGTATTAAACAGCATTAATTTTTGAGCTGTATATCTAAATATTTTTTAGGATATTTAAAGAAAACTTAATGTCTATATGAAAATTATTAATATCCATAATATGATATTAATAAACTGGTATTGTTATAGAGTAATCAAGTATTATATGGATAACCAAATTATATGTATACAGGATGAAATAAATCTAACTCAATTATTATAACTCTTAATCTTTTTCTTAATAACACAAGCTAGTGTAAGATACTATGAACAACTGTAATAAAATTTCTCAAAGCTATAACAATTTGATAGCTAGAGTCTAGATTTATATGTATCTATATATATTTTTTAAGTTATTCCAAATACAACATCAGCCAATAAAAATTTGTATTGTAGAATTGCGTTCTTAGTTATGTTATCTAATTGGAATAATGTTGAGGGTGAGGTTTATTCCTCTATAAAACAAATAGTATACTTATGCAACTACATATTCCAACCACAAATTTGCATGAACTTTGATCTTTTTAAAATGGCTCAAATAAACTTATATATATATATATATATATATTTAAATCTGCATTCTATTCATGGCCAAATTTAAATAAGATATATTGGTATCATTATTTTTCTTAATGTATATTTAATTACAAAACATAGTTATTCAAATATTTTTAATGTCTTACAAGTTAATTTTGGTAGTTTTTCATTAATACTAACATAAAAGTAACAAAAATAGGTAATATTGCAGTAATTTTATTCAGCCAAAATTTCAAATTTAGACTCCTGGTTAAGTAACAAAATAGTAATTTCATTTTAATACACCATATCATCTCGAAAAACAAATATAATGAGCTTCCTTTTTTATATAAGATCAAATTAATGTTATCACCATAAATTCAACCTACTGATTGAACTTTGTAAATAAACTAAGAATTCTTTTTGTTGAACCTTAAAATACTAATTGTAACCTAAAATAATATAAAAATAAATATATAGATAAAACTAAATTTCATCATTATGTCCAATTTCTTTTGAAAAGAAATATTTTTTTAAGATATGAAATGGCAACTACTAATTGGTATATTAGTATTGTATAATTTTATAAGTATTCTATTAAAAAATTGTTTTTTAATATTTTAAGAATAACTATATATTTGGTTATTATAATATTCAGGGTACTAGTGCAGATCAAGATACTAGATTTAGTGACAAAGAAAAAAAGTTGTTGAAGCAGATGAAATTTAGTGAATCATTAAATGCTAAAGTAAGTAAACCTAAAAATATTGAATAATTTATGCCCTTATATATTTTTATGTAATTTTGATAAGTAGTTATAATGGTATTATTTAAAAGTTCTTTTTAATTAAATTTTGAAGAAATATATCTTATACCTGAAATTTTCAATACATTAATTAACCAAAAGCTAATGAGTCCATTTTAGCTTTTTTTCAGGAGTATAAAAACAAATTAAATAAAAAATTTGGTAATCTGCATTTTTAAAATTTTTTTATTTTAGTTTTTTTTTTTTTTTAATAAAAAATTCTCAATTTGATAAAAAAATAGTAGAGGTCTAAAATGTTATTGATATTTTGATACAATATCTATTTTATGAAGATATTTTAGTATTAATGTAGAGTTAAAAGTTTTCAATACCGCAAATGATGATTAAATAAATATCTAAAATATTTAACTAATATCTCAATATCTAAAATAGTATAATATATAATAATACAACAATAAAAATTTTGTATTAATGTAGAGTATAGACCATTTACTAAAAAATCTAATCTAGATATACCACCTTGATCAAAAAGTTCCCGGAATTTATTCAGAAAATTAAAAATACCAGTTTATTCATCTAAATCTATACTGTCCCCTTCAGAGTAATCCCCATCGACTGCAACACACTTATGCCAGCGCTTGATCCAATCTTCGAATTAAGCATAGCCTTCTTTTTTGACTGAAAACGACATGGTTTTTTTAGTCTCAGCTCATTTGGTGAACGCCATTCACTTGTCTGATGTCTTGATTGTGTGTCATACTCATAAACCCACGTCTCGTCTCCAGTAATGATCCTTTTGATGAATGTGGTATCGGATTCAGCCTCGCAAATCATGTCTTTTGCGACGTCAACACGGTCTCTTTTTTGCATGAAATTGAGGTCTTTTGGCACCAACTTTGCTGCTACACGACGTAAACCCAAATCATTAACCAAAATGTCTTGGAAGGATCCATAGGCAATGCTCAAGTCTTCCGCTATTTATCTGATGGTTAATTTGCGGTTATTGACCAACATTTCTTGTTCAAAAGAGATAGATGTACTCTTGGCTACGTAACTTTTGCAAATGTCAAGCTTTGGCGCTAAGATTTAGAGGGAATATTAACAACAGATGTACCAACTTAATAAAAAAAACAACTCAAATCGGAACAATGGGAGCCCCATACGATGGTTATTCCGGGAACTTTTTGATCAAGGTGGTACACTTTTACATGGTACTATCAAAGGCGTGCTTAATTATTTATTGTTTTATCATTAAAAAATTCCCTCATTGAGATACTTGTAGAGATATGTCTAAAACTTACACTCATTTCCAAAATAAAATTCATGTATATGTTAATTTATAAGTATTTTTCTAACTATTGATAGTAGTAATATTACTGATAAACGATGATATGAAACTAAAGAAGTAGTAAATTCAAATTTTATTTATTGATGTTCACTTGAGGTGCCTTTATATTATTAAACTATTATGTATCGATCAGTGTACTCATCATTTTTAGTTATTATATAAAAGTTATTTTATTAAAATTTAATTTCTAACCAAATTTTAATAACTTATTTCTTTAATGTGCCAAATCATAATTAATTCTTAACTTAGCTTGAAAATTAATAAATTATAAATTGTAGGGTTTAATATTTTTTTATAATTTTTATAAAATTTATTTAAAATTATTATAATTTGTTCTAAAATTAAATTAAAAAAAATTAAATATTTGACTAATTTCATTTTATAATGGTAATATATTTGTAACATTGAATTTTCTAAAATAATGATCTCACATACAATTAATGTGAAATGTACACTTTTGCTGTTTTTATGAAATATTACAGAAAACACTTATGATCTTTGAAAGTATATTATTTAAAACCTAAGTATATTGTATAATATTTTTGTTGTATTGATCACTAAATTTTTATTTAAATTTCTTTAGGTTGATATGAACAAAGTTAAACTGGATACAATCAAACCATGGATTGGTAAACGTATTACAGAATTACTTGGTATGGAAGATGATGTTGTTGAAGAGTTTGTAAATAATCAATTGGAAGCTGATACTGTAATTACTTTATTATTATTAAATAATTATTTTTTATTGAACAAATATTGTATGTTGCTAATTATGCAAAAAGTTCATGTATGACTTTGAATATATATTTACAGAGTGAATCTAATTTAATCAGTAAAAAATTTATCTATACATAATAATTGATTCTAAAAATAATAAAATTGATAAAAAAAAAAGTGTTTATGATAAAATATTCTTGAAATATGATTTATTTATAACATTTTAATTTAAATGTTTGAATCATTTTGTTAATATAGAAGTTTAAAATAACAACAAAAAATTAAACATTTTCTGTGTCATACAATATGATAATAGATTTTGAATAGAATTTTGTCTTTGATTTTAAACATATATTACTTAATAACCTAAATTCAAATACTGTTAATTATTAATTTCTATTTTCCCAAATTTGTTTTTTTATGATTTTCTAGTGTCCTGATCCAAGGAAAATGCAAATAAATCTCACTGGATTTCTTAATGGCAAAAATGCTCGTGTGTTTATGACTGACTTATGGGAGTTACTTTTGTCTGCTCAGGAATCTCCTTCTGGTATTCCCCCAAAATTTATAGAACTCAAAAAAGAAGAACTGAAAAAAAAAATTGTAAGTGTAAATTTGGTTATTATAGTTTTAGTTATGAAATTGAAATCTATATATATTATTAAAAAGTGAAAATAAGGGGAAAGAAATATTGCTGAGGCCCAAGAATATTCACTCTTTTGTTTTCAAATGGAATTTAGTTAATCCCCATCCACCATGATTTTGTAATCGTCAATATCATTGTTCTTTTGCAAAACTGATTCTAAATACCTAAATTTTTCCTTCTCTCCTATAATGTCCTCTTTTATTGTCACTATTGTCTTACCTCTATTTATTCTTAAACCCTTTTCTCAAAAGCTGATCCATACCTCTAGCCTTTGATTAATTTCCTCTCTGTTTTCTCTTATTAACACTATATCGTCAGCAAACAACATGCACCACGGCATCTCTCCTTGTATTTCTCTAGTAATTTCATCCATCACTATAGAGAATAAGTAAGGGCTTAAAGCAGAACCTTGGTGCACTTTTACTCTTACCCGAAAACCTTCTGTTACTCCTCTTACGCTTTTTTTTACCCTGGTACAAGTGCCATCATACATATCTTCTATTATATCACCTCTTCACATTAACTTCTGTTCGTCTATATCTACGATATTTGAAAATCTGCTCTGTTTAATCTACAACTTTCTATTAAATGTCATGAAATTCATCTTATTGAATTAGATGGCCATTTATGATAAAATTCACATCACCATAGTGTAAAAAAAATTATAACTTAGTAATACATGTCACCTAATACATATTAAATCATAATAAATTTGTTTATTGACTTGGGCAAATTAATTACCAACAAAAAAACATGAAATATTTTTTTTTATCTTAACAAAGATGATCTATCTTTACAATCACTATTAACAATTAATTTGTCATAAGCCATTTTCCATAAAATTGTCGTACAACATATACTCCATTAATAATAATAATTATACAAAAAAAATTTTTAATTCCATTTTTCGTATATAGAAATCTTAATAAAACCATCAAAAACTATATTAATTCAATGAATTAATATAGATTTTTTATATTGTTATAAGCTGACAGTACTGGTTACCATATTTTAATATAAGTAATGATAATAATAATATTATTAAACATATTATGTTTAACGGCCCTATATGTAATCTTTTAACATACTTTAATTTTGTATAATGCCATAAGATATCAGTTCAAATATCATTCAAAGTTGTATTTTTACTTTAAGATTTACAAATTTAATGGTGATGAACTATTTTACCAAATAATTATCAATTGCAGATATTGTTTCTAATGACAAAACAAAGAAGTTTTATTTACTGTTCATGAAATAGAAAAACCGACATTTTAAAAAGAATAATTAGTTAAAAACTTATTTTAAAATATTAATTGATGTTTAAGGTATTAGAGATTTACATAGTTAACTTATTATACTAAAGATTGCAGTACCAAAAATATTACTAAAATTTATAATATATTATTTATGGAATTTTAATAGAAAAATTAATTGAAAAAAGAAAACTTTATTCTATGAAATAAAGTTGAAAACACTGTATAACAAATCAATGTTTTTTGGAAACTAATTATTTGTTTAGATGGTCAATATAATTACAACAAATTTCCTTAAGCAAATTTAGTAATTAAATTTATACTATCACTTTCTTATAGAAATGCAGATTTTGAATGATATTTTCACTTTCAGCTAGAGTTTTAACTAATGATAAAACATCCATGTCATTAATAATATTAAATACCCACTTGTACATTAAAAATATATTGACCCAGTCAGTGGCATGCCCATGGGGAGAGGTTAGGGGTCATATCTCTCCCCATTGTGTTTTTTTTCTAGTATCGAGTACCTAACAGCAATAATTGAATAAAGTTGTAATTATTACATTGTATATTTGTATAACAACATTACATCATATCATACAAAACACAAAATATTAATAAATATTTTAATGAGGCTTGACCTCTAAAGCCCCCTTATTAATCTTTTCTAATTCTCTCACCATCATTAAATGTATTTAGCTATATTAATACTTATTAGTTATGACATCCCTCCCCATTTAAAATTCCTTGGCACGCCACTGGACCCAGTACCATATCAAGCCAAAACTTGTTCTTATCACTAAAAAAACTTAACAATTTAGTCCAATTTTCTACTAAATTTTTAAAACATACCTTGAAAAAAATATTTAAAGATATTCTTGATAAAAATATTCTTAGAACAGCTACATTACATACAGAGTGAATCATTCTTGAGGAAATTGTTAAAATAAAAAAATGAATGTGAAATGAGGTTACAAGTTGAAAAATTACAAAGAAAAATTGATCAAAAAGAAATATTAACCCTATGAAAAGTAGATTTGTTTATAAAGGATATATTTTAAGCATTATTGTTTTTATTTTATTATAAAATTTTAACATTACATTGTCAGAGTTGTTATGTTAATTAAATATCTTTCTTTGTTGTCTTATACTACATTTTCAATGTTTCTAATTAATCTTTATTGTATTCTTAATTATTTGACTATTTCATAAAATTCAATTTGGTGTGTTACTAACTTTTATTTATTTGTTAATTTTTTATAGTTTTATTACTAATGATTATTAAAGAGCTACCACATTATAATATATATTATACTAACGCAGTTTTAAGATTATTTTGAACTTTATTTCCAAGCTAAAGATTAAGCAATATAAAAGTTCCTATATTTTCTAATTTAATTTTTTTCACTAAATAAAATAATAATGTGATTATCTTGAAGTAATTGTATATAGTTTTTCATTTTTTAAATGATCTCTTTTTTATATATATTTTCTACTGCTTCTATTTTAAAATATATTTCTAGTGGCAGCCCTAGGATACAGTTTGGGGTTTTTTTTGACATGTTGTTAAAAAAATTATTCTAATGAAAACTGTGAAAAAAAAGCTACAAACCTAATAAAATTGCTTCTAAATTTTTTTTATTTTAATTTGGTGTTTAAAGAAGTGTAGATTTTCATTTTAAAATTTTACCAATGAACATTTAAGTTAAAATAGATTTCATTTCCAATGTTTTTTAATCAAATCATTTTTTTCATTTAATATTATCTCTAATTTCTTTGAATTATCAAACATAAAAATTTTAAATAATGTTCTGAGAAATTTTTAATGTTAAATTATATTATCACTTTTAAAGAAAATAAATTTCAATTTTTAGGAAGATCAAGAGCGTGTTGGTGATATGTTAAAAAAATTTGAAAAAGACAAAGAAGAAAGGGAAAAAGAACGAAAAAGAGATAGAGAAAGGTAAATGTTTACATTATTTTATAAAACTTAACTTTATTTTAATTAAGAATAGCTGATATCAAATAAATTGTTTGGTTAGTCATTATTTTGTAAATAAAATTTTTTTTTTTTTTTTTAATGATGGCAAATTTTCTTTAAATATTAAAATTTGTCAAAATAATTATAATAATTGCTTAAGGAATTATTTTAATATTAGTTGATACTAATGGTAATGTTTGTTATTAATAATAACACTGGTTAACATAAATTTTGAATGTAGGTTTTAATACTGAATACAATTTATTTAATGATGAAAAATAAAAATTACTTATAAAAGTTTAGTTTTGTGGCTATAATAATGAATAAAGTTCAAAGCTTAGTAGGGTTTGATGCTTTATGCATTTATAAAATTTACTTGGATCACTTCAAAAAATCTTTCAACTCTATTAAAAATTATCACAGGTATATACAGTTTTGTTTTAAAAGAGAAGTTATCTTAAAATTTATGTAATTTAGATTTCTAACTATTTAATAAGAAATACTTTTCAAGAATAGTCATATTTTTTTAATCTTTGGGTTACATTTTTATGAAATAACAAAATAATACTTAATAATATTATTGAGTAGTTATTATATTACAGGGTGATCAAACCTACTCAATAACATAATAAATATAATTTTGTTAATTATTTTTGGCTTCTTTAACGTCTTATATTTTTCAATTATTATAATTTATTAATGCGTCACTTATACTTTATTAGAGTATTATTGGAAATTTGCACATATAATTAGCTCATATAAAGGAAAATGATTATAAAAAAAATTACTGGTTGATAAAATTTTATGGACAAATATTTCGCAAATTTTAATGTTTTTATATTCTTCTTAATAGGAAGAATGTGACTAAGAATTTTTAATGTTTTATATTTACAGAGTGATTCATTAATTATGAACCTTAATTTAATCTAATTACTGATGATGACGTGAAGATACTTCTATTTTTATCACTATACATTTCGTTGCCTTTCACCTAAGTATAAAAATATTAACAGCTTCTGAAGTATGTTCAAAAAGTTGATATCAACCAATAATTTTCTTAATTATGAACGTTAAGAAATAAGCTGGTTAAATATGCATGTTGAAAAAATAATGTTAACACTAATAAGATAAAAGGGTTGAACATAAAAATATTCATAGTTAATAAATTAAAAAAACATGAAACTAAAAGAAGTCAATAAATAAATGATCAATAATATTTTTATTTTTCAATAAATTGGTAATTTATTATGAAAGAATCACCTGTAAATACAGCATTTCTCAGATCTAACTGACAAAATTTATATTTTTAATACAATTATCATTTTGTTGAGTTTTTTTTTTAAATAATTATTACCTTTTTAAGTAAGAGCATATTTTTTTATTATTTATCGTTAAGAAAAAATTGAAAAAATTTTTTTCAAAATTTCAAAATGCCCATTTTATAGCTATTACAAAAAAAAATGTTGAGGGATAGACAAAGATGTTAGAACAAGTAATTATTAAGATTTAAGCATTAAATGGGTATATAGTATGGATAGGTGTTTATTGGGGTAATGGTGAAAGTATAGTCTGACTGCATTCCATACCTACTCTATGTATTAGGATTCTTTTAACTTAATAAGTGTTATTCGTTACATATTACAATTTTGTAATAAAAAAATGAAAGAAAAAAATATAATAATGATAATAAAACATTAAACAGTGTTACCGGAGAATATAAAATACTCTCAGTTTATACTGATTACAACACTTCCTTTTAAACTAGAGAATATAGAGGATATAAATTTATAGTAACAAAATAAATAGTAAAATTAACAATATATATATATAATTTAAATTATTCAGCTAAACCCAATAAGTTAACAAAATTTTGAAAAGTACTTGGTGGTAGAGACTTTGTAAAAATGTCTCCAATTTGATCAGTAGTTGGTATGTATTTGACAAGAATAGAATTATTATCACAGGCTTCTCTAACAAAACAATATTTCACGTCTATGTGTTTGAGTCTCTGGTATTTCCGAGGTTCTTTTGCAGCGGTTATACATGATTGATTGTCTTTGTGGATTGAAGTTGGAATAATCAAATTCAATATTTTCATTTCATTTAATATGCCCCTTATCCATGAGCATTCACTCACTGAGATTGCCAAAGCTATATACTCTGCCTCTGTCATCAACAATGCAACTGTGGATTGTTTGTGGCTTGCCCAGGCAATTGCTGATCCAAAAAGTTGTAAGACATATCAGGTTGTTGATTTTCTTTGTTCTGTATCGCCAGCAAAGTCAGAATCACAATTATCCAATAACTGTATCACAGTGTTTCTTAAGAGAATAATGTAAACACAGTTTTTTAGTACCCTTTAAATATCTAAGTACTCTTTTTAGTAAAGACCAATGAACTTGCATCAGATTGATAGCGACTGAAAATATTAACTGTGAAGCTTATATCTGGTCGTGTATGGGTCATTAAGTACATAAGGCAACTAACAGCTTCTCGATATGGCTTACTGGTTTTTTCTGAATTCTCAATGATAGTTTTGAAGTTTACTTCAAGTGGAGTTTTACAGGGCTTGCAATCATACATGTTTAGCCTTAGAAGTAAATCTTTGATGTAATCACTTTGATCCAACTTTAAAATATTTTTATTTTCATCTCTATGAATTTTCATATCAAGATATGAAAATTTATGAAATTTACATCAGTAGTAAATTATTTCATTCTATTTTTTATAGACGAAGAAGTCGTAGTAGATCTCGAACTCGTGATCATCGTAGTAGGTCACGAGATCGTAGAAGTAGATCACGAGATCGCAGAAGTCGATCTCGAGATAGACACCGTGAAAGAAGAGATAAAGACAGATTTAAAGATAAAGAACTTGAAAAAGCAAAAGAAAAAAACAAGCGAGAGTAATTATTTTATTTTATTATTATATATTTATTCTTATTATGTAATTTTTAGTTCCAGGTCTAAATCTAAAGGGAATATTGTAAGTAATGGACATAGTTCACCAAAAAATACTAAGAGTCGAAGCTGTACACCCAATGGAAAAGAATTAAATGAAGAAAACATAACAGATAAACATTCAAAAACTTTGTATGTATAACATATTGTTTGAATTGTATAAAACCAAACTTATTAAAAAAATTTGGCTTTAAAGTCTAAATTGGAAGAGTAGGATAATTTACCTATTAAATACTTATTATATAAAATTTCAGCTATAAATAGGCACATGTTGCTGGAAACAAAAAACTATCCACTAGTTTTTTCTGTGCCAATTTTATTTTTAACCATCATTTTGTGTAATTATATGATAACTGTTAAAATATTAATATAAGATAACTTAATGAGATAGTATCATAAAAATTTGTATAAAAAAATATTATGTTTCAATTATTTAATTAGGGTATCACCCAGTGTTGACAAAAAAGTGGAATCCAATAACAAAATTAAAGATCGTTCTTCTTCAAGAGAATCAATACCTCGTAAAGAACGAAAACATCATTCCTCTTCATCAAGTCGTAGTTCATCTCGATCTAACTCTTCACGCAGTCCTGGTACCTAGTTAAAAAATATTTTTTTTTATTCAACATTTTGTAATATTTTTATTATTCTATGAAAATACTATGTATAATTACCCATTATTTCAGTTCACAAAAAAGATAATTTTGAAATACAAAAGAAAGAAAATAGTGTTCAAAAAAAGAGACAGTATCGCACTAATAAAGATGATTCTTCAGCTAGTGAATCAGAAAAAGACAAATCCTATGACAAAAGGGTATGTCTGTAGATTGATGAAAAAAATACCTTTATTTATATATATATACTTTTTTTTTTAGGATCGACGAGATCGATCAGATTCTCGTTCAAAATATCAATCTAGACAAGCATATAGTAGAAATCGTTATCAAGAAAGAAATCGGGATCGTTACTACAGAGAAAGGGAACGTCGTGATAGAGAAAGAATTCGACGAGATAGAGAACGTGAACGTCGAGAAAGAGAAAGAGCTTTTCGTGAACGTGAAAGACGAAGACAAAGAGACAGAGAACGATCATCTCCTCGAAGAAGGTACCTATTTTAAGAAAAAAAATTTTTTTTCAAAACTTGATAGTTTTTAAATAAGTAGGATTTGAATGAGTTACTTTTTGTTTATATTTTAAATAAATACATTGAATATAACTAGACTTTTGACAATAATTAAAAAATTTGTAATTTATTATATTTTTTATGACTTCAGCCTATATCTTTAGCTAATAAAACTAAGCTGTACAGTTTGAGCTGCATATAATAATATAATAAAATAAAATAAAACAGGGTCTATCCCAAAAAAAACTTATGATTTGTTTGGTTTTATTTTCTTAATTTTTTGTAAATACACCAACAATCTCATTAAAACTGTTTTTTGTATTTGTATATAGTGATTATTTTATTTTTAATCACTCAATTTCTCATAAAATGAGAAATTCGTTATGAAAGTTCTTTTTTGTGTTATTTAATTTTGAAAACTTCTTTTTCCCTTGCTGCGTTAGGGTATGAACTTTTTATTTTCTTTAGTGGTAACATACATATTGAATTAGCTATTTTTAAATGTAGATTCGAGAAAAAGTACGTAGGTATAGGAAATGATAAAAATAATATAATCCATTTCATACTCTAATCTATATTTGAAAATGTTAATTACTTCCAAGATACTGGTCTAAAAATTTTTATTGACCAATTTTTTTTTAATTATATCATTATTTATTTTATAGGCTAATTAAATATGTAAGTTGCCATTTAAAAAAATAAAATTGAGACTTATAAGATATAAGGGATGAATCAAAAAGGTAATTATTATTATTGTTTTGTAGGAGATCCAGAAGTTTTGAAAGAAAATCAAGATCACCTAGTAGACGGTCCCACTCAAATTCAAAAGTAAATATATATTATTTTATAATTATTTAAGTAATTTACATATGTATAGAGCTAAATTACTATACTATTTTTTTTTTCTTAAAATGATGAGTAAACTTTATATGCTATATACTACAAAGTGGTAATTTTTTTTCAAAACATGGTCAACATTTTTAATGTTTACAGTGATGATTCCATGTATAAAGTTTTCAATTTTCAATCGTAAAGTATTTTTTATGTTCATTCTTTTTACCATATAAGGTTGTCAATTTTATTTGTTCAAATGGAAATGTACATAATTAACTAGTTTACTTATTAATAATTATCTTACTAATGATCTAGTTAAAAAATGGCTGGTTGATAACAACTTTTGACCAGTATTTCTAAAGTTATTAATAATTTAAAGTTATGATTGGCGGTGAGGAGTGAGTGCTACTATTTTTATCATTAGTCATACTCCTTCCATCTATGCATATAAATGTTAATAACATCAAAAATACTGGTAAAATTTGTTAGCAACTAGTTATTTTCTTAATTAGATCATTATTAATTAAATAAACTAGTTAATTATATATATTGCCATTTGAAAATATAATGTTGACATCGTTGTTTATGATTGAAAAATTATGAAAAACGTGTACCTTAAAGAAATCAAATAAAAAATTCTCAATATTATTTTTCTTTTTTGGATTAATTAATTGGTTTGTGATAAATAAGAGAAAGATAAATATCAAATGATATAACTCAAACAAAATTTGCTGTAGTTTGATTACTTAGAAAATTATTGGTAAAAATAAACATAATATATTAATCTCAAAGATAGTCTTTTTTTTTTTAAGTATGTATTAAAAAAACAAATGGGAATTTCTTTTCGTCTTTTGGAAGTTAAGTCTTTGACTATATATAATTTGAAAATTTTAATGTGTTAATAGACAATTTTATCTAAATTTAATAGCTGAAACAGACATAATTAAGAATAAATTAATAATAAAAAATTGAATTTATGTATAATTTTGATTGCTAATGAAATATAAGTAATACGTTTAAACTAGTTATTCTACTTCAATGCTAGATTGACTTTAATGTATTTTTGAACATTTAAATTAATTTTAGTCATTATAACTTAACTTAATTTTTATATTGTGCTTTAACAATTTAGCGTAAACCTTTTGTAAGATCTCGCAGTAAAGATCATATGATCAAAGAATCCAGCTCAATCTCGCCCATCAAAAAAGATTCATCCAAGATCAAGGTATTCATATACTCCTATAACAATTTTATATTTGATATTAAGTTAAAATTAAGATAAAATAAATTATTTAATCAAATAAAATAATAAATTAAAATTTTTTTTTTGACAAAGCCTGGAGTATAATTTAAAAAATTTAATAATTTCTATACTTTTTTTTTTAACAGTCGACCTAATGTTGGCTGCCCTGGAACTACCGTAAGGCATTGCTTCAGGGCTATCAACATTGCAATAAAACTCACAACACCATGTTGTGATACAGCTCCAAATTAATTGAGAGCTGTGTCACAATAAAACGTAGAGTAATTACTATACTTTTGAATACAAAACCAACATTACTTTATTGTATAAGTTTATATAAAACTCACAAGAATAGCTATAAAAGTAATAAATTAAATGTAACAAAAAAAAATTTTACAATCAGAAGTAATATAGGTAATGTATAATATAAATATAGTAAAAAAAGTTATTTTGTTAAGTTAATATATTTATTATTCTGTTTTAATAAATAATTTATTTTACATGTTAAATAGAATATTATTTTATTTTGTTTATAAAATAAGTAATTACTAATAAATCTTTTTGCTTCAATTTGAGGTTTCTCGTGATAGTTTGTCCCGAACACCTTCGCCATTCAAAAAAAGTGCTGATAAATCTACTAAAGAAAAACTGTAAGTCATCTATTTAAATTAATAATCTATTATGATTTATTTATATTTTTTTTGCAGTAGCGCTAAAGAAGAAATACAATCTAAAAGTATCAACAAAATGAGAATTCAATCTCCTTTAGGAAGTACTGAAAGAAAATCTCAGTAAATAATATATTTTTAATTATTAAATAAATATGATTATGTATAGTAATGTTTTTTAATATAATTTAAGGAGTTTGTCAAAACGCAAATCATCATCACCTGTTAACAATAAAAACAAACAAGTAAATAAATTAGATAAGACTCTTCATACCAAAAGTTCAAAAAAATCAGAAATTTTAGTGTCTGATATTGAAAAGCCAAAACCCAAAATAAAAGATGAAACATCTAGCTCATCTGATGAATCGGTTAAAAAACACAAGAAAAAGTTTAAAAAAGATTCAAGTTCAGAAGATGAAAAAGTCAAAGCCAAAAAAAAGAAAACGAAGGAAAGTTGTTCATCTGATGAAGATGATTCTAAAAAGAAAAAGAAACGTAAAAGAAGATCATCTAGTTCAAGTTCTGAAAATGTAAGTTAGTAAGGTTACTTGAACATAACAATTTAACTGTTTAATATTGATAAAAAAATATATTTCTGTGTATTTTAACATTAAATTCATGTACTTTATACTTATGTTCAATTTTCATTTGTTATAAAAATGTTAATTAAACCCTCATTAGAATTATTTTTTAATTTCATATTTTTATATTTCATTTTTTTGGATAAAATTAATTAATCATTTTTACATTTCAGGTATCTGATGGCGAAGAAAAAAAAAAGAAGAAAGACAAAAAACATAAAAAACACAAGAAACACAAGAAACATAGAAAACATAAAAAACGAAAGATGGAAGATAGTGTAATTATTTTAAAACTAACCCAATTAAATTAGTGTAATATTAAATGTTGTGGTATATTTAAAAAAGATACATATAGTTTAAAAAATACTTACACTTGACAATCATATTTATTATTTTTTTGGTTGGGTTACAATTATTTTTTGTTACAACCATTTATTAAAATTTTAATAGTGTTATCAGAAAGTTAAAATCTATTAAATTGTAGCTCATATTACAGACTTTTCTCTTAAACATTACTTTACTATAAAATGTAAGAAGGGTGAAAATTACTATATTTACCTTTATTAATATAGGGTTCAGAAGCCAAATCAGGAGATGAGTTAGAACAACGTTTAAGAGAAAAAGCTCTTCGCTCGATGAAAAGAAAACATGAAACAAAACAAGATGGAAGTGTTAATAGTAACAGCAGCGATTAATATAAGAGGTTAGTTATCAGGCCAAAAAAACTTGAAATATTTATGGGCTATCAGAAAACTCAACAATGATTAATTAGCTACATTACTATTTATACTTGCATGTTTTTTTTTTATATATAAGTACATTTTGGGTCGTTTTAATAATCTGTAGTTTCTATTCAATACAGAAATCAATTTTTTTTAATAATAAACAAGTAGCACTATATGGGTTAAAAAAATTTTGTGTAAATATTTGTATCCTTAATTTAGTGACACATTAAAAATAATTAAAATGATCTAAGATGAAATCTTTGATTCTCACGACTTGTATGTAAATTGATTGCTATTATAAATATTTTTAATTAATTAATCTTATTAATGGAAAAAACAATAAAAATAATTATCTACAAAAAATTTTTAGCTAATAAACTCTTGCTATGTGTTTTTTATTATAACCTATATTGTTCTTTTTCTATGAATATAATATTCTATTAATATTACTATAGGCAAACTATTATTTTCTTTAAAAGCAATTAAATTGTTGTAATTCTACCAATGAGAATTTGGCAGGTTAATCTTCTATCCAGTCTTCATGCTACCAAAACGATAATGGAGTTGTGCTTGTGTTATAAATATATTACAAAATCTATTTGGTGGTTTTTGATTCACTATCAAATTTGTTATCTTACAATCAAAATTTATTTGAAATCTACTAAACTCTGACTATCAACTTCTATTAAAACTGGATATCATCAATCACAAATTTATTCAATGTTTGTATTTTAACTCATAATGCTTGTATCAATTCAATGTTATTGTGTTCATAAATTATTTATTGTAAGGTGCAAATTTATATTTTAAACAAATATAGAACTATTCATTGCTGGAAGTCTATAACATAAGGTAATTTATTTATTTTATTTATACAACATATTTTGATATTTTTTAATAGTAATTAAAAAAACTAAGGCACAAAAAAGTTTTCCATTTATGTTTAAACATAATTATCTATAACTATAATGTGAAAGCTATTATAACAAATATCTAAATGATATTTATAAAATTTTATTAATTAACTAAAAAATACATTCAAAATCTAATCTTATACTTATCAGTCTAAGAAAAAATACTATCTACTATGATGATGAAATTTTTTTATTACCCTTTTTATAATATTAAAATTAAGATATTTAAGTTATTATTATATAATTGCTTAAAAACATAAAAGAATTATTAAAATTTGTACTACTTAAATAGCACACTTCATTTCATATATATATATATATGTATATTTTTTTTAAATTTATTTATTGGCTTAAAATGCTAGTTATTTAGCCTCTTAAAATTTACATTGTGTTGTGTTATAACAAAAGACAGAAAAAGAAAAGTTTACAGCGTTGAATGATTTCAAAGTATTTATAGTACATAGATTTAATTGTATTGTGTATTTGGAGTAGTTAGTTTGATTTAAATTAATTAATCTTGAGAAAATTAATGATTTGTGTTTCTTGTCCTAGTGTTAGGATGTCTTTGAGTGTACTTGTTCTGATGATTGAAGTATATCTGATATGTTAGTAAGTAGGGCATTAGAGAAAAATATGGATAATTGAAAGTTTGCATTGACATTTATCATAAATAGTTCCGGGTTCATCAAACATAAGTTAAGAAGGATATGTCAATCTAATGTGGAAAATGCATACTTTGATTATTTTTAGTGTCTTGGTATGTGTCTAGTATAATTTAGGATTCCGGTCATTTAGCTGTAGATAGTTTGATTTACCATAATTTGTTGTTGGATGTTTGTTTTTTGCAGAGTGATTTACATTTTGATTTGAGAGTGTGAGTTACATCTTTATATGTTATGTGTTATATCTCAGGGGATTGTGCTGCTGATGATGCTAGTTTGTCAGCGAGTTCATTATCCAGAATAAACATATTTGAAACTTATAATACTATTAATAATATTTTATATATTATATTTTTCAATTCTTAATTTGCTTTAAGATTTATTTATATATCTTAATAATTGATACTTTATTTTGTTACAGATGTATCAGCTATGAATTATTCAAGTAATAATACGTGATTATATGATAATTTATTGAAATCTATATTATAATAATCCGTATGATAAACAAAATTTATGACTTCATTCAAAAGTTTAATATATTTTACAAAATGTATAATAATCACTGTACTATTAAAACAAATTGTTTCATATGAAACAATATCTTTAATGAACAATTTACAATTAGTGTTGAAAAAAACTCTAATTAAAAATGGATATTATTTTAATTTATATTTTTATATGCCTTTTTTAAAAGACATTTTTTCATATTAAATTCTTGTAGCTAATATTAAATTTTGATATTTGTTTATCAAATAAACACATTGTTTAACACTTTCAAAATTTGAAATTATTTCACTTTTGATTTTTTGATAAAACTAATTCACATAAAAAAAATTAAGTTAGTAATCTACACCTTAAGTTTTTTAATAAAGTTACTTAGAACTCACTATAATTATGGTGGCATCTTATATTATATTATTAGTAATTTACTATAAGTTTAAAGTTTTTAGTAAAAATTGTGTTGTGATATATTTTATTAATTTATATTTTGTTATAATTTGTTATATGGTAATAAAGAAATAAATAATTAAGCCATAAAACTAGTGACTTCTTGACAGAAGTAAATTTATAAAATATGTCAAACAAAAATCTAGATGAAAAACCATCACATATGGTTCTTAATTTATCGGGACCACATTTTTGTCCACAAAATCCCAAGTTAGATCTACAGTTAGAATCACAATTTATAATAGTGTATGATGGTATCAAAATTCATTTATATTGTAAAATCTTTAGATAGAAATATACTGTCATATGTCACTAATATTATGATTCCACATTCAAATAATGAGTACTTGTGACTAAAATAATTACATATCAGTAGACTGTCTGAATCGGGAAAAATTAAATTAAAAACATTATTGTGTAATTTTATGTTAGGAGATAAAAAAACTTATTAAGAGAAACACAAGTTGGGAAGTAAAAGGTTAAATTAAGATCTATTAAAAAGTTTATAGTGTCAATGTTAACCTAAATAAATGCAAGCAATACTTGCAACTAGAAAAGATTTCCAATCTATCAGAAATGACAGACAAAATCAATGAAGTAAACCCAACTTATTCCATCTCAGTATTAGTGACTGATAAAAATTGTATTTTCAAGAACAACACAAATTAATTAACACTTGAAGAGCAAATAGCTCAAAAAGGCAATTGAAAAATTTGAAAGACATAGTCAGAATATAGATTGAGTAAACTATAAACACATTTTAGGTTTAGAAACGGACGAAGAAGAACNCAATTGAAAAATTTGAAAGACATAGTCAGAATATAGATTGAGTAAACTATAAACACATTTTAGGTTTAGAAACGGACGAAGAAGAACAAAAAATTCAATTGTGTTTTTATTATGCGAAATTCGAAGAAAAAGCAAAAATTTGCATAAGTACTTAGTGTAGACAAAACGCCAAGTATAAGAAGATGGTAAACTAAATATCATCTTTATATATCAGATTCAGTCAGTAAAACACAATTTCTCATAGTTATTGGAGCAGAAATTTCGACCATACAGAGAAAAACAACTATTAGTTGGTGATTACAGATAGTATGCAGCAAATGGTTCACACATTAAGATCTATGGTACAAAAACATTATAATTAGGTTTCCATAGACTTTTTAATTGGGCTGTATCAACAGCTGAAATAATAAAACCAATAATAGGTGCTGACTTCCTTCAACATTTTAGAATATTGGTAAATACTACTATGCTTTCTAAAGAACGTTTTTCTATAAAAGTCCAGTAATTAGAATCAAAACTATACAATATACCCCGTAAGCACTTACTAAAAAAATAATCAGTTACAGCTCCATTTTCAAAATTAAATAATGCTGACCATGATGTTAGACACCGCATTGAAGTCAATAGTTCATCTGTTACTTGTAAACGTAAATTTCCACAAACTAAGTTGTTGGCAGCAAAAAAAGAATTGGAACTGATAATGGAACAAGGAATTTGCAGGACATCAATTAGTGCTTGGGCCAGTCCATTACAACATATGGTGCATAAAAATAATAGTAATGAGTGGCATTTTTGTGATTATTATAGAACACTAAATCATACCTCACACATTTACTATAAATAGAAATATGTTTTCAAAATTTGATTTAAGAAAAGCCTATCATTAAATACCAATAACTGAAACAGAATTCCAAAAACTGCAGTAATCACACCATTTGGTTTATTTGAATTTGTATATACACCATACAGTTTAAAAAACACTGCACAAACTTTTCAGAAATTTATCCTTGATGTAATATTTGAATTAGATTTTTGCTTTACTTACCTGGATGACATTCTAATTGCTACAGAATCTAAGATACAAACATGAGACACATATAGAATTTGAATACCTAAGTAATCATGGATTAGTATTAAATATAAATAAATGTTTTAGGAGCTGAAGAAATGGATTTTTTTGGTTACTATATCAACTGTAAAGGTACAACTCCTTTAAAAGAAAAAGTGAAAGTCATAGATTACAAAAACCAGGAACAATTAGAGTTCAAAAGATTTTTGGATATCATAAATTTTTATTGACACTACCAAAATCACTCAGAAATATAGGCACCTTTATTTTTATACCAAAAGGGAAATTAATGATAGTAAAAAATTTCTTTGAAATTATACTACATTAATTTGAAAAGCGTAAAGATTCATTAATTCAAGCAACTTTGTTGACATATCTTAAAAGTAATTCTAAACAGGCATTGAGAATGGATGCATCAGATATTGCTGTAGGTGTTTTAGAATAGGAAGAAGAGAGTAAGTGGAAACCAATTTCATTTTATTCTGTTAAATTAAGTGCAACTCAATAGTAATAAAGTACTTACGATAGAGAACTATTATCCGTTTACTTATATGTAAAACATTTTAACCACATACTAATGGGATTTATTTTTACATAGTGGACTGTTCATAATTTATACATTTAAACAAAAATTATAAAAATGTTTACCCAAGCAATATAGATATTTGGATAATTTACAACAGATATTAAACATAGATGATGATAAAAATTTTAAACATTTTTTGTCAACAATTAAAGAAATAGTAAATAAATTGGACTATGACAAAATAGCAAAATCATAACAATGAAATTGAAAACTGCAAAATATAATGAAAGAAAAAATACTAGTTTGAAACTAAGTAAGATAGTTTTTCCTGAATCATATATTGCCCTAATTTATGATACTACAGGAGATATGATGAAACACTATATTCTTACAACATACCGTAAACAGGTACTTGATGTAATCCATGGTTTATCACACCTAGGAATAAAAGTGACTAAAATTGATAAAAGCCAAATACTCAAATTCAACGCAAAAAAATAGAAAATTTCAATTGATAGAGTGAAATAAATTTACATACAAAAAAATTTGGTTTATATTTTAATTTAAATAAAAATTAATTTATATTTCAAGTCCAATAATTTGAAGTAAATGAGTGATCTTAAGTGATAAATCCTTGATTTCTTTAACTTGATTACCATAACAAGTTTTTAATTGTTGCATAAATTCTGGATTTTTGTATAAGTTTAGATTTTCTTCATCTAAACTTCCTAAAAATATAATAATTTTAAATTTAAAAAAGGCAAACTTACTTTTTTTATTGCATTACAATAAAAATTACAAGTAAATTATTATTTTTTACATATTTATGTTGATACTACATAATTAATTTTATATCTTAAATAATTTTTAATTTATCACCTTTTCGTATAATACATTCAATGACATCTAATACTTTTATAATGACAGGTAAACATATTGAAGTTTTTAAAATTTGTATTGTTGATTTCACTAATTCACATTGAATATCTTTATTGAGTGACGCAAAGGATGAAGTATAAAGAATATTTCTAAAAAAATTTTGTTACATAATCATTGTAATTAATATAGATATGAAATGCTTACTTAAATAAACATAGTATAGATACTGTTATCCCAGAGTTTTTTTCCAAATTTGACTTTTGAATTGTATCAACAAACCATTCCATTTCGATTATTATAGAGGTTGTCAAACATTCATCATTAATACCAAAATCTTAAACAGTATTTTACCAATGATTTATGACAGTCAATTTTTTTATTATAAAATAAAAAAACCCAGCACAGGGGGGTCACGGCACAGTGGTGACGTGGCATAGTTGGATCAAGTATAATGATCTCTGACAGTGATTAAAATCACTATAAAAAAAAAACGCTTCGATGCAAATCTTTAGATAGTGTTTAATTTTAAAAAATTGGTGGATTATTCCAAAAGCTACATGATCTGCTAGTTCATTATTAATATCCTAATTAAGATAAAGTATGTCGAATGAAAAAGGGATTATTAAAAAATATTATTTCTCATAAAAAAATAATGTTGATCCATACACTTTTCAATATGTCATAGCATTATAAAGTTAAAAATGTAAAAAATAAAATCGAGAATTTTCACACAATAATAACATTTGGTAGCCATTTTCACCATGATGATAAAATAAAGTCCGAATTTTTTTTTTACCATAATAAAGTATATTACATTAGCATTAATTTAAGATATATATAAGTGTCAGACTTTCCGGAACACTTTCAAAATTTAAGTTGAAAAAGTAAATTTTTTGTGAAAAAGTTGTAATTTTATACCCCTCCTTGTGGGCAGGTAAATGGTCAGATATAAAAAAAAAATATACCAAATGATAGGTAAAGACATGCATCTATAAAAAAAATAATTATATTGATCCATACATCTTTCAAAAAGTTATAGCATTATAAAGTTAAAAATATAAAAAAGAAATGTCAGACTTTCCGGAACAATATCAAAAGTTAAGTTGAAAAAGTTCTATTTTCTATATGCATTTTTTAGATTTGAACCCCCCTCAAATATAGGTAAATGGTCTGATATAAAAAAATAGTATGTGGAATGAAAGATTTATATAAATACTACTTCTCATGAAAAATTTTAAATACCCCCTGTGGGCAGGTAAAGGGTTAGATATGAAAAAAAAATATACCAAATGATAGGTAAAGACATCATGCATCTAAATTTGTACTGATCCATACATTTTTCAAAAAGTTATAGCATAATAAATTTAAATATGGAAAATACAAAATCGAAAATTTTCACACAAAAATAGCATTCGGTAGCCATTTTCACCATGAAGATAAGATAAAGTCTGAAATTTTTTTTTTTCATGATAAAGCATATTACATTAGCTTTAATTTAAGATATATATAAAAGTGTCAGACCTTCCGGAACATTTTCAAAATTTAAGTTGAAAAAGTAAATTTTTTGTGAAAAAGTTGTAATTTTAAATCCCCCCTTGTGGGCAGGTTAAGTGTTAAATTTATAAAAAAAATATACCAAATGAAAGGTAATGATATTGTGCATCTATATAAAAAAGAATTATATTGATATATTCATTTTCAAAAAAGTTATGGGACTTTTAAGTAAAAAAAATTTCGAAAATTAGCGATTTTTAAATTTGTAATTTTTTTGGAGGTTTCCCCCATTTACGGGGAACGAGGGAATTTTTTTCAATTTTTAAGGGTAATGTCTTCGACTAGATACGATTTGTGATCTTTTGACGTATCATTGAAAGAAATCGGTTTGGTGAGAGCTGAGAAAAAGTGGTAACAGAAACAAAAAAAAATAAAAAAATAAACACATCTTAGTAAAATTAATACCTTCTCAGCTTCGCATCGAAGCTAAAAAATTAAAAGCCATAATATTAAAATAATTATTCTATTAACAATTGTTCATCTTATAACTAAGTTTTGCATTAAAAAACTTGGTTGATATATGGAACTATGGGTTTTTGAAAATAACAATTAAAAATAAAAATTTGAATTTAAAATTAAAATTAAAATTCCTATAAAAACAACAATTTTAGAAATGTACATTCAGGAAATGCAATCATTATTCTTTTTATATAAATTAGTTTAACATGGTAACAAAAATAAATGATGTTGGTCTTGCTATTTAATATTAAGATTTACCGAATTTTTGGGAAGGTTATTACCTCCTAAGCTACCTTATAAAAATGATCATATACCCAGAATTGACACATTTATAAGTAATTTACTAAATATAAATGTGTGTCATGATTTTGTAACAATTTATTAATGTAAAATAGTACATTTTACATAAAAATTAAAAATAATTTGAGATACATACTCATCCGAGCTAAATTTCCCAAGGTACGAATGGCTGATAATTGTACGTACAAATTTTTTGATTTCATTTTGATTAATAACCAATCCACTAAATAAATAGCTGCAATTTTTGTTTCTTCTTTTTGGATGCTATCTATAATAATAGTTACTTCAATTACATAAATAATTTAACATAATTTTATTTTTTTAACATAAAATAAATATGTGTACTTATACTTTTTAAGTAAGTTTAAATTTAAATTTTGAAATCTTTTGTTAAAAAAAATCTTAAAATGAATATTAAGCCTAATACAATTAAACCATGAGTCAATTATTTTATTCCCAATCAATAGACAATGAGAATATGATTTTAGAAAATAGAAAAGTGCATTATATAGCATAATGTTGAAATTTTACATACATATCTAATCAAAAATGTCCACTTAAAGTATTTAAAAAAAAAACGAAATTATTCTAGTAAATATTTCCATTCTAACTAACATTTGATCCTTTGTAATTTAAAGAAAACATTTTCATTTTATTTTTTTTAATAACTAAAAAGTTAGTATAATTTATAATAAAAGCTAAAAAAAATAAAAGGAGTAATTAACAAAACCAATTGAATCGGTTATTTGAAAAATTCTATAAATGACTGTATTGGCTTCAATAATTTTATTATTATTTTTGATTCCTAGAAGGTCTTACCACATTCTATAAAGAAACCATTCATTTTCTCATCCTTTTACTCATTCAATTTTTGTTGGCTATTAACAAGAGAAAGTCCAAAACTTACTATATTTCTCAAATTAATAAAAGACTGAACAATAATTGTTGGAAAGCCCTACAAATTTCAATGTTGATAAATATGATAATACAAAATTCTATTGTGATACGTTATAACTTTCATGTAAAATTTATTTATTATTGTCCACTTTGTGTATTTTCTTAGGTCTTATGCATATAGTGGACACATAAGAAAATAAAGCAAAGTGAACTTTTAATATTTTCCATGACATTCAATCTAAGACAATATCATTATAATTACTATAATTATTGTAAATTAATAAAATTTAAATTTTGTTGATATTTTTAGACTGTACACAACTAAAAAAATGTAGTAAACATATTTGTTTCTATGTTCCTTATTTAGACAAACATACCATGGTTGGAAAGTAGAACAATTACATCACAAATTTTGTGAACTATTTGTTTCACATCTTCTTCATTTTTTTTTTCAAACTTATCTAGTACTTCAGTTAGTAACTTGTGTTTACCATTTAATATCCATTGGTAAGATTCTAAATAAAATAATAAAAACCAATATAATTTACAAATTTTGATTTTACAATATGAAATATACAGAAGGAAAAAGATGTAATTATTATATGATTCATTAGCAACAGTACCAAGTAAAGAAATCCATTTAATGAAAATTTTTTCATTTTTCTAACATTTATGTATCTATATTTGTTTTATCATTAAAAGGATAGGAATTAATAATTTTTTTTGCTCTTCTGAAAAATTTACAGAAATGGACAATTACTGTTTCCCCCAATATTCTTTATCTAATATCAAATCCCAGTAACTATACAACAAGACATAACACAATCACAATAACTGAGTTAGGTAGATCACTAAAAGTAATTATTAATGTAATATGCAATAGCAAAATATTAACAAAGTCTTATAAAAAAAAAAAAAACATGGGAATGACGAGTTAATAGTTATATATTCTGTAAATAATATTTTAGTCCACTAGCGTAGTGTCTACAAATGGTTCCACTAGTCTTATATTCAAAAAGTATAATACATTTTAAAAGCAAAGTTAATTTTTTGCTTTTTACTTTAGATAACCAAAAAGTATGCAGTTAGATCCACCAATTTGAAACAAAATTTAAACAACATCATTAATAATGTATGCTTACACTCCTTAAGCCAAATGTAGATTTTTAAAATTGATTGGAAAAGTTGAGAAATTTAAAATTTATGCAACAAAAGATGATCACTATATAACCATTTAAATAAGATTGAAAAGTAAACTATATTTACCCCCCTATACCTTATTAAAAAAATAAATACTAGTATGCATTTTGATTGTGCATTTAATTATTTTGAAATTAAAATATAAACTTACCAATTTTTTTAGAAACTTGTTTGATGAATTTAACACAAATATAAGCAATATCACTATAATTGCTATGATTTTTCAAAAGCCAATCAACAATTGAACAGTTTTCATAATTTAATATATCAATACTTATAGATGCTGTTTTAATAACATTAATTATTACTGATATTAATATAATATAAAATTTACTATGAAACTTGAATTTTGTATGTTGAATTCCAAAAGTGTTTAATTGTTCAATTACATCAACTGGAAACTAAACTCGGACATAAAATAATCAACATAAGTATAAAAAATAAAAATATTTTTTCACTTTAAATACATCAAAAATAAAAATATGAATTTGTTTTATTAAAATATAAATATACATGGTGATTCATAAGTTTTAATTTTCATAGAACTAATAATGGTATCCTTAAAATAATACTCAAAGTGTTTAGTTCTATAAGATTTTTAAAAATCATGCTAAATATTATTATTAGACTTGTACGAAAAACGAAAGATACACCCCACTTTCTGTTGTAAGATCACCATATTGTAATAATCTGATATTTGTATTTTAATCATAATAATCAATTTCTAAATACACTTATTGGTTACAAAATTAAATTTGATAAACTTATTGAGATAGTATTATATGATTGATTAATCTAAGTTAAACAGTTACTGCGTAGTTATAATTTTTATTTGAAAAAAAATTTTTGAATCATCTTGTATATCAATTTTTTAACTATACCATTACGATTTTTTAAAAATATTTATTTAGCTAAAATTAAATAATTCATTTTTTTAAATACAAGTTAAAGTAAAAAAACTTTGATTACCTCATACTTATATTCATTTAAATGTGTTAAATTCATGAGTAATCCATTTAAGAAAAGTTGAGTATTTTCTTTCAAATTCCTTTTCATAAGTTTAATTGATATGGATAGACAACTACATTTTAATGCTAACTCAGTATTTGATTCTAAATTAATATTTTATAATTATTTTGGTGTTAAATATGTTTTGTTTAATACACATTTATTTTAATATAACTAAAAAAACATATCATAGTAAAATTAATACCTTCTCAACTTTGCATCAAAGTTAATAGTAAATTAAATTTATTTTTATAGGTAGAGTTCATGAACAGCTGTTAAAAAAAGTAAAATTCAAGCTAGATCGATTTCATTGAGATAAACTAAAAATATTTTTTAAAAATAAGAGAAAATTTTTTGTAGTATTCATTAATTATTGGTACCTAAATTATCTAAAACCGAATGTTTAAATCTTTTGATTTATTCTAACTAGAACTCCTAAGTATTTTTGCAAAATCCATTTTTTCCCAACTAGTATATTGTAATATATTAAAATTTTACATTTTCTACCAGTTATATAACTGCAATGAAATTTAATTTATACTAAGAATACAATTAAATATTTGTTACATACACATATATTATCGTAAACTACTCAATTAAAAAGTAAATTGAGTGATTTCTGACAACAGAATCACTCTGTTTATTTTAAGTTTACATCAATATTTCATAATATATTTTTACCATGATAATAACAGAAATTTGCTAAACAACGGCATGTTTGAGCTAAACAATCTTCCACCTTTAGTATATTAGAAAAATGTTGATCAGCAAATATTTTGTATGAATCAATAGTAACTTCAATAAGTTTTTCTCCTAAATATTGTCTAGCAAGATCATATGAACACAATGAAGCTAAAACTTTAAATGCAGCAGCCACAACTTCATGTTGATTTTCATTAGGTGATAAAGGCAAACACTTTATTAGCTCATTGTAATCCTTTATTGTCAAAGCTACAAAAAAAATATGATAAATACATTGGTTAAGAGTTGGCAAAAGTTGAGCTGTATACAGCTTATATATGAAAGATAAACAACCTATTAATAACTGATAAATAATTTATTTATTAACATGGTTTTTTCATTTAATAATAATAATAATATATATATATATACAATATAAAGTTTAATAAATATAGTTATTAAAAAAGTTTATTTAATTCATTTAGATATTTTAATAAATTTATTTCCAATAATTAACTTTATTTTCCTGGTCATTCAAATATTTTTTAAAACTTCCATTCAGACTTAAAAATTAATTGCTAATATCTGACTTAGGTGATAATAAGTTATTTTTAGTTTTAAATTAGAGAAAAGATTACACCAAAGTGTTTACTTAAACGAACATTTTTATAATTAAATTTAAATTTTATCAATTCTTTTTTTTCAATATTACCTTTTGTATCAATTGAATATCCCTATTATACCAAGATTAATATTGTGTAAATCTTATGAATATGGGATGGAGTTATATACATTTAGTTTACACCATTTTAAAAGGACCCAAGTTAAAGCAACTTTGTTGAAATTACATAAAGTAGAAATATTTTTTGTTTTATAAATAAATAACTTTTTTTAATCCTTCTCCGAGCTATACTTCTAGTTATAATATATTATTTAATTTTCAAGTTAAATAAGGGCTGAAGATGTGTTTAAAGTAACTCTAAGAAAATTCATAAATCAATACAAATCCATTCCTTGCTAATAATATAATAACCGTAGCATCATATTTCCAGTTATACAATTTGTTATTTACAAGACTTAAAATGTTTTTACCTCCTAATGCTCTATAATTTGTAGTTAAAATAACCTACTAAATTACTTTAAAAAATTTTCTTGGGTAATCTAGTAAACCTTTATGGAGTATCATAAATTTAAAAAAAATAGGTAGGATTTACTATTTATTTTAGTCATTATTGATTTAACTAGCATAAAAACAATCTACCATATGTTTATGTATCTTTTTCTATTTTTTTGATCCATGATTTTAAATAGTATAATTTAATTTAGGCATAATAAATATAAAGACCCTAAGGCAGACAAGAAAACCTTCCATAAAAATATTTACATAAATTTATTCATATTACATAATGAACTTAAAAGTTAATTATTTGAGTTGAGTCATCCCCACTATCTCCTTCTTAATAAAAAACTTGGGTTTATATCAGATAAGCACCAAAATATTTATAAAGCTTTTAAAAAAATACTATAAAAAAAAAGGAAAGTTTTGAGTGGAGATACTAGTCATGGAGATTACTAATTTAGTAATCTCCATGACTAGTAAAGTACACCACATTTATCTTTAAAGTTTTGATCTGGTTGTAGCAACTAGATCAAAAACTAGGTGACATAAAACATATTCAGCATCACTATTAAAATTTTTAATAAAATTACTCTTAAAACAACAAACTTTTTGGATCCAGTTTTGCTATATTTTCTAAACAATCACAAATTTCATTCTGACTTATGTTAAAGACTTCATTGCTGAGGCGATAATCATAATATATTTTGAGCATTGTAATATTTTCCATCATGACAAAAATCGCATAGTGGTTATATTAATATGAAAAAAAATCTGTATTATTCATAATTTATGATAAGTTAGAAATTGTTTCTATTCATCCAATTGTACGGTACTTGATTTAAATATCGGTATGAATATAACTAAATGTCGATATGTAAAAAATATCGATATTTAATATTGTAATATCGATAAGATCATACAGTATATCCATATTATCGAGGATAAATGCGTTAGCATCACTATTTAAATTTTTTTGTTTAATCAAATAGATAATCGACATTATTCAAATGACTCTATTAAATCGCCTTAAATGTAGTTTTCTATTCAAAAAATAAGGTTCTATTCATTAATGATAATGCAAGATTCAAAGCTAATTATCTCCATACTTCAGAGACACAAACAAATTTTTAAATTACAATGTTTCAAAGGACTTATAACTTTTTTATAATTAATAGCAAAAATAATAGCATTTCATGAAAATACAGAAAAACAATTTTTTGGTCCAACTTAACTATTTTATTATTGTGATGCACAAATTTTCAAAAATGCTAACATTTTGAACATAAAATACTTATAGTCGCGTAAACTAATTGTCGAATAAGTAAAGTATTTTATTAGCTTTTCATTTTTCATCAAAATCGATGTTTGAAAATTTGTTGATAAAATAAATTACTGTTACACATTTAATAGTAAATACATCATTTTAACGCTTGCAATCATGCAGTACGTAATAACACATTACATCAACTAAGGACAGGAAATTTATCAGCTCGAGGTTTAGCTCTTTTAGTTATACTTATTGTTACCAATCAACGCTTTGATTTAATTAAAACACGTGTGCCAGAAAATATATTAGGCTCTGGCTCATGTTTGAAATAATTATTTATTATAAATAAATATAATATAGAAATAATATAGAATTGTTGAAAACTGGTAAATGCTCAACATTGTTATCCATAAGTTTAATTTACAATTATTTATTTTATTTTTTAAGTTGATGTGATCTAGGCTACTTTGTAATTTTAATTATTTCAATAGAATTATGATTTGTACAAGTATATCTTGATAAAATTTAGAAATAAAATAAAATACAAGTTTGTTCATCTTTCGTGTGTTTAATTATTTCTCTATTAAAGATATTTCTGAAACGATCTTAATTTTTTATAAACTCATAATTTAAAATGGCTTGACTTACAACATTATGGATTAAACCTATAATTACGTAAATTAGACTTTTCAAACATTTATTAGTATAATAATCTATATTTTGTATTAAGTACGTTTGAGGGTTGGGTCGATTTGGCATTGACAAAACATCGACTACTGTAAGTAGTTGCTGAACATTATTTGTGTTTAATACTATGGATCGATCGAATATTCGGAAACTATTAGTTTTAATATACTAAATAATTAAAAATAATAATACAATTTAAATTAAAATAGAGATAATTTATTTCTTAAAAAGCCTATAGCTTCTACATGGTGATCCTTTTAACACTAACCACTCGATTTCTCTTAAAATTATTTTAAGAGAAATATATAAATATACCAAAATTAATATTGGGATTTTTATATATATTTTGATTTATCAGTTATTAATTGCTTTTTTAATTCATTCTTCACTCCTTATAAAAGTAACAACATTATTGTTTTAATGGTAATACATATTTAACTAGTTTACAATACAAAAAATAATCTAATAAGAAAATGATTAGACAACAACAATTTACAGACCAGTACTTTACTGATGGTAATGTGCTGGTGTGGACGATTTTTGTCATAAGATTTATCTCGGCTGTACCCTCCCCTTCTGTCTAGGTGTAAAAATGTCTATAACTTTCGAAGTACTAGTCTTAGTAAAATATGTCCAGTCATTTTCTTAATTAGATCATTTTACATTTTATAAACTAGTTAAAAATATATGTTAATATAAATTTATAAGATATAAAGATATTTATAAAGGTTGAATTAAAAAACTAATTAATAACTGATAAATCATGAAACTATATTATTATTTTAATAGAATTAGAGTGGCTCGCGTTAAAATAATTACTCTGTGTACATAAATGTAACCACAAGACCGTGCTAAGGAGGTATTTTAACATTTTTATGAATTCTTGAGCTACATATTAATGTAGAGTATTTTGAATCAATCACTATTATCCTTTAAAAAAATGAAAAAATTTTTAATAACTTTCAAGAAAATGAATACCTTATATTTAATGAATCACCATTTATACTGTTGAGATTATGGAGTTATAATTAGCGACTATGATATAGAGTTTAATGTATTTAAAACATTTCATAGAAATTATATTAAATTTCTATTCACGGTAAATAGGAGCGCCAATGACAGTTATGCACAGATATTTTTTTTCGTATTGAAATGATTATCTATACGGGATATTTATTAAAATTTATTTGATATTTAATAAATATTATAATTTATGTATAATTTAAATATAGTTTATTTATCAATGTCGAATAACATCATCTTAAAAAAATTTTCAGTTTTAGAAGTGACCTGAATTAATTATATAGTATATAAGAATAAACCTTATCTAATCTGTGGTTTGAAGTTGTTTTGCGATAAAAAAAAATGTACTGTCATAGATAAAATAATTTTCCAGTTCAAACGCACCCCCGCTTTTATCACAGAAATGTATGTGACAAATTACGTGTAGTAATAATAAAACAATTATTTTTTATAATCATTCATTCTCTATTTAATATCTGTTTTCTATTCTATTCTTCGACTATTTACCTAGTATTTGTATTAATTCTGTGATTCTACTATCTATATTTTCATAAAAATTATATTTGTTTTTACATTAGTGTTCTTATACTCTTTTTAATAGTAAAAATTTAAATTTTTCAAAATTTAAATATTTTATCAATGTATAGATGGTATATTAAATATACTTGAATTAAATTGTGTATTTTGTTATATTTCATAATTGTGATATGACTAGAATTATAAATGTGGATCAATTTTTTCTATGCTAAATTGACATAGTATAATAGTAAAATGTTTAGAATAGAATCTTATATTACTTCAATAATTTTAAGTTATATTGAAAAATATGTTAAAAATCTTAGACGTCAAGATGCTCAGGTTTAATGATGCAAATAAAAAACTACATATATTAAAAAATTACATATGGTTATATGTTATTTAGGTATCCTTGTGGGATGGTGAAGGTATATTCCAAAACTTGGAACTTGATTTAGAGGTTTTAGAACATGAATTAAATTTACCAGTTGTTTTATTAAGTGGTCATATTAACCAATTAGTAATCCGAGTACCTTGGACTAAATTAGGATCAGAAGCTGTTAAAGTTACAATTGATACAATTGGTATAAATGTTATGAATATTTTTTTGTATAAATTTATTTCACTTTGTTAAATAATTAATTTTCTAGAATGTGTGTTAAAAATAAAAACTTCATACCAAAATAAAGTTAAAACTCCGGATAAAAGGTTTGTTAAGTAGTAAATTTTGTTATTCTTTTCTTTGTTAATATTATTAAATAATGTTTATTATAAGTAGTTCCCAACAAATTATGACATTTTCAGAATTAAAGGATTTACTAATTTAGTTTTCAATGGGGTTACAGAGGAATATTATATAAAAGACTATCTAATTTTAAGAAATTTTGAAAAGCAGTATATCCTATCATAAAATTACATTATTAAAAGTGGAAAAACAAAAAAATATTAGAGGTTATTTGAAAAATAATATCGCATATCTATTAAACATTATTTCAATGATTTTACATTTGTATACTTAGTACTGTAATTATGATTTGCTAATAGGAAAAAAATATATGACTGACAGTTAACTTGAATTATATTTTTGATCATAACTATGGTTAGGGACTGTAGGAGTTCTTTTATTTCTAATTTTTCAATTTTTCCCCTAAATATTTGATATTGGTTACTATTATACTGACCTCCATTTTACTTAGTCTACTGACACACCTTTCATACTAAAAATCTTTTTTAAAACCTTAAACCAAATTTTTTTAGCTTCTACCTTTCTTTTTTACCACAGCTTGTCTTTTTACTAATTCAGCCAATAAATTTCATAGTCTTTTTAAACAATTAGCCTCAGCTATACTATTGTTAGGTTATATTATATTTTATTTACTTTTTAAACCCAACTAATTTAAATTTATGTATATAACATAAACACTCATTAAAATAATATATTATTTCCTAACAAAAGATGATGTGTGCCTATCTAACATAACTCATCATTTGGGAATGAATTGTTCTAATTTTTTCAACAAATACCATCACAGTTTTTATCAAGTATTATATTATTGAATTTTAAGTCAAATAAAGAAATTGATGAGAAAACCTGAAGAATAATACAATGTTTAAAAAATGTATAGTCGTAACTAAAAAATGATTTAGTCTCCATTTTACCTTGAGTGTTTAATTTTTATTTCTACTGAAAAATAATAGTTAATTAAAATAAAAATAAATAAACTTGATTATTTTATGGATTATAGAAATACAATGTTTATATAATTGTATACATTTTGATTATAGAGTAAATAAAGCAGACTATGATAAAATGCCTCCTCCTTCATATGTTCAGAGTTTAATGAATAAAATATTAGGAAATCTGTCTATAACTTGTAACAATATTATTTTAAAATATATTGAAGATGATATTGTTCTTTCTATGAATATTAAATCAATAACTTTTGATTCCTGTAATGAAAACTGGATTCGTGATATAATAGGTAATATAAGTAATTTGAATTTTAGTCCAAATAGTTTGTAAAACAGGTGTTTAAACAAAAATTTTACAACATTAAATATCGTAAGGATTTATATAATGAATTACTATTTTTTAAATCATCAATTTAATAAGTTTTATAAATTAACATGCACTTAATTTACATGAAGTTCATTGAAATGTACTTTTAAATATGATTTCTTTATGGAGGGCTATAAATTAGCGTAAAATATAGTACATGAGTATTGGGTCACTTTACTAGATAGAAAACTTTTAGAGTTACAAAGAAAAACAGTTGAAAATACATAGAATATTTACTATCTTTTGTTTCATTTTAATAAATTTTTTTTCGTACATACGTGTTTTTTTTTAATTTTGTATTAAATTTGCTATTTTTAAAGTACCTTAAACTTAGGATACATTTTTCTTAATGAATAAAATAGTACTTTGAGATAAGTTTTAATTATTTTGTTTTTGGGCTACACTAATTAGATATTTATATTTTAAGTACAATTTTTGTATTAAAACTAGTTTTTCCTATTAATTTACTTGATTTTTTGGAAAACTGATTTTTAAGGCAAAAAATATTCACGGCTTTTAGCATGATAAAAAATATGAAGTAACTGTGTTATTTTATAGATTCACTGCTAGAATAATTTACTATTAAATATTTTACAGAATTGACCCCAACTCAATTAGTTCTTAGAAAAATAATTGATTTTTCTGATGTTACGATTTGCTTGGACAGAAGAAATGCTTCAGGGTGTATTGAAACATATCTAGAGCCTATATTATATAAGTGTTCTATATCAATCAGATTATATCGTTTATATCAATCATCTCATTCTGTACAGCCTTATTTAACACAAATAAGTATATTTTGCTCAAAAGTAGCACTTACTCTCACTGAACCACAGTTACCAATGTTTTTGAGATTATTGAACATTATACTTGAATTAAATGAAAATAGGTCATCAGAATCAAATAATTATGCTGATGAAGATTTATCCAAAAGAAGCTCAAGTAGTTGTAGCTCAAGTAAATACTAAACAAGTTTTTAATATTTTTTTTTTGTTCTCTTTAAATGTCAAATTCTCTTAAGATAATAATTTGCGAATTTGTTTAATGGTTTTTGTTAGTTACATATGTATTTTCATTTATCTGTCATAAAATAATTTTTAGATACACTCCTTATATTTTATAGAGGTGTCATCTTTATTTTTTTAAATGGTAATGAATATATTTAACTAGCTTATAAAATAGAAAATAATATAATTAAGAAAATTACTGGTTAATAACAAAATTTGAACTAGTAATTCGGAAGTTATTTTCATTTTTATACCTAAGAGGATAGAAGAGTATGGTTGGGAAATGATTAGTGATAAAATTAACAGCACCCACTCCTCTCCACCAATCATTACTTTAAATTGTTAATAACTTCTGAAATAGTGGTTCAAAATTTGTTATCGATCAGTCATTTTTATAATTGTGTTAGTATTTTGAAAAAATTAAACAAATATCACCTAGCAGATAAGAAGTAATGTTATATTTTTGTACATCATTAAGGGATACTATTCAGATTGTGAAATGAAGATGCTATATTTTTAAGATTGTCAATTTTCTTGTAAAAAAATCATGAAAGCAATTGTTAAAAATTTACTTTAGAAATTAATTAAATGATTTAATTTAATTTACATTCTAATTAGAATAACTTCCAAAGTCCTGGTCCAAAAGTTGTTATAAACCGATTGTTGTTATGATAAACTGATCACCTTGTATAAAGGATAGAACTGCTGCAAATAACTCTTAATATTTGTTTAAAATTTCACTATAATTTTTTTATAACAATTTTTGCATTCTTAGACTACATTAAAAGGATATTATTTATTATTTATTTGTTATAATAAAGGTAGTTTAAAAATTAATTTTTTTTACCTTTCTTTATAATTATTTTTTAAAGATTTTGAAGGGTCAATAAAAACTTTGGGATAAGTGATTATTAAATTGCAGGTATTTTAATACATATAGTGGGTATGTAGAACAATGGAATAGGTTATAAATACATACCAGTACTAGCTGTACTAATTTACACAAACTACATATTCACTTTATGCAATTAAATTATTTTTATGTCAATAAGTACTTATCCTAAAGTTGTTATCGACTCAACAAAATTTTTTATATTAAAAGTTATTAGAGTTGTTAGTTAGATGTGTTTAAACTGATATATGTAATTTAACAATTAAGTTATTATATTTTTTAAATATTTTTAGTATTCATTAAATTTAATAATAAGTATAAAATAAGTTTCAGAATCATTTTCAAATGATAATGATGGTTGGCTAGATTGGATGTGGAGTTGGGTACCCAATGTTAATTTGATCAGTGGAAATATTAGTGATATTCCTTTGACATCTAATTTACCTATAAATGGTCATACATTAAATACAGGACTATTTATAGAAACATTGTTATTTATTTTTAAAGTAAGTTTAAATACAAAACATACAGAATATTTTAGCTTTCATGTGAATCTGATAATATATTGGTATTACCATAACATATATTTTTTAAATTAACATATATTATTGATCCATCAAATTTTTGAAATATACTATAATATTAAAAAAAAATTTTATCTCGCAATTATTTTACTTTGAGAAATCGGCCATCAAAGAAAAAAATTCACAATTTTTATTAAAAATTTACTTTCTTTTCAATTAAGCAAATAATTTAACAGGTATTTAATATTTTATTGAAAAAATTTTAAAACAAAGAAATTGTGAAATTACAAATACACAAGTTTTATCCTTGCTATGTTATGACCCCACTGTGCTGGTTTTTTTTTTTTTAATATAATTTTAGTTTTCTAAAGTCTTCCATAAAAAATACCTAGTTTAGATGAACACTGGTCTCCATTTCAGTGTGTATAATTATAAAATAATTATGTACCATTGTTTTTATACATTTTAAATTGATAAATTTAATTATCTTAAGTTTGCTAAGATATACACAATATTCTAATCTAATTTTATATAATTAGGAGGTCTAATATTTAAACTAGGGCAATTAAAATTTCAAAGCTTTCTTTTTACCTCATTCATTCATTGACTAGCTTCTATAAATTTTAGATTATTAAGATAATCCAGAAATTATAATAAAGAAAGAGTAACAATATGATCCAAATATACCAACAAGATACTATTCCTTACTTGCTCTAAACACTTAATAATTTATATAGTTTGTTATACCATTTCTAATTCTTTTAATATTATTAAAAAGTTATTTCAAGATGGAATAGGTTATTAAAATGAATAATCTTTTAAAAAACTTTATTATTATATTAGTTAAATTAATAAATTGTATCTATGTACATATATAAATATTTTTTTAGATAAAATCATCTAATAAAAAAAATGACTTCCGTCCAATAATACAGTTTACCATGAATGGTATTTCTTTAGAAGGTATATCTCACCTATCAGATTGGATAAATATTCAGATGGGCATTAGTAAATGTAATGTGGAATCTCTAGGAGTTTGTACATGTGGAGCTCAAGACTGTTATACGGTTTGTTTATTATTTATGATATGTACTTATATAATATTTAGTACATTTTACATATATTTCCAAGTAAAAATGATATGTGTATCTATTAGAGTGAAATAGGGAAAACAATATATTTTTAGATAAATGCACAAGTTTTTATTTCAAATGTATGAATACATTTAATATGATAGCAACACATATAATCTTTTCAATTTACTAAATAGTTAACATCTGCTGAAAATTAATTAACATCTACATTTGTTTACATTTCCCCGCTTCACCTGTGTTATTAACAATTAATTTTACTTAAACAAATCATAAATATATTATTTTATTTAAATTTGAAGTATTAGTTATATTTTAAAATTATACAATGCCATTTATGTTACTTTAAATAATTTTAAATAAATAATTCATTCTGTTATTTGTCTTGATAGCTCCAGATCAGACTGAATTTTAATCCATCTAGCAATCTGACACGTATCATACCTGCCAGATTTAAATGTGTGTGTGAATATTAAGCTAATAATTATTTAATTATAATATATCCAAAAACATTCTTTAATTAAATAATTACTTTGACAAAAATATAAACTTGTCCAATCTTCAATTCACTCATTCAATTATGTATATTGTTTCAAAGTAAACCTTTGTCTTATATTTCAGAATACATATTTATTATCAGGTTTAATCCAGAAATCATATTTATCAAATTCATTGTTCTCTGAAAATATTACAAATAACTTTATACATGATTCAAGCATATTTTCATTTGATCATCATTTAAGTAATTACAGTGGTGAGTACTTTTAAATTACTTTAATGTTACTAATAACATTTTGCAATAATACTACTTATTGTTATTATATTACACGCATTTTGTTGTAAATTTCACTTAACTTCAAGTCCTGCACTTTTCTGTTCCTCACTAATAAGAAACAATTTTTAGTAAAATTATAGAAACAGATTCATTACCTTATTTTTATCATTAGTTTTACCAATAAATTTTTACTTAAAAGAATGAAACAAAATTGGAGAAGGAATATCTGTACCTTCTTATTTATACCTTATTTTGATCAAATTGACTTAAACATTTATTTATTTAATAGTAAAAATAGTTTTTTTTAGGTTACAATCAAGTTGACAAGTTAATTTTTTTAAAAAATGTCTAATAATTACTTCTATGATTTTTTTATAAGAAAATTGACATTTTTAAAAATATAGCATCTCAATTTAAAATCTGAATTGTATCCCTTATGCCTTTTAAGAGTGTCTACTTTATTTTTTTTTAATGGAAACACATATTTTGAATTTAATAAAATGTTTGAGTTTTTAATTTAATAGTAAATGGCATTTGAATTTTTAATATAACTTTATTTGTTAATTAAATATAAAAATATAATATAATGATATAAATTAATGCCATTTAATATNTCATCTCTCACTCTGTATATATGTATATATATATACATATTTTTTTTTATTAAACTATTTAATTAAATTTTCAGAAGCAATACTTTTAGAAAAATCTCCAGCTCTTTCAATTGATTATGTGTCTACTCAAATTTATCATTCACAACAAAATATTGTTGATGATAATGATGATGTTATGAATAATTTTTTGTAAGTTTTAAATATTTTCGTATTTATAGTACTGTGGAATATAATATCATTAACAATGTTGTTCTATAAATAATATTATTTTTTTAATTATAGTTAAAACATTTAGATTAATCTTATTCAAGTTGTTTGTTGATTTTTTACTTAAGTTAATGGAAAAAAGTTAACTGAGTAAACACAACAGCAGTGAGATTTGAGTGTGACTTTGAGTCCTTATTTAATAAATTTATCTTATCATTTACAATTGTATGTAAATATTATAATTATATTGTTGTTATAATAAATAGTTTTTGTATAATTTTTTATTTGACTTTTTTTAAAAATATATTGTAAAATTGTATTTTCTTTTTTTTATATCATCTCAATTTTTTTATTAACTAAATTAATTTAAACTGGTTTGATATATATTGAATAAACAAAAATAAAAGGGTTTTTATAGATACTTTTTTCACTAATTGTCTCAAATTTGCATATTTTTGTAAGTTTTTGTGTGGTCAAGTTATATTTTATGACAAGTCCTTGACTATGAACCAACATCAGGAGGAGTCATTTATTCCTCAAAACTTATGAGACTTAATATTACTATTAGTTAACATCATACAACTTTTAAATATTGTAATCTTATCAAAAAATTCAAATTAAAATTAAATAAAACAATATTATTTTATTTGTAGATATGAAGAGAAATGTTTACTTAGATTTGTGGCTGGACCAAGTATTATGAATATTTCTTCAGGACTTATTCATAGAATTGAGTTTATTAATAACCTAATACTTAGCTATGATTCAGTTTTGTTTACAACTCAACCTCAATCTTTACCAAAAAGTACATAATTTTTTACTATATATATATATATATTTGATTATAAATATATTAAAATAATCTTTGATTTTAATGTTGTATAGATTTATATGAAAAACAAAATAACTTACTAAAATCTAATGTTGAACTTATGGTATATCAAATAACAATATTTAATCCAGTCTTAAAAATTTATCCTGCATGCCACATTCCATTATACTCCCAAAAATATAGAGTAAGCTTAATGACTATTTTCAAACATTTATTATTATTATTTATTATTTTTTTTTTTTTTAGAAAAATCAAAAAACATGTACAATGCAGCTTGATCCACTTTTTGAAAATCCACCAGTTGCCATAATTGAGTTAAAAGTTATTGATTGTCGTATTGTTACACCTAAAAATAGATTAACTTGGTCAAACTTACCGTCTTCTGTTGTTAATGATTTATCAGAAAATATAAAATTAGAGTTAAAAAATCGAACCATCATTCGGGTATTTATATATTATGAATTAAAACAACTAAAAGAGGTTTGAACATTCAAACTTACTTCAAACACATTTGAATTTTATACTATATTTGTTAAAAAATGTTTAGATTACTTACTTAAATATTATTATCTATTTATAATTAATCAGTTGCATTTATACATTTTCTTTGGAAAGGGTGATTATTTTTTACAAAAGATACACTGTGAAATTTACCAGGAGTACATTGCATCTTGGCATCAATATTTTTTAGTTTTTAGATGCCTCAATATAGAGGTAATGAATAAAGAAAAGATCTTTTGTTTTTCAAATTGAGAGATACATTATAAAATTAGCAATTTAGTCTCTAAAATATAGATCTGATCTATGGATAACTTTATAGCAAGTTTATAATTTTGTATTGACAATTTACTTAATTATGATAGTTAAAGTAATTGTAATGATCCATAAAGAGAGGCTCTTTATAAAAACAACTCAATTGTTTTTATAGTTCACATAGATTTCACTGAGACTACATGTATACCACAAATAACACCCTTGTCAATTAATAGGTATAAAATAATATTGAAAAAATATAGTCATGTTGCACCATCAAAATGTCAAAATAATGATATCTATTATTTGTTATAATAATTAGAACCTACCTTCAGTTGCCAATGATTTTGAAATTGAGATGTGTATTTATGATAATAGAGTTGCATTGATATTTATAAATAAAATGTACATGTTTAATTTTCTTAAAGTTCAAAGGAAAATTAGTGGTGTAACTTAGCAAAAAAAATAAAGTGATACTTTAGGACTCTTAAAATTTTTTTTATAAAATTTAGAAATTTGCATTAAAAAATAGTCATTAAAACTTATAGAGGTAGTTTTTTAATTGATTAATTAGAGACACTGACTTTGAGGTTTTTAAAATTAAATATGCCAATGAGGAGTTGCTTCTTAGTTGCTTTACCTAACTAACTTTATCTAATTTTAAGTAAAAAACTAAAATAAACTACTAATGGAAAAATATCCTTAATATATAAATTTTATTTTATTGTATATTTATATTTTGATTTTTTTTAGATTAAAGAATTATTGTTGAAAATAGAACTTTTTAAATCAATTTATAGATTGGTAAAAATAAATAATATAATGTATAATATAACTTTTGATTGTTATGAACCTTATAGCTCTGATAACATTTTAGATACAGGTTATTTATCTTTATTTTTAATTTATCATATTTATATGACATTACACTTTAACTTTTTAGATATGGTAACTATTTCTACATCCAAAGAAAATTGTTTAATTATATATTACATTATAAGTTCTTTAATAATGTCAAACCATAGGCGTCTTCTACATGCTATAAATTACATTTTCACATCAACCTTAATGGTGGATGCACCAGGTAACTGAATTTCAATTTTTTTTAATAAATAATTTCTTTAAAAGATCATGTGCATGTTCAATATTTCAAAAATATTTGTTATATATGGAGGTACACTATGGAAATTACTATTCAGTTGCTTATCTTATACTGACACTATTATCTCTTTGAAAAATTATTTCAATAAGAATATTTTTTTGTAAATTAAAAAAAAATATAATTTATACATTATATATATATATACTTGTCTACAAACTATTAACTATAAATATAAAATATTAAAATAATAAGATATAATTAAAAATTATAAAAGTAATATATTATAATATTTTTAAATATAAAAAATATTCTTAAGGGGGGTAAAATGTAACATAGACTCTTTAAAAATTTAACTCTAGCTAGATGCATAAATTTTACAAAACATTTTGACTAATCTTAAAATGGATGATATCATTTGAAGGTGTGAGTAAAAAATAAAAGTTAAAAATATTGTTAAAATATGTAAAATAAATATTTTAATAAATAATATTAGAAAATAGTAGATATTTAACAGTTTTTATATAAATAATATAACAGATATATAATACAATTATAAAATTACAATATGTAATAACTGTTTTAATAGTTATAATAATAACAAATACTAATTATTAATCTCACTTATTACTTAATAAATGTATACATACTTATATGTATATTTTTAAATAATACGTATTATACAAACTTAAAAGAATCTTACCAGATTTTGATAACTATACATTCTAATTATATGTATTATAATCAATTTACCATAAAAGAATTTTTGTCATTTTAGGTAAACTTTTATTAGGGTTTGAATCACTAGCAGATTTAAATCTATTTTGGTTTCTATTATACCTGTTCTAAATTGTGTTAAACTTATTTTTATGAACCTCTTTATAATAATCAATCTTATATTTTAGGTGTTAATATATTAAAAGTGATGTTAGAGGGAATTAAAGTATTATATAAGTTGGAAAATAAAATTTCTTACACTAAGATAACACTTAATAACTGTGCTACAAAAATAATTAACCACAAAACCACAAACCATGATATTGAAGAAAGTACTGTTATATTATCAACTTTTAAAATTGAGGATAAGGATTTACCTTTTTTACAAAGTATGTATAAATGTATTTGTATTTTTGAAACATGCATGGTAAAAAAAAAAAACAATTTTTAGCTAATGTGCAATGTAATAAGCTGAAATTTAGTAATATTTATAAATTTGAACACCAAAGTATTAAAGATATATTTCTATCTATTGAATTTTATGTAAAAATTATAAAATAACCGAAATACTAATACCTTGCATAAGTAAAAATATTTCCAAAATAATATCAATGTGAACTTGAAATGCTAGTAACGAATACAATATTGATAAAATGTCACAATTCATCATGTATTAATTTAAAATAAGGTATAATAAATTTCATTGCGAAATGACCTAACAAAATGTTTTAAAAATATAATTTAAAACTGCTTGAGCAATTATTTACCATTTTATGACGGAAGATTTTATTAATATTTCAAGTATCTTAGAAAATTAATATATTTTTTTGTTCACTTAAGATAGTAATAAATATTTATTTAAAATATCATTTTCATGATTTAGTAAATATAAAAATTTAATAGTTATTAAATGATATAGTCAAACCAAACCAAACCAATATTTATGAGTTTATTGAAAAAAAAAATTTGTATTAAAATTTTTTCTAAAATATATATGTGTAAGAAGTGTTACAAAATTTCTGAAAATACAATATTAAGAAAATTGTTATATTATTTTATCCTTCATCACCTCAAAATTAGTTTTTAAACTAATTATATACATTGCATTATTAGAATTTTAGAGCTTGTGACAAATATAAACTTATTTAAGAATAATTACATAACTAGCTAATCTTTACTAGTTAATTCATTTTGGAGTCATACACTTTTAATGTTATTTCTTATAATTTTTTAAAGTGATAAAGTTTTTTTTTTAAATAGCTGAATAGACAAAGGTAGGAATTAACTATTTTAATTAGATGATGAAATAACATAGCTTATTTCAATTAGATAATAATAATTAAGATAAATTCAGAATTTAATAAGATCATGTTGTCTTTATAAACTGCAAATGTTTAAATGTTTTTCTTCTTCTTCTTCCTCGCCTTAATCCCAACCATTCGGAGTCAGTCACCCTTATCCTAAACTTCCACTTGAAATGATCTCCGACATCATCTACGCTCACATTATTTGTCCTCATATCGCATTCAATAGCTTCCCTCCATCTCTTTTTTGGTCTTTCTCTACCTCTTCTTTATTCAACATTCATTTCTATAACTGTTCTTATAGCTTCCGATTGTTCTCTCCTCATAACATGACCAAACCATCTAAATCTATTTTCTCTCATCTTATCCACGATTGACACTACACCTATACTCCTTCTTATATGCTCGTTTCTTATCCTATCTTCTCTAGTCACTTCAAACATCCATCTAAGCATTATCATCTCTGCTCTACTCTCTTATCAACCGCCCAACATTCTGAACCATACATCATAGCTTGCCTCACAACAGTTTTGTAGAATTTACCTTTCAGCCTGATTGGAATTCTTTTATCGCAAAAGACGCCAGACGCTTCTTTCCATTTCCATTTCAAACCCGCACTTAGTTCTGTGTTTTACATCCTCGTCAATACCACCGCTCTTTTGCACAACTGATCCTAAATACTTAAAACTTTCCACCTCTTCAATCACGTCCTTGACTTTTGTCACTGGTCTTCTTATTTCATCTACCCCATGTTCTTCATTGTCAAACTCGTACTCTATATACTCTATCTTACTTCTACTTATTCTTAAACCCTTTTCTTCAAAAGCTGATCCATACGTCTAGCCTTTGATTAATTTCCTCTCTATTTTCTCTTATTAACACTATATCGTCAGCAAACAACATGCACCACAGCATCTCTCCTTGTATTTCTCTAGTAATTTCATCCATCACTATAGAGAATAAGTAAGGGCTTAAAGCAGAACCTTGGTGCACTTTTACTCTTACCCGAAAACCTTCTGTTACTCCTCTTACGCTTTTTACCCTGGTACAAGTGCCATCATACATATCTTCTATTATATCAATGTACCTTTTCGGGACTCCTATTCTCATTAATGCTATTATCGTCTAATAAGATTTTATTTAAAAGTTTCTTTAACCACCTTATGCCAATACCGCCTAATATTTTCCATACTTCTACTGGCACTTCATCTGTTCCTACTGCTTTATTCTTTTTCATTGATGCCACAGCCTCCTATACCTCTTTCTCACTAATTAAATCTACCAGTCCTTCATTCCACAAAATATCCTCAATATCTCTTTTGGGTACTCCTCATTCAGTAATTTTTCAAAATACTCTCTCCACTTTTTTTTACATCATTACTCAAGAGAACCTTTTTATCAATACTTTTTATACAACTTATAAAATGATATTCTTTAAACATTTTCTCTTTTACTTTTGCAAGTTTATAGATTTCTTTCTAGCCTTCCTTTGTTCCTAGCCTATCATACAACTCATCATAACTTTTAAACTTCGCCTTACTTACTGTACACTTGGCTTCTTTGCACAAGCATTTATACTCCATCCAATCTTCTCTCCTTTGCTCTTCTGCCATACTTTGAATTGCTTTATCTTACTTTCTATGATTTTTTGAATGTCCTCATCCTACCATCACGTTTTCTTGTTTCCTGGCATTCTACTCCTACTCTCATCAACAATCTCCTTTTCAGTATTCTTTACACAACTAGCAAATCCATTCCACACATCATTTATGTTTCCCTAGACATTCCACACCATCCTCTTTTTTACTGTCTTTACAAACTCTTTTTCATTTTCCCCTTTTAATTTCCACCACAGGATTGTGGTCCATAGGCACTTATTACATTCAGCACTTTTCTCGAATATTAATTTTACGACCATAATTCTGTCACTTTTCCTAGCTACTTCTACTACTTTACTTTTCATCTCCTCATCTATTATTATCCCTACATCATTCTTTGTACTACACTTATCTGAATATATTATTTTATAACCGTCACCTATTTCCCTTGATTTCTCTCCTTTCCACTTAGTTTCCTGCACACAACAAATGTTAACTTTTCTCCTCTTTGATTCTTCTACCAGTTAATGTTCCAATATTCCAAGTGCCTATTCTTACTTTGTATCTATCTTTCTCCCTTATACACAGTCTAGAGTTAAGTGGTGATATCCCTACACCATTGACACTACAAGTGTTGGGTAGACCTGTACACATGACTGGTGAAACAGCTACCGCACAAGTTGTCCGGCTGGTATCAAACACTATCCCTTATCCACAGGGAAAACCGCAAATGTTTAAATAAAAAAAAAATCGAATAGAAATTCAATTACTTATCAAGGTCTCTAATAAAGTGGGGTAATATTTAATTTTTCCCTACCCTAAATAAGATTTATATAACAACAATAATAATGTTTTGAATTTTTTCAGGAGTTGAGATTTTTAAACTTGGGGGCTAAGTTCCTGTAATTTAACTAGTATTGCTCATTATAAATTAAGAAACAAGAAGAAAAAAAATTTGTGAATCTCTTACTGATATTTTGGTTTATTTTAAAAAAACAACTGTAGTTTTAAAGATATAACAGTGCAACCAAAACTAAAATGTTTAAAACGATGTTAGACTGCATAGCATATTAAAACAGTTTTGTCACTAATATTTTTAAGTTAAGTTTCATCTTAACTTGAGTTAATTATTTGCAATAATTTACCCCATTTTTCCAAATAGACTATTACTTTTCATATGTTTAGTGTTTAAATATTATGATTAGGCTAAAAAAATGTGTACTATAATTATTCTTTAAATGTGTTATTTTTTAATCAATTTTTTCAATGCATTAAAAAATGTCCAACTTTAAATACTAATTTCAATTATTAAATTTATTATGAAAAAAGGCACTGTTCTTTACCTTATACTTTAAGATAGTTGGGTAACCAATAGACTCAACTATCTTAAAGTATATATAGTTATCAAAACCTCCTTATAGGTGAGAATTTTTGGTTTTATTGATCCTGTAAACATTTTTAAATCTTTAAATTTTCATATTTTGAATTTCCAAATATTTTAATCATGTATTTTTGAGACTATTATGTATTGGAAATAGTCTCCTAACTTATTGTTTCTCAATATTGTGATATCCAAAAAGGCACTTGCTAATTATTTAGGGTTACCAAAAATTTTATTATCCATTTAAGAAATTACTAATGCAAAAAAGTTTAAAAGCACTATCCTAGTTTATTGTCAATTAATATTTGACAAATATCAATTATACAATAATATTATAATAAATTTAATTACAATACTAACACATTTTTTTTTTCATTTATGTATCAAACATTGTCTGATTTGGTTTACACTTCATTAATATTTATATTATTTGATATTTTATCAATTTTAATGATAAATCTACATAGGTACTAAAATCTAAATAAAAATTTTAATGAGACAACTTCTAGGTAATTAAAATAATATTAAAATATTTCAAATGTTTAGTTATTTTTCAAAATCCTCATGAAAGTGTTATTACTTCTGCAATTCCATTAATATTTTTGAAAATTGGTCAACTGGATATGAATTTTGATCCATTATTTTTTGATTGGTTAATTTACATGCCAAAAAAGAGTATAAAAAAAGAAATTTTTAAGAAAACATCGTCAGCTTCTGATTTAGCATTTTTTAGGTAAGTTGATATAATATTCTAAATTAAAAAAAAAAAAAAAAAAAGTTTCACTGAAATTATATTAATATTTTTTAGTGTTTCGAGTAGAAAAATATCTGAAACTAGTATTAACAGTGATCATAGAATGAAAACACCTAAAACTTCTATTCAAAGTAGTATTTCTGAGAATGTATCTTTTCAGTCTGCTAAATATCTACATATAAAAAGCAAGGTAATCAATTGTAATTACACAATTTAAAAAAGTTGTATTGTATAAAAAATTTAGTTTATAGAAAATACTTACAAATATATTAGGATAGTAAGGTTGAAAATTTATTATTATGGAAAATATACCACATATTAATACTTCTAAGCATAAAGATTGTTAATAATATATAGTTAATTTCTACAAGAGAGTTAAAATAAAAGTATAATAATTGGCATTTTTAGCTACGATGCAAAGCTGAGGAAGTATTAATTTTATTCTGATGTGTTTTTTTTTGGGTCTGTTACTTTTTTTCTCCGCTCTCACTAAACCGATTTCTTTCAATGATACATCAAGAGATCATAAATTATATCAGTCAAAGACATTACCCTCGAAAATTGAAAAAATTTCCCCCATTCCAGTAAATGGATGAAATCTCCAAAGAATTACAAATTTAAAAATCGCTAATTTTCGACATTTTTTCAATTTTTTTTACTTAAAACTGCCATAACTTTTTTAAAAATGACCTAATCAATATAATTTTTTTTTATTGATACATCAGGTATTTACCTATCATTTTGTGTATTTTTTTTTATAAATCTGACTTTACCACAATGGGGATTCAAAATGACAACTTTTGAAAGTGTTCTGGAAATACTGACATTTTTATATGTATCTTAAATTAAAGCTTATGTAATACACTTTATTATGGGAAAAAAAATCGGACTTCATTTTGTTTTCATCGTGAAAATGGCTACCATATGCTATTTTTGTGTTAAAATTCTCGATTTTATATTTTACATTTTTAACTTTATGTTTCTATAACTTTTTGAAAAATGTATAGATCAATACAATTTTTTTATGAAAAATACTATTTATATATATCTTTTATTGGACATACTTTTTTTTAAATTGGACCATTTCCATTTATACAGAGGGGGTTCAAAATATAAAAATGCGTATAGAAAGTAGAATGTTTTCAACTTATTTTTTATTAAAATATATTTATTGACTATTCATACATAACCTAATAATCAAATATAAATATTTGTTATATTAATTAGAAGGATTTAGTTATTATTTAGTCCATATGCGAAACTCTAATTGTAGATTTAAAATCGGCCAAATATAGGTTTAGAAAAGTTTCTGATAAAAATTCCTTGTAAACCTGTAGCAAATTTATTTATAAATAATAAACAATTTTTTTTTTTTAAATATTGCATAAAGACCTTCAACTTTTATATACGTTTGCTATAAAATTAATAACTACTTTATAATTTTTTATAATTTCTCCGTAAAAATTACAATACTAATTTATTAAATATCAATTTCATACTATATTTAATTGCTATAATAAATATTTATACATATATTACACTTATAAATCATAAAACTTGTAATCAGAATATAAATAAGGAAATAGGAAATCATGTTGCTTTAGGAATAATCCATCAATTTTTTAAAATTAAACACTACAAATTTATACATTATACTATGCATAGTTCATAAATAGAAAAATATATTAACTATAATCAATTTTCATATTTTATTTATTTAGTCAAAAGAAATGGGTATTGTTCATTTATACAATAAATGGAAATCATTAATAATGATTGCTGACGCATCAAAAATTACGCTGTATTTTCCCAGTAAAACATTATCTACAATAGAAAAAAATTCTAGCAGTAAAAATCATGAATTGTATCATTTACTTCAAAAAGCCATAAATATTGGAGATGAGTTAGTTGTGCTCAGGGTAATGTCTATATCATTGAAGTGTGCAATCCTTAAACAACAAGTTGAACAATATTTAAATATGTGTCCAATAAAATGTCCTGAAAATATTTGGTCAAATGGTAATTTTTTTAAATTTATATTATTTATTTTTGTTTTATGCAATTCTTATTACAGATTTTGTTTAATTATTATAATTAGATGGTGTATATTTTCCATGGCAAATGAATTTATGTAACTTAGAGATGTTTACTGTACATAATTCTTATGAACTACCATTTAATAAATCACAACAAAAAATACAACTTCTTCAACCATTTAATGCTCAGTGTACTTTGGCTATAACCATACAATATCATAATAATAACCCGGAATTGTTAAAAAGTCTTGCAGCTTGTATTCATTGTGATTCTGATCCTATTCTACTGAATATTTCAGAACACCAAGTAAAGACTAAATTTGGTAGATTAATTAGCTCAAATTATGAACTTTTTTATATTTTTTAGGTCTGTCTAATTTCTTATTTATGTAAAAACATATTAAATGTTTATAAAGCAATTTGTTCAAATATTCAAAATGCAACTCTCTTTAATTATTCAGTAGCACATGAAATGTCATCTATACTAGAAAATGAGACAGTTGAAAATAAATTACTTTCTCCAGGTAGCTTGGAATAATTATATAGTTTATCTATTTCCAACATTTTCATACATTGAATGCTTGTAACTTAATAAAAATTTATCCGAAAGTTGTTATCAACCAATCAACATTTTTTGTAAGAAAACCAGTTCAGTGGAATCGCAACACAATTATTATACATTTATCATAAAAACACTTCAGTACAAATCTATTAAATGATATAATAATTGTGTATTTGAAACTACATAATTTCTATGTTTTAATATATTACTCAAATGCTTGTTAAATTATTTGCTTAATTTAAGATAAAGTTTGCTTTTTTAGCTTCGATGCGAAGCTGAGAAGGTATTGGTTTTAATGAGATGTGTGTTTTTTTTTTTTTTTTTTTTTTTTTTTT